ATTTATAGAAAAAATAATTTAGCATTAATGAAATTACCTAAATTAGTTGTATCTTTTTCTAAATCTTTTAAGTCTAACTCAAAAAATTAATCTGAGCATCCTACTTGTTGCAAAGCAGCTAATTAGTCTTCATCAAGTAAAATCATTACTGCTTTTTTCAAAAACAAAATATCTTTATAAAATTAAAAGATATCAAAATCTTTTTCCACAATATTCTAAATTTTCTTTTTTTAATTATCATTTAAAGTCTTTGGGTCATTCTCAGATTTTTGCCTTTGACATAACCTTATAAATAAACCAATAAATAAATAAATCAATTAAAAAATACCAAATAAATAAATATTTAATTATTTGATGAGATTTTAAAATAATTGAGAAAATACCTTTTTTGGAAAAGTATCTTTTGAATTTAACTTTTAATTTTTTTATTTTAAAATAATTCTAACCTTTTTTATAAAATCAACTATTTCTCAGAATGTTCCATTAAATTTTTTTACTTCATTTAAAAGGATAAACATTTATTAAATATTGTATTATCTTATGTAATATTATGGTTTTTCAGTTTAATATTGCTTGGAGATAATGAATTATGATTTGAATCTTGAAATTGTTACAAAATTGTTGAGTTTTAAATTTAATTATGATCATAAAAAAAACTGCTGTTGTTAAAATTTTTTTCATTTTTAATTCTATGTTGCGAGTTATAAAAATAACTGTTTGATTTATTCATGCTTTCTTCATCATTAATTATATTCTAATTTTATTGTTGCATTTTTTTCAAGGTTTTATATAACTTTGAGGGTTCAGAATGTTTATTATCTTACTTAAAATCTTAATCAACCATCACTTTTTTATTGGCTGAATTTTACATGTCCAACATTCTAACTGACCTTAAAAAGAGAGAACGGTTCATGTTATTTTATTTTTCCTAAGTTTTATCTTCATTATTTTTTTCATCAATATTTTTTATTTCAGATTCATCTGTTTAATTTTAACATAATAAATTATTATTAATTTGTATTTATTACTACTCTTCTTAGCAATTATCTATTAAATTATTTGATTTTAATAATTTAAAGTAAGTATCTTAGTATATACTTTACAGTAATATTACAAATAGTTCTTTATTAATAGAGCTCATAGAAAATCTTCTCGCTACAAATCCTAATAGCATTAATACTTAAAATATACTGTTTGCAAGAGATAAAATGGTCGGAATTGTAGGATACTGTACATAAATTTCCTAATATAACTCATCTACTTGTATGGTTCCTTAAGCATAACAAGCTATATTAGCTAGTTGAATTGCAGACTACCTATCTAGTGACTGAGTTTCTGATGTATACTATAGAGGAGATGTAAAATTTGTTGAAGATTAAATTAGTAAGCCTTACCTGACAGTAGTTGTTTGCTTTTATACCTTTAAAATTGATTAGATGTATTAATTTGATAGGGTAAACATTAAAGAGTTTCTGTAGGATGACTCTAATCTTTAAGATTTAGTATTATATTGTGAAGTTTTTATAGAGATTTTTAATGCAGAATACATAGAATTCATTAAATTATCAATATCTGATTAGCTAGCGCAGTTATCTGGAATAGTTGTTTTTAGAGAATCTAAATCAAGACACCCATAAAGTAAAATATATACTTAAGTTAAAATTTTGTCAATGTTATCAGATATCAAGGATGGACTCATTTTTATTGATGAATAGTCTAAGCATTAATATCCTTTTAACTCAGGGCTTGAACATTATACCACATTCAAAGGAATCAAATTTTATTGTCCTTGATTCATATAATTAAAATAAGCTTAATAAACTACATACGTCTTATTCTATAAAGCTTCTAAAACATCTACACTTAGATTGAACTCAGTTTCATACCTAAATGCTATAAGATCTTCAGTTAAATCCATACTTATTGAATCGCTATTTGTAAAGCTTTAAGATCTGTAATTAGGCTCTATTTAGTTAGTAAAATACTACTAAATGAGGTAACCTAAATATGAAATTGTAATAGTTATAATTATTAAAGATAAAATAGACCCAAAGAGTGTGCCTTTGCTATTAGATGAACCTCTTATATTAAAGTAGAAATAAGAAGAAAACAAATCTAATTTTGAAATAGTCATTTTTTTATAGTTTCTATCTTTACTTTATAGCTTAGTTATTTATTTTATTAGTCCTCTTTATTCAAATTTTATAAAGTTTTTTAATAATTCTACTTGATTTTAATTTTATGATATTTCGAATAATTTATTTACCTGGCATAAAGATTGATTTGTATTGGTTATTTTAATTCTCTCTAAATCTATTTAAAAAAATCAATCTATTATTTTGTAGAGCTATTTGTTTTTTTTATAAATACATTTAATACAAACATGGAAATAAATATAATTTAGGAATTAGTCTTACTTACAAACTTCTATTCTTTTTATCTGAAAAGAAAAGAAAAAAAAAAAAAACTAATTTCCCTTTTTAAATTTATTATTATTAAATTGTTTATTAAAAAATTTAAAATATTGTGTAATTAAATAAAGAAAAGATGCTCTTATTATTTGTATTTATACTTATCCCAAAAAATATTACATTGATTGAATTTGTCCATTAACCAATATTCATACAAAAAAATTATTATTTTATTTAATTTATTGACGTTAAAGTCCTTTAAAAATCTAAAATTTTTTAAAAAGAGTATTTATTGTTATTTGTTAAAAAAAAAATTAATCAAATTAAAAAATTATTTTTTTATTATCAATTAAAATGTAAATTTGTGATTATTTTTAACACATTCAATTGTTAATATATAATATTTATAAACTCAAAACACATAAATTAAAATAAGAACAAATTAACTTTGATTATATTTTTAAAAAAATCATTTAATTAGATAAGTAAGTTTACTTATCTAAAAAAAAATAATCACTTCAAAAATGAGTAAATAAATCTTAAAAATTAAATAAATTGCTTTTTTATATTATTAATTCTCTAGATGTTTATTTGATGATGATGATGGTGAATCATCTGAATTCAAATTTAATAGATGTTTATTTTATATTTGATCATATGGATTCTTGGTGCAAAATTGGGTCTTTTTAAGGACTATTATTATATGAAGAAGCAGCAAATATATTGTTAGATAGATGAGAATAGTTTCTTTAACTTGCAAAATCTGATAATAATATTTATTGCTGCTTCATTTAGCTATCTCTATTACTTTGAGAGGAATGGTAGCTATCTGCTAGATTTTATTTATTAGACTAATTTTATAATCCCTAACTTTCCTATAAGTCTTCTTCATTTTGAATTTCTTACACTACTGTGGCATATTAACTTAATTATTATTAAAGCTTTTTAATTTCGGTGCTTCTATCAAATACAAGCTTATCATAAACGCTTGGAGAGTCATTAGAAAAGAATGTACCTTTAGTCTATGCGAATTAGAGGGTATTCACTCTTGCTTGCAAGTTTTCATTTTCTGCTTTCAGAGATTTATATTAACTCTACAAAATTTAATAATCTGATTAAAGTATAGTACATTCTTATTTAAGCTTGCTGACCAAGCCTTATGTTAAATCTTCATCAAAATTTTTACATTATGAATTGTATAGAGATGTCCTGTCATCAATATTTAATTATTTTTAGAGTCTATCAATCATTTCTTATTTATTTTATAAATCTATAAAAAGTTATTCATTATCTTCTTTCACTTACTAAAACTGAGTCTATTATTAACTCAACACTTCTATCTTATCTAATAATTCTTAATTGAGAGAAATATACTATTACAAATATTCATCTTTTTATCTAAATATTTAAATAAAATTTTATTAAATTTGAATTTAAATTTTTTTTACTTTATAATTTTTGTAATCGTATCTAGCTGCTCTTTATAATAAAGATCTTTATCAAATAGTTGCTAGTTTAAATCTTTTATTTTATTTTTTAACTAACTAATATATTAGTCTCTTTTATGATAGTCCTCACTATTTTCTATATCCTTTTCTTCCTAAAATCATAATACAACTCTTTAAATTTGAAACAGCTTCAAATAACTTACTTCAATCACCGAGTCAGTATTCCTCTACAATCTTCTTGGTGTTAAATTTTCTCCTTTTTCTTCATCCTTTTTTTATAAATAAATGTCATTCATTAATAAAGGTATCATTAGAAATTTTATTTATTAAATTTCACAAATTGAGTTTGGTTAAAATGCAAATTATTTAAAATTTTGTTCAAATTGCATTTTTAAAAATTTAAACATCTTTTAAGATTACCCGAATGATAAAAATTATAACTTAAAATAAAATATTAGCATAAAAAAGTGGAAAAATCTAAATGAAATGCCTAATTAAAAAACTAAATTAATTATTAGAATTTGAAATTAAATTCATTTATTATTTAAAATATTTTTTTAACTTTATTAATTACGCTTAAAAAAGAAGCCATGTTTTAATCGATAGCTTCGTACTTTTGCTTCCAATACTTAGCTTCTTTATTTTTTTTTACTATTAGAATTTAGAGAGAGTTAATTTCTTAAACTAACAAGTTTATTTTTTAGTCCATTGTATTCATTTTAGCATCAACTTCTTATTATTGAGATCTATTTTTTATTTGAAAATGTGCTAACTTAGATGATTAAAATAAAAGGTTGATTACTCTTGTATATTGAAATTTTAAGCAGATATTTGAGGTTGTTTAACTTACTGCTAAATCATTTATTATTTTTAGAAAGTTTATTGTTGCTGTTGTTGTGTTTAATATTAAGAATTATTTTTAATTAAAATTTATGTTGTAAGTTAGGCATTCGTTTTAGGAGATTATTTGATTATTGTATTTTAAAAAAGCTATTGTTGCTATTATTATTGTTGATTCTGCTATTGTTACTTTTAAGGAGAATAATTAGAATTTGTAGTGTTTAAAATTTAAGCACTCAAATTATTCTTTTGGTTGCTCATATTTTAGTAATAATAAGTTTACTAATTCTACTCATTACTACTAAGAGTGGTTAAATTTTATTTAGTAGGAGAAACCTAATCAATTTATTAAAAGTTATCATTTTTTATTTAGTTTTTAGTTGGTTATGTATGAACACGAGTAGCTCTTTCAGTTTAAAATTGCTAAGGAGGTGAGAGAAATTATTGTACTGTTGCTGGTTAGTTGAAGGTAAAAGGAGCTTGCTTAAATTGCTACTAAGGGCTGGCTATTTAGAAATTATATCCAAATTAAATTTAATTTTGCTTCAATTAAGTAGGAGAATGCATTTAATAAAGCACAGCTGGATTACTTGCTATATTTAAAGGTTTTATTGCATGGTTCTACTCTATGCTATTAACTACTGGACTTGACTAAATATGCTATTTGCTTGATGTTTTTTATAAGTATTACTGCTAGGGAATCTTTGGAAAGTTAGCAGGTTAGACTATTGATTCAGATTTTAAAGAAGGTCTCATAAGAAAATAAGAAAACTAATTTACAAAATTTCTAAAATCTTAAATAATCAAAAAATTAATTATGTTCAATTTAGTGTAAATATAAATTATTCAATTAAAATTCAAAGGATTTTTAATAAATTCAGTAAATTTTGTTTTTTTTCTTCTTTTTTCTTTAAAAAATATATTTTGATTTAATTATCAATTAAATCTATCAAGCGTTTTTCAAAAATTAACAGAATTATCATTAAAATAATTAAAAAAAAAGTATCTTAAAAAATTTATTGTTTGTTTATTTCAAATTGCAAAGTGATTTATATTTTTTCAAATATTTGTTTACAAAGTTCTATAATTTTTTTTTCATTTTGATTATAAAAATAGATTTTATGGACATATTAATTTTTAAAATAAGTTTTAATTTTTTGAAGGCGATTTAATGAATAAATCATATTTAATTATCAATTAATTTGTTTGTTTTTAGCCTATGAAAGTTTTTAAAAAAGTCTTTCTGAAATCTTACTTAAAATTTATTATCTATTTTACAAGTACAAAACTAACTACTTAAATTTTTACAAGTATTCTTCACTTTTCATTATTTGTTTCAAAACGTCTCTTTAGATAATTTTTAATTAATTTTATACCTATTCATTTTAATTATCTTCAAACCCATTAAAAAATATTATTTTTTTTTCTTTCATTTTATTATTGATTTCTAAAGTCTTATTTCTTTATTTTTATGGAGTTTCAACTTGACCAGATATATTCAATTATTATTACTAACTATCTTTAAAAGTTGAGTTATCTAAATACTATTAATTTTTGCAATCATAAATGTGAAGATATTTTAGCTTTAACAGAAATTTTTTAACAGGACTTTTAAATTTTTATGTCGAATTATGATATAACCTTCCAATAAACTAGAAGCAATTCTTACATTATAAATCTTCATATGCACAATATATATCATTTCCATTTTAAGATAATTTAACTATTTTATCTGTAAATATCTAAGCAGATTTACATTAGCTTACCAAATACTCATTCCATGTGTAAAGTTAATCAAACTAATTTGTAAAACAAATTATAAAGTTGCAAAACTAGCACTAAATAATTATCATTTATATTTTTTATTATAATATACAATTCAATTAATAAATCAAAATATTGTTTTTAGATTTTTAAGAAAATGATTATTATAATTTCTTAAGTTAGACTCATTTACAGTTAAAATCCATTAATTTTTTTTTAAATGGCTTGAAATTGATTTAAAATAAATTTAAATGCTAATTTAAAGTAAAATTAAGTAAATTTAAAAAAAATATTCTAAAAAAGATAAAAAAAATATTAATTTTTTCGTGTAAATCATAATTGATAATAAAATAAGTTTTAATTCATTTATTTAAATAGCTTTTTTTAAAATAAATAAACATATTTACAATATGATATCCTTCTATTTTCTTTTTAAGTTATATTTTTTTCAAAATAATTTTAATTTATCATTAAAAGGTTTATAAAAATTATTTTCGATATTTCTAATTAAATTAATTTTATTTTTTTATTTATCATTATTAGTATTTTGGCATTGCTTAAATACCCTCAATATATAATTAAGGAGTTAGGATATGAGTTGATCCTAAAATAATTCTAAGGTTGTTTTTAAGTACTGAATCAAGTTGTCTTATTGCTCTTATTTCTGCATAAGTTATTCCGCCTAAAATGAATATTATAAATTTATTTTAGCTCTTATAATAGCTAACATCTTTTACATCAGTTGAATTTTATTTATCTCTGATTAGCTTTTGCATTTCTATATTAACCTAATATTTTGTAGGACTCTGCTAGGAAGATAATTTTTATTATTGCAACTGTAGCTGCTGAGATTATTCTATAATTTACAGATCATATCCATGTTTTTAAAGTAAATTAGTATGGTCGTTTGCATTTTATTTTAGTAAAATTTCTAAAATATCTTCGATCTTTAATGCAAGTTCTGGTGTATGACGACAAAATTCCACATCAACACCTGGTTTGAAGTTTTTTACTTTGGCTTTTGTATACTTTATGAGTCTCTCACTTTGTTTTAACTTATCAATTTCAACAATATTATTTAGTTTTTTATCTATCCAATGCAAATTCCAAAATAAAATTTATTCTTCTTAGCTGAAACTTTAGATTAGCTAATGTTTAGCTTTAAAATCATAATTTAAGTTTAAAAGAGCTATAATAGTTAATCTCAACTTGACATCATGACTTAATTATTCAGATTGAATCATTTCTAGGAGCTTTTGCTTAATCTTTTTAGGTTTTATTTTATGTCCTTCGGTGTCAACTCCTGTAGCTAGCTATTGCTCTACTTCAGCAACGTCTTATAAGTTTTTTTTTTGAAAAATCTTGAAACATTTTCCTATAATATCCATATGCATACTAAGTTTCTAATATTTTTCTTCATACAAAGGTAGCTAACTTAAAATATTTTCTGCATTTTATAAATACTAGCTTTCTATATCTATTTTATTATTCTTAATGTTTTAATGCTTTTTAGCAAAATCTTGGAGTTCTTCACCTATATCTTTTAAACCATCAGAAATTGTTTTGTATCTACATTTTTCAAATATTTCATCTTAATAGTTGCTAATAACCTATTTGCGTACTTTATTTTGGTTTGCTTAAGTCGATTCAACTTATTTCAAGTCTTAAAGATTGTTACCCTTTGTATCCTAATTTTGATTTAACTCATTTTAATCTTTCTAATTTTTTCCAATTTCAGTTTAGTTTAATTGATTTTATTTTGTTTGAATTTCATACTAATAGTTAAAATTTAAAGGATCTATCTCTAGCAAGTCATGAATCATAGACTCGTAATATAAATCATGAATAGCAGGAGTGATAACATCATCAGTCCTATCAAAAATAATAATATATGTACTACCACTAAGTTCATCTAAATACTTACTTTATTCAATTTTTAATCTTTCTTTGTATTCAATAATTTTTTGATGTAAAATATTTGAGAATCTGTGTGATACTGTTTGGATATCTTTATTTGTAATTATATTAATAGCATTAAAATTAAGTAGAGATGGCAGAACTGTCAACATTTTTTATGAAATTAAATCTTCCAACAATTAAGCTTCAAATGTAAAGTTGCCAGAATAAAGTCTTGGGAATGCTTAAGGAATATCTAAGCTAAAGGAATTCTAATCATTGAAAAAGAAGTCATGCTAAAGCTCTTTTATAGATTATATTCTAATAACAAATGATGGAATAGCTAACTACTTAAGCAATTCTTTGCTTAGCTTTCGTGTAAAAAAAATATTTATTTTTGCATAATGAGGATTATCTTTAGATTTAAAGTCATTTAATATTGCCTCTATGCTTTACTATGAAGGCTCTATAATATAAATGGCATTAGACTTTTAGAATTTTTTCCTTTTTAACTCTAGCTTTTCTATACATTGAACTCCAAATTTAAGGATTTCTCTCAAATTAAAAGCTGAAGATAATATCTTGGTACTGTAGCTATCAAGGATAAGAATGAATTATTCGCTTTTATTTTGAGTTCTTAGACTATCAAATAGCTCTTAGAATCGTTAAAAGACATTACTTTTGAGCGAAAACTACTAATCTATTTGTATTTATTCGTCTATATTTTACTGAATATTCATTGATGTTGAAAAATAACAAATATTTATATTGAAATTATTAATTTTTTATTTAATAAATTGAAATTAAAAACCTAAAAAATTTTATATAAAAAAAACATATTTAAAATATTTTTTGTTTGTAAATAAAATATGTCTACTTTACATTTTAAAGTTTATAAATTAAATTTAAAAATATAAGTTAGGCTTATATTTAAAAGACTTAGCTTAAATATTAAAGGTAAACTCATTAAAATTTTAGCATAGTTTTGCTTGATGGTGAGTTTTAAAAAAGCATTATTTGTTTCATATGAATTAAAGCAATAGAAAAAAAAACTACTCTATTATTTATTTATTAAATTAGTAATATTTTGCGCAAGAAGAAGTAATTAATTAGCTATTATTTGTACATTATTTAGCAGCATAAATAGCAAGTTGTAAAGTAAAATGCCTCAAAAAGTTTCAATTACACTTAAAAATATAGAAGTGAAAAGAAAAGAATAAAAGTTCAAAAGCATGGTGAGAACATTTTGCTTTGATTAATTTTACAAATAAAAGAAATCATTAAAAATTTAATACATATTTGGAGGATCAAAAATGTTTAATTTAATCTTTCTATAATTATAAGAAGCACTTTCACATGTCGATTAAGATTTTTCTTTAATAAATAGCACCCTTGGGCAGTAGTCATGTTTGATGGTTAAAAAAAGACAACTTAACCTGTGCAAAATGGGGATTTATAACCTGAATTTAATCAGACATGGGTTTTCCAAAGGAATTCAGATGTCAATATAACTGTTTCAATATATAAAAAAGAGTATATTTATGACGCCTTGAAAAATGAAAAAGAAATAGATTTACTCATAGGAAAAGGAAAATTAAATATTCTTTCAGTCCTTAAGAAAGCCATTCAATAGCCTTAGGAAATAATGGTTGATTTAGTTTATGATTTCGATAATAAATTAGCAGCTTAGGCTTATCTTACAATTCATATTTAACAAGGTGCCGACTTAGAAGAGTACAGGAACAAAGAATAAATTAAATAAATAAAAAGTAAATATGAAAGCTGCTTAACAGTTACAAATTTATAACTGAGTTTAGATTCTTTTAAGCCTGAAGCTGTAATTTCATTAATTTTCTTTAAAAATAATTTCTAAAAACTATAAATTTTAAGTTATATATAAAGCCTAATATCTTTAAAATTATTATTTTAATTTTAAAATGAACACTTAAACTAAAATATTATAATATAATAAATAAATATAGTATTATTATCTCAAAATCAGGAATTCAAATGGTTCTCACAAAACTACACCTCAAAACGGAGGAGCATCAATGATGTTTTAGGGTGACTTTGATATCTATTTTAGGGGATAAAAGATTGTTTATATTGATGTATAAGAAGTTTTAAAAGATGAAATATTAGATTTTATTACTGCTGATGACTTAGTTGGAATAGGAACACTAGATTTTGAAAAAGTAGACATAAATCAAAGCTAGCAGAGAGCTGTTATAAGACATAAAGGAAAATAAATTGGAAGTGTTTAATGTTAAGCTTCTTATGAAATATTTAAGTAAGAACAACCTGAAGAGCACGCATCTATGATTAGATAATCTAATGATGAGCTGCTAGAATAAATTAAAAATTTAGAAAAGAAAGATAAATTCTGGCTTTCTCCAGAAAGGTATCAACTTGACTTAAAGCTAAAAAAGAAATAAATTTTAGATAGAAGATAAATGCTAATGAAAAATCGCTCTTCTGCTCCTCAGTTAGGCAACGAAAGCTATCTATTTATGAAGCCTGACGAAAGAAATATAGTTTAAAAACCAGATATAGTCATCAGTACAACAACTGTAAAACTGCCTAAACTCAAAACAAATAACAATGTAGAAGTCCCAACACAATACAGTAAATAATATTTCAGAGATATTCATGGAGTAGGCTTTTCGACAGTGGAGAGTTCTTCTTCTTTGTAGAGAAGTGTCCCTAAATTTTCTATACCAGAGCAGAAACGTTTTTCAGATCCAAAAGATATCTTTCCAGGTCCAGGTAGATATGGTACTAGTGGAGTAGCAAATGATTTATATTTACCCAAAAAATTCTAAAAAATTACTGCAATAAGTGAAGTTAGAACTACGAAATAAGAGAGAAAAGAGAGAGTTTAAATTGATACCGGACTTAAAAAGCCTATTGATAGATAATAGTAATAGACTACTCAAAATCCAAAGTGATTAAATTTTTGTTTACAAAATTAATTTAATGTTATTTTATAAATTTAAATTATTTGTATTAATCTTCCTTATTTTTGCCTTTAATTGTGTATGTGCCAGCATAGCTCATTTGTTCATTTATCAAAATTTTCATAAAATTAAAATAATTCTCTATTTATCCATTACATTTTTTAAATTCTTTTGAAAATAAGCAAATAAATAAATAAATAAATAAACACTCTTAACAAAAAAATACCAAGTCTCTTTCTGATAATTTTTAATTTCGATAAACGCAAGATTGAATTTAAATATTATGAAATAGAAGGATTTCTCAAAGAATTGTTCAAATCATTTAGTTTTTTGTATAATTTTTAATTAAAAATTTTTAAGTAATAATCAATTAATTAATTAGATTTATTTGTTTAAAATAATTAACTCTATAAATAGAAAAAGAAAAATATATTAGAAAAGGGCATCAATCTAATGCAACTGGTTTCGGAAATTAGAAACAATTAGCAAGATCCTAACATTTAAGCTGAGCATCATGTGCATGATTCGTCTTCGTAAAGCAAATAAACTTTTTATATTAAATAAAATAAGAGTTAGCAAAAATCATTTGATTAAAATATAATTATATGAATTAGATTGATAAAAATAAATGCAGATATTACAGAAAATTAAAGGACTGTGGCCATATGGTGCTCATTTTTTATAATCGTTGGCTTATTGTATGTGTTAACATTTACAGGTATTCCACCTTTTATTTTAAAAAGTATCTAAATGACCATTTTTTAATTAAAAAAAAAAATAGTACCCGATACATTTGCTACAATTTATGATAACAATTTAATTTATGACTGTTCACACTTAAAAAATAATCCAAGTTTCTAAAAAGATCCTTACTTGCGTTTTATATGCTACTAATTTAACACTCAAGTAACAATTAAAATGTTTGAAAATATATTAAAATTCCTTATATTAATCAAAAGGATAATAGAAATTTTGGTGGAATTGTAAGCGGAATGTCAAGAATGAATTAATTTTTAATAGTTAGACTGGTTTTAAAGAAATAACCTTATGATGTTTGTAAAAAATCAAATAGCAAATATCAATAAATAAATATTCAAAAATATTTAATTAAATAGAGAATGACATCTAAATGTATGGCAAATTCACTGGTCATTTCTATGAATTAAACGATGATTATACTATTGACTCCAGAACAGACACAAAAAAAGGTCATTAATTTACTGCGAACTGTCCTAGTGTATTTAATTATTTTAAAATTATTAATAATAAATATAATAATAACATACATACAATTAAACTATATTAATAGGGAAGTGTTTTTTGTGATGAAATAACTTTAATTTATCATTCAAAAATCGACCATTCAAATTATGCATTTGTTGTCCATTTTGATAGTGATTTTTAATGGGATCTAAGTCCCTAAATAGCTTTCTAAGTAAACATTACAAAATTCAAAATTCAATATATAATTTATTTTATCATAAAGCATGAATATGTTAATTCTGATTATACAAGCTTCCTTCTTGCTTTAAGATATACATGTGTAATAGTTTCTATTATTATGACTATCGCTTATGTAAGAAAACTACAAAGAATAAGTTATTTTCACTGGGTTATAGAGTAGCGTTTGATTGTCCTTCTAAGTGGACTACTTATTTTATTTAACAATCCTTTTTATGCTACAACTATTTTGATACCTAATATGGCTTCGTATCTTATTATTTATTTATTTATTTATCTTTTTTCCTTTTTAATTTTAAATTTTTTCCCTTTTTTATTGTTTTAATAAATTATTTTTTGTTAATTAAAATTATTTTAATGAAAATAGAGCTTTTTTCGATGTTTTCTTTTTAGTTAACTTTTTTGTCTGCCTTTTGGTATTCTTTTTAGTAATATTAGATAGAGTTATAAATGAAAATGGATAGAAGCTATCTAAAGCCCTAGATAAAAAAAAAATAATATTTGCATTTGTCATTTATATCTTTTTACTTCTTACTTATATTGGTTTTTCTTACAACCACTTAGATGATCCTTATACAAGCTTTTAAGATTCATTTGGAGGATTTTATGATTTTTGCAAATGGACTGGTGTAGTGATATTAGGTAAATTTTAATTATTTTATTTAGATATTTAATATTTTTAAAATAATAATAATAGTTGCATATTTCCTCTACATAATTTACCTTTATTACTGGGTATTTAAAAGTTACAATACATTGATCTGGAGAAATAGGTTATTTTCCTTATTTTCAATGTACTATATAGTTTGCTGTGCCTTGTGTAAATATTATTAAACAAATTATTTTTAACTAATTTATTATTTTAACTAAAATAGTTGCTTTCAGTGGTTCTATGGATATTTATGGATCAGTCGGTGGAAGAGCTCTCCTTTTTATAACTATTTTGAATCTCTATGTTTATTACCTACATTATATGTATAGCTTTTCACCTTAAGGTTATTAAGGTAATTTTTTTATAATGTCAGCAAATATTCTTAAAAATAATTACTTTTACTAATTATTAGAGGCATAGCAGATAATTAACTTAGAAGTTGGTAACAAGCCATAAATATATGAAGTTTTAGATGACAGTTTGCATGGTATAGATATAGCAAGTCAATAAGGAGATCATTAAAATATCTAGAAATAAAATATTAACAATCAGGAATAAATGTTAGCATAAGACATATTTTAATAGCATTAACAATTTAATACCAAAAAGAATGGATAAGAGCAAGAAATGTAAAATTATGCAAGCAATAAAACACCAGAGAAAGCCCATAATTTTGAATAAGAATTTGCGAATAACAGTAATGAACATCAATCTTAGTAAATAAAAGCAGAAACAGGATAACATAAAAACTCGAAGAGTAACGAAAAATATCATAAGTAAAACGAAGAAGGCGAAAGCTAAGCAGAAAATGGAGATTTAGTTTTAAATTTTGATAAAGATGAAGAGGAAGAAGAATATTGATTTCTTTAAATAAATCAAATTAAATAATAATATTTTAATTTAAAAGTGCCAAATTTAAAATTTTAATATTTAGGAAAGTTATGTATAATATACCCACTTTTTCTATATTTTTCTTAAAAGGATATATTTTATTATCACTCTTTAACTATTATTCAATTATTTTTTCTAAAAAAACTATTAAAAATTAATTGAATTTTAAATAATTTAAATCAATATAAATGTTCAATAAGTGTATTTTTATTTTCTAAGTTTAAAAAGAAGAATCTTAAATTTATCTTTTTGTTAGGAAAACTGAACTTAACTTTAAAAATTAACTCAAAAAAGGAAATCAATTTATAAAAAATTTTTATTTTATTAATTTAACTAAGGCAGTTAATCAATTATATAGAATGCATTTTTTTAAAAATTCTAAATTTTATTTGACCTCCAGTTTTATTTATTAAATGAATATGATATTATAAAGTAAATTTTAAATATAAGAAGAATATTTTAACATTTAATTTAATTTAAGTTTATAATATGTTTTTTCATAAAAATATTTTAAGATTTATATTTCAATTTAATTATTATATAAATAATAGAATTATTTTTGATATTTATGACAGTTTTTATAGTTAAAATAACATAATACGTGTATTATATTTATTATGGTTAAGTATTATGCTTATCTCAATAGCTACAAATTAATCAATATATAATTTTTGATTATATTAACTTTAACAAGATTCATTAGAAGAATTTTTTATAATCTTTAATTTAACAAGATATTTAGTTTAGCTAATTATTATAAATTCAATCTAATAGTAAACTTAAATTCAAATTAAAATGGAATTGCAAGATATTTTGTTTTTCACCATTTCTTTCGTACTAATTGGTGTGTCATATTATTTCTTCTTTATGAAGAACTCAACAACAAACGTAAATAATTTAAAAATATTAAAAATGAATTCATTTAATAATTCATATTTACTTATTTATATTGATTAACTTTATGAATATAGAAAACAAAAACTGAAGACAAGGTTCAGAATTAGCAAGCTTAAAATGTATAAAATTAGCAGTAGGTGAATTAGCCAGCAGCAAACCAAAGATAAGAAAATACAAGAAACAGGAGGGTAAATTTGCAAAAAGAAGATAGTGATAATGAAGAAGGTGAATAAAATTCTGATTCTGAAGAAGAAAAAGATGATGGTGATGATGATGATTCCAATTAAACAAGAACTTAAAGAGAACTTGCAAGGGAAGCAAAGAAATAATAAAAAAGATAATAAAGAGAAGTAATATTTTATAGCTATTAAAAATTTTAAAAAGGTTTAACAAATAGATATTATTAGCATTTTTGATAATTTAGCATCAGCAGTTAATAAGATATTTTAACTTTAAAGTTGCCTACTTATTTTTTTGGATGTTAATAATTTTTACATATTATTAAATAGGCTATGCAATAATATTATGAGTAAAGGGAATAAAGAGATAATCAAAAGAAATCTAAGTATGAAGAAAGGGATAGGTTAAGAGAGTTAGAAGAACAAAAAAAGGAGGAGGAATAAAGAAAGTAAGAAGAACTTTAAAGAATTAAAGAATAAGAAGAATTTGAAAATTGGAAGGTAATTAAGTTTTTAAAATATCATGTTTTGATAGTAGGAATTAAATTTTTGTGTGTGATTATAATAGAAATTCATGGAAGTTGAAGAAAGTGGATAAGAAAAAATGAGTGCTGAAGAAGAAGAGAGATATTATAGAGAATTAAATGAGAAGATTACTAATTACATTAAAGTAAATATATAAATTAGTGTGAATATTCTAATTGTTTATTAAAGCTAAGAAAAGTTGTTGTTTTGGAAGAAATGACTGGAGAATTCAAAATTACTACCTAAGAAGTCATAGATAGAATCAAATCATTAGAAATAAATAAGTAAATTAATGGTATTATAGATGAAAGAGGAAAGTACATTTATATAACTCCCACAGAATTAGAAGTAATTTATAAACTCAGAATTATTTTATTTACTTATTATTTTTTTATAATAAAAAGAGTGTTAAAAACTACATCATTAGTAAAGGAAGAGTCAGCCGTTCAGATTTAATTGCTGAATGCAACAGATTAATTAAGCTCGATCCTTCACAATAAGTAAATTTTTACTCTTTTGAATTTATAACTAAATAAATAAATAATCTTTTAATCTAAAAGGATAAAGAAAAAATCTTTAAAGAAGAAAATGAGCTATTATAAGAAGTTAATAAGTAATTTGAATAGCTTAAATAAGAATAAAATTGATAAATTAAAATAAATAAAGTCATAATTTAAAAAATTTATTTATCTATCAAATTAAGTAAATCCTTGTATTAATTTCTATTTTAATTTTACAAATAATATAATACTCAAAATATGGTTATTGAATTTTTATTAAAATGGCAAGTAAGAAATTATTTTTTAAAATTATGGAGATAACCTACAGATTTACTTGTCTACTTATCTACAATAGTATTGTGGTATAGCTATCAATATCATTTATTTATAAAGATTATACCCCTATTAAAATATATTGAAATAGCAACTATTTACAAATTTTTCTAATATATATTATTTTTAAAAATATTTGAATCTAAAATAAATTAATTTTTTTTGTAAGAAAGTTTAAAATTGGTTTTTTTTTGTTTAATTTTGATTTAAATGTTTATTCACTTTATAAAATTTACTTGAAAGTATTTGATATTTACTCAACTGACTGTATTTTATTTGTAAGATTTTATTAAAATAGTAACTATAATATTAAATCATTGATATTTATAAAAATAACAAAAATTTATTTAATTGAAATTAATCGATAGAATAATAATTATGAAATTTAAATTATCTATTTTATTTAAATGATTAATTTCTAAAATACTTTAATAAAAAAAATAAAATTATTTTTAAACTCTCCTATTAAATCTTCTAAAGTCAAATAAATTATTATTAAGAAATAAAATAAATAATAATAAAGAGAAGAGAAATTTACAATCTATTTCTAATCAATAATTTTTTATATTAATTTTTGTTATTAATAAAAGAAAAATTAATTCATTGTTTCTTTTATTTAATAAATGAATAAATCTTTAACAATGGTTTGAGTTAGAATTTATATTACATTAATCAAAAATTTGTATAAAATTCCAGGCTGAGTTTTGTGATGGCTGCTTTGTAGTCGAAAATTAACAGATCACCCAAAAAGATTCTAAAAAATATATTTTTTATATTGAATTTTTATTTGGAGGAGAAATTTTTGATGAGATTGAGAAAGATTTAGATAATTGATCCTTACTAATTATTTTATTTAATTTGTATTAAGAAAAGTTTATTTTTTGTGCTTAAATAAACAAAACAATAATCAACTAAAAAATTAAAACTAAGATAATCAAAATTTAATAGAAATATTTACTAATTTTACTTAAAATAGGCGAAATTTTAATAATTAGGTATGAAAATATAAAAAGGATTAGTTTTATTACTTGCACTGCAAATACTAAGCGTATACTGCCAGGTTGATGAAATATTCATTAATAAGGCCGTTTATAAGTAGACACAAGCAAATGATTCTAGCTATTTCTAGATTAACCTGGATGAAAAGATTCCTGATTTAGAATTAACAATAATCGCAATAGGAGTTGATAAATATAATGAACCAGAGATATAACTTTTTATTGCAGAATAAGGAGAAGACTATAAAAAGGCAACTTAAAGAACTCCAAATTACACTTGCTCAAGAACTCAGAATAACTTTTGTATAATACCAGAAAAAGATATTGTTTTTACAGAGAAATATACAATTTATGTAAAGATAAGCTGTGATTTATAATGTGCTTACTCTCTTGAGGCTTCTTACACTAAAATGAGACAGTTTTTCGTAGGTAAATTGAAATTTCAAATAAAATTTATAATAATTTAATATTATTTTGATAGACACTTCATTTTAATACCGCAAATACAATCAAGACTATAATGAGCAAATGACTTCTTTATCAGGTTGGTTCAATGTTCCTAAGGACAAAAATATCATTTAGATTAGAATAAGTGCTTATGAGTACTTTGCTAATAGCTAAGCACTTCCTATAACTATTTTAATGAATCCAGGAAAAGAAGGAGTTAGTGGAAATGATGTAAATTAAATTATAAATTAAAAAATTATAATTCAATTCAAATCAATAAATAGGCTAAGTACAAATCAGATGTAGGTGTTCTTAATTCTGCTATAATTACTTTGCAAGAAAAGGATCTAAGAATTAATGACAATTTTAGCTTTTTAGTTCTTTTCCCTTATCATTCTCCAATTATTATCAAAATTGAAAGCTATGATGGAGGAATTGCTAAATTGCCAATAAATTCTTTCACATAATATGAGTAAAACGTAAATGAAAACATGATTTTCTAGATAGTAAATCCTGCAGAATCTCCAGAGAGAGTAGATCCAACAAACAAAAGTCTAGTTATAAATATATTAAGCTAAGAAGGATATGGTTTAATGTAAATTCTTTTTATTTTTTGGTAAATTTGTTCTTAATTTTATTTTATGTAACAAAATAAAGATCACTTGCAGGAGATAAGATTCCTCAGCAAGACAGTGATTATATTTTAAGTACTCGTGAACATATTTTTGAGTAGAAGCTAGTACTTACATCCTAAATGAGAAAAGATCATAATTTAGGTGATGATTTATTTTATCTATAAGTTAAGCCTATTAGTGGAAGAATGATTTATTTAATAGAAGTGAGTTATGAATTTGAAAATCAGCTTTAGATTCAAGATTTAGAGTTTAACATTTAATCACATTATGTATTAGAAGGTAGTAAAGCTAATCACTATAAAATTATTTTGACAGGTAATTTTACCTTCTAAATTGATCTCAAAATAGTCTAAAAAGAAGGAAAATCTGCTGTTTTAGTAAAGAACTGTAGTTAACAGTTAGCGAATTGTACATTAAGTGATGATCAAGTAGCAACTATAGTAAAAGATTAACAATATCTACAATAAGATAGTGATGTTATTAAATATTCTGATAATAGTGAATTTCACTACATAAGCTATTAGAGTGACCCAAATAAATGCAGTAATAAAAATGGATTCATTGTATGTATTTATTATATTGCAGTGATCAATTATGACAAGCAAGACTACAGATACATGATGCTCGCAGAACATTCTCAAATCACTACTAAAATAAAAGATAATGAAATCTATTATGGAGGCATTTTACCAAATTAATATAAGTACTACGAGTATTAAGTACCTTCAAAAAATATTGAAAGCAATCCAATTGAATATGTCAAAATAGTCCTTAATTCACCTTCTTAAAAAGCTGTTATTGGTGCTAATATCTCTTCAAGTAATATTTATTATTTTATTTGCTTACATTAGTTATTTCAATAATAAATTTTCATGAAAAAGAATTTCTAAAAATTGAGAAGTAACTTAGTATTTTTAAACTATAACTTCAATAAGTTTTACTTATCATTTTCAAATTAAATAATTAAATAAAATCATTTGAAATACATAAACGGTTGTAAAAAACTTTAAAACAAAACAATTTTTTAAGTTTGAACTAGAAATTTATATTTCAAAACACTTATTTAAAAAAATATAAATTTATTCAATTTAATCAAAATTTATTTATTTATTTTTTTTATTTAATAGAAAGCTAATCTAATAGACCAACCCTAAATAGTGTAGATGTTTTCTAAAACTCTAACTTCTTATTAATTAGATAATAAGAATTTGGTGACTTAAGTGGTTTAAAAATTAACTTTTTTATATATTCTGATGAATTTGCAATTTACAATGTTCATGTAACATATCATGCTAATTAAGAGGCTTTGAAATTTAAATATTTGGTGCTAAATAACAAAATTACAGATGTTCTTGATAGTTATGAATCTAGAGGTTTGTATAAAATCTTTTTGTGGCTTTAGTAAGATTTTAAATCAGATTTAAAGGTAAACTTTTCAAAAAAATGCATGTCTTAAAATTTTTTTATTTTTTTAACAAATAGATAGAGTTAAAGGCTATTGAAGGATAGTTTTATTTTTAGTACTGTTAATAAGAAAAAGATCATTAACTTTTAGATTGCGTATAGTCTTAAAATAATAACTTAGTGATACCATTAAGTTAGCTTAAGGAAAATATTTTAGTTTCTTACGTGTAGGTAATTCCATAAATCATGCCTGGTGCAGTATCTTAATCTCATTAAACGCTTTAATATTCTTTAGGAATGTATTTATCTTATTATGTAATAGAATTAGACAAGAATAGAGCACATTCTTTCCAATTAAAATTAGATGAGTTTTAATATTACAAAATAAATATTAGTCAAGGTGATATAATAAAATTTCAAATGACTTCAGACAATGAAACAATTGAAGGGATGAATGCTGTTGCATATATTTCTTTTGATTATTTATCAATTTATAAACCTAACCCAGATAACTACAACAAAACTTTGTATGAGAACTAAGTGATTTATATTGATTAATAGCATACACAAAAAATTTGTGAAACACCTGCTAAGTTAGGAATGAATTGTTATATTACTCTAATGTTTATAGCTAAAAACAAGAATACGTAAATAACCTTTAGTGCTTTTAATGTAGAACACTAGGTAAATATTTATTTATTTATTTCAAAAAAATTTTTTAAAATCTTTTAATTCTTATAAGATTCAACTTCATGAGTTTATGGTCCACAAGTAAGAATACCCTGATTAAAAGGATTCATATCACAAATATTACTACTTTTCAAAGAGAAACTCAACTACGTTTTTAGAAACTTTTAGTCCCTTGGCAGAATTGGAAATATATATTAATTTTGTTAATGTTTAACATACTTTCTTCAATTATACAAAAATTGATTCCCTATATCCTACAAAAGCTTAACATAATTATTAGGTTAGATAGACTGGAGATCCATATTTAAAAACCTTAGTGTTTGACAATAACTTAATGGATGTAAAGAATTCTGAATGCTAAGGCAGAAATGTATGTGTATACCTTATTGCAATAAAATTAGCTGACGGGTATTACGAAAAAAACTTCATTGATGAGTATTACAGAGTCAAAATGTTTAATTAAGAAATCTTAATTTAGTCTAATCAAAGAAATCTATACTAAATAAGAAAAGAATAAAATCTTTACTTCAAATTTTCAATCGATCCTAAAGAGGAGCGTTACATTCTACATGTGAATCCTATTGGTATTTGCGATGTAGAAACAGTCATCCTAAAAAGTAAATTATTTAACAAACCTTTTTTATAAACAAAAAAACTTATTATTTTTTAGTGGGATAACAACAACAATATAGCTATACTGAAAAAGGAGGAAGCTTAATAGTGATAGATTAAGATAATGCCTTTGAAGATAAATAAATATAAGGAGATTACTTAGCTACGGTAACTACTAAAGATCCATTCTGCTAATTTTATTTTGTTGCATATGGTACATCATACTAATATGTCAAAATAGAAGCAGGGCACTATTTCCATACTAATTTAGAAATCAACCAATAGCTCTTCCTTGAATATCAAGATAATTCTCCTACTTCTTTTAGAATAGAAGCCTCGGTAGAAGAAGGTTCCATAAAAATGGGAGTTGAATCTGAGAGTAATTTAATTTTAAAATGTTTTTAATTTTGTAATTTTTATGGGGGAAGTTAATAATTAATTAATTTGAAAATAAAAAATTTCAATTTTAATAAAATTTAAATTATTTCAATTTAAAAACAATTTATTTTTACAAAAAATCCTCATAAAAATTATATTTTTTTTATTTCATAATTTAAAAAAAATAAAATAAAAAAGAATACATAATTTAATGGAATCCTCAAAAACCGATTATATAATACGGAGTGAATAATTTAAAAGATACAAAGAGACACACAATATTTTGGGATAAGGAAAAACATCCAATTTGCACAAGATGTAAATATATTATAGCTGTATAAGCAATTAGAGAAACTAGTCTTTCAATTGTTGTTAAAAATGAGGAAACCTATACAAATTTACCAGCTTAGAGAATGTTTAGAGTTGAATCATTAAATAACACTGTTGATCTATTCCACTTCTATCCTCATTCTTAAAAATTTAGTTTATAAGTAACATTAATTATTGGTACTATTTAAGTATATGGTAACAAAGGTTTTACTATTACACCTAATAATTTTAATGCTCTTTTCAATTTGTTCTCAGTATACACAAGCTAGGAAGTTACTTTTACTCCATAAACTTATGGGCCTGATGATAATCCTGAAGAAAATCACTCTAAGCCATATAGTTTCGCAGTCAAATCTATGAAGGATAGTGTTTATGTTATTTCATTTTAATCTAATGACAAAATCATGCACTTAGCAAGTGGGCTACCTTACTTTAAATAATTGGATACCCTAAGCTAATTAGAGTTACAATATAAATCAATTTCTAGTGGATACTTCAAAAGTACTGAGTTTACAATTTACTTACTTAATGATTTCTACAATCAAGGAATCAATTAAAATATTCAGAGTATAATATAAGAGTATAATGATTAAAATTAACTTTAAAATAAAACACTTACATGGGATGATTTTTATCCAACAATCACAATCTAAGATAAGAAATTTAATTAAGGATTTAGCAAAACTATGCTCTCTAATTCAACAATTCTTTTCCATAAAGATAGCAAAGTTGACACTTACACCATCAAATTTTCCTATGATACATAAGGCCTGATAAAGTTGAATGAAGCTGTGAGATTCTACATAATTCCACACACAGGTATTCAACATTTGCTTTAAGGCTAGCTGATTTAAAAGTTTTCTCTATAAGGCTAGTATGACAGCTTTGAATTTTATGCTGAAGGTAAGCATGAGATTGTTATAGAATTAGTGTAGTGTTTTGGTTAGTCTATTTTAGCAGTATCAGATGAAAGTACTAATTCATATGGAGCTCATGAAATTTAAGTCATGGCTGAGCATCCAAGCCTTTATGTTTCTAAAATAGAGTCTGGTAGGACTGATACCGAGATTTAATTAGGACACATGAGCTACTTTTTAACCATCCAAAATTTGCAAATGTCCTAGTATCGCTTAAGAGCAAGTGTTTATCCATCATAAACTAGATACCCATATTAAATATTCAATAGTGGAGATTTCTTTACTTTTAGTTACAATTAAAAAACATAAATGTTAGATATTTCTTTTGATGGGCTTCAGTGTTACTTTAATTGTGACAGTAATATCTTTACATTAGTAAATGTACTTTATGTATTCGATTCTGATTATTATTCACCAAACGCAGCTTAGGGTAGTGCAGTTTGTGGTGATGCTTTATTTTTCTAAAAGCATCTCCAGTATGTCAGTTATAAAATCAATAATATCGAATCAGTTTATAATAACACAGCGACAGGCAACTAAATAAATCATAAAGGTTTAACCACAAGCATAAATATCAATAAAATATTAGATGATACTGCAAAAAAATTGAAAGTACCAGAATTTTACATTAGTTTAGTAGGAAAGGCTTAGTTCTTTAATAGATAATCCTAAAGACTAGAATCTTTTTATTTCCCTTATAAATCAATAACAATAAATGTAGAGTGGATTGAAGGTGAAAGAAATAAAAGCTCCAAAATTGCTCTCATAATTGGTTTGGTTGTAGGTGGTATTTTAGTATTTGGACTCATTGGATATTTTACTTTCAGATGGTACAGAAAATCTAGAAGAAATATATCTTTTGAAGTGCATGATGCTCTCAACACTTCTATTTCAACTCAACCTCAAAGGGCTCTTCAAGCTAATCTAAATTAATCTCTTGAAATGAAAAAATATAAGGAAAACTATTCACAATTCAAAGATGAAGAAGACTAAGAAGTTTGATTCAAATTTTGTTTTTGTTTTCATAAAAGTATAAATAGATGTTTTTTTTATTTTTGAAAGTATTTTTAATGAATTGTTAAATTGAAAATGATTAAATTTTTCATTCATTCATTCAATCATTTTATTTTGTTTTAAAATTGCTATTTTTCAGATTAAAATAAAAATTGAATAACTCATGAAATATTTGATAGTTTAAAAAATTAATATAAAGTGAATAATAACATCTATACTATCAAAATAGGAGATTTTTTAAAATTTAGATTAACTCTATTGATGTTAATAACATTAATAAAATCATTTTTATATTAAAATTTTATATTTTGATTTTCATTATTATTAAAAATTAAAAATGTAATAATGAAATATTAAATATTTTATTTTTAAATCATTAATTAATTAGTTTTGTTAATTTATTGTTTAGCTTATTTTTTATATTCAAAATAATGAATAAAGATAAACTTAAACATTTATTTTTATTATTTTAAATAAACTTTTTCAATAAAAATAAAAATGATTGTTTGGATTAATTTCATTTTTTAATATCATTTAATATTCACTTTTTTTTTATTTATTTTATTTCTTTTTTTTATAGAAGTTTGATACTTTCTGTTTATTTAGGATGTATACAAATATATAAAAAAAAATGATTACTTGTCAAATACAAGAGTCTATTTATTTTTAAATTTATTTCTACTTATATAATTATAGTTGGTATTGAATTATTATTTTAAGAATACTAAAAATTGAAAGTTCAGGCCAGTTTTCTTTGATAAAAATAATTTACGTGTTAGTTGATTAGTAAGTTAAAAAGTTGCTTAATCTATTTTCATTGGAAGTACGGATTAGTATATCAGGACAAGTTTTTATATGCATATTTTCCATTATGACCTTGTTATCTATTTTATTAATGTCTAATTTTTTATCCTCCACCTATTGAATAATTTAAATTTAAAACATAATTCTATTTAATGTATTGAATTACCTATTTTTTGATTTATGAAAAACAATTCTCTATTTCATTCTGTGAGTTATATGCAAAGCATATGTTTAAAAGTAAAGTTTTATTATTTTTTGTTAACTCTTCCATTTCTAGCATTGATTGTTGCACTTCTTATGGAAGCAATTTTAAATCTCCACAAACCTTCACTTTGATATTATATCTTTATAAAAATTCTCCATCATTTGCAAGTTTTCTTAAACTTTTTTAGGCTAAATTCATGAGAACTTCAACTTCTTCTTTTGATCTATTAAAATTTTCTATTGCAAAAGCAAATACCGTCATTTCCTTGACTCCTAAATGGAAGCACCACTCACAACATTTTTTAAAAGTAACAAATCCTGAAAAATGCCCCTCAGTTTTTTATTTTCCTTAATTAGTAGCGTATCTCCTATTACCATCCATAATAAATGCTACGTGATTTGGAATATGTCCTTGCTTCAAAACTTTGATGACAAGTTTTTCATAGAATTTAATTTCTGGTTTGATTTCTATAACCTTTTCTACTTTTTAAGTTTCTTTGGTTTGAACTTTTTTATCTTACTAACTTTACTAATTTATTTGCTTTCCTTCAACCTAGTTATTCATTTAGTAATTTTTTGTGTTTAATTTATTTAGAATAACAAATTTAATATATAAAATTTTGATAATTATGGTTAACTAAATTTGCTTTTTTTAAATATTTATTACATTATTAATATTTTAAAAATTATAATTTTATCACAATATTTTGCCAACATTGCAAAATAATCAAAATTGTATAATTATTTATCAAAAATTAATTGAAAATATTGTAAAAAATTATCTTATAAAAATATTTAAATTAAAATAAATAATAACCTATTTCTTAAAAAATTATAAGTGTAATTTAAATATTTATTATCATCCATCTAAAATAATAAAATAATAATATTCTTATGTTTTTACAAATGACTTAATCAAAAAAAATTTTTTTAAATAAGATAATTAATTATTTAAATATATTTTTATCTAAAAAAACTATTCTTTTTGTTGTATTTAAATTCTTATTTATTTATAAAGGTTTATATGGACTTATAATAAAAAAAAATATAATTTAATAAATTTTATTAATTTTATGCATATTACTTTTTTATAAAATTTTTTATGTATTACAAAAAAATGATTTTTTATAAATATGAAAATGAATTAATTAATATTTTAGGTAAATAAATAATAAAAGGAATTTAAAAAATTAACTTTAATTTAATAGTTAGCTTTTAATTTATTTGTAGAACTTTACGTTGAGCTTATAATTAATAAAAATAAATATTTTTTTGCCTATTATCAATTTAACTGTATCTTAAAATGAAAACCATTTAATTTTATCTTTTAATAAGTTTTACAATATAAGTAGCTTCATAAGAATGTATGACTGGATGCTAAAAATGTAGATAAGTAGAAAATAATCAATAAATTCAATGCGATTAGTGTTTAGAGCCTTATTAACTCCATAATGGCGATTGCATTTATCAAGGTTGCTCACCTGGTTTATATTTCCAGATAAATCAAAATTAAGATAATAAAACTACAGGGAATTGTTTTTCTATTTGTGATCCTCATTTTTATTCTGATATTTAAACTAATACTTGCAAAAAATTAGTATAATGTTCATCAACTTATTCAACTTAACAAAACTTTAATGAAACTCCTCTCGATTTTTTTATTTATAAATAATAATATTATGTTGCCTTATTAACAAGCCAACTTTCTATTTATGACTAAAGTATGCTAGGTTTAGTTAAAAATCTAAAATATGAGTAAGATGATTTAACAATTTAATAAGTAAATGGTTCAATTATTGCCATAAAAAATGATTTATCTATTAAAATTTGGGATATCATAAATGAAATAAGAAATGATTGTGATAATATTACTCCTACTTCAGTTAATCAAAAAATTTAATTTGCCTAGTTTTTGAATTAGTATTTAGTAATCTTATGGATAGATAATTAGAGTACACAGCTATAAATAATTTATGATTTAATTAATAATAAATAATTTAATTCTAATCCTATTCAAATAAGCTAATCCTCTAAATAAAGTTATATTTTAAACGACTATTTATTAATAGGAAATCAAACTAGTTTAATAATTTGTTAAATGGTTTTTTCAAGTGAAAATTATAAACTAAATTTAACGCAATTAGTTATTTTTACTTTTGAAAATTAAGGAAACTGGCTTTAAATACTTTAAACATCAAAATAAAATATATATTATTCAGTTTATGACAATCAAATACTTTAAATTGATTTGCTTTTGCAAAAATGCTCATCTCTTATACAACTAAAATCTATCCTAAAAACAAAAATAATCTAATTAGAAAATAATTCAAATGAAATACATTTAATTATTCTTACTAAAACTAATTTAATAGATTATAGCTAGATTTCTAATTAGTCAAACACTATAATAAGTGATACCTCGAATGTTACTGACTTTGATATTGGCAATTTCACAGGTATAAGCAATCAGATTATAATTCTTGATAATTAAATATAATTAAAAATATATAACTTTTAAAATAGTTAGCTTGGTTAGCCTTAATAAACTATTCTTTTAAATTTTTAAAGTAATTAACTTAAAAAAATGCAAAAAGAATATTAAACATAACAACCTGAATCACTAACTAATTTTGAATTAGCTTTTTTTACTTCTACTTCAATTAACATAGTCAGACCAAAAGGTATCACATAATCTATATTAGAAACATGTATTATTGAAAATTTCAATCATCCTTTTCCTACTCCTTCTTCAAAATTAAATTCTCTTATTATGGTTTATCCTCTATCTGTTTTAATCACTTGCCATTAGAATGGTGATATAATATTTTACGAAGCATCAAGAGGGATAAACATAGATTTAATCTAGAAATTAAGCTTTCCTAATTAAAATTGTATTTAGCTACAGACTTTTTATGATAATAAAATAGCAGCAATTGTAAGTGAAAATATTTTCTTGATTGATACTTCACAATAAATAATATTAAATCAATTATGGAATCTAAAAAATATAGTATAAATAATATCGAATTATGATAAATTAGCAATAAGTTACAATGACTGCATTTAAATTGTTTCTACTGATTTTAAAAGCCTTTTTTTAGAATGCTAGACTTAGTTTTCGAGTAATAATATATAAATAGCTTTAAATAATGATTTAAAAGTGGTAGTACAGAAATAATAAAATATTGAAATTTACTAAATAAGATTAGATATATAATAAACTTAAAAAATAAGTTCAATAACTACACTTTATACTATTTAGTATTTTAATATTATTTAAGTATTTAATTCTGACTAAGATATAGTGTAAAATAATTATACTATTGATGAAATTGTCTTCTTTGATAGTTAAAGTAATTTTAATGTTTGTGATTTTACTCTTTAAGTTACTTATATGTTGAAAATTAGTTAGCTTCAAAATGTTGTTTCAGTTTTAAGAGTAGTCAATGATGATACAGTTTACTTTTTAGCAGGTTTTTTTATTTAATAAGGATAATCAGGTGTTTTTTTAGTATCAAAATATTTAGATAAATACTAATTAGCTTAACAAGATATCTATTATCCCAGCGTGTATTTGCCAAGAAAAATAGTGAATGAATATGGAAGTGTATTTTATAGCTTTTAAGTTCATTAATAATTGAGCTTTTTTAGTGTCATTTTTGAAATATAAATTGATATTAATAGAAATATTAATTATGTAGTAGGTTTTGAATATGTTAATATTGATTAAGAATCAACTTATTTAAGTAAAACTATTGGATCATCTGAGAATTTTATAAATTATATTGGAACATCATCTGGTTTGATTTATACTGGTAAATAATAAACATAAAGATACAAAGAGTTAAAAATAAGCAGTAAATTTTTATAAGCAAGCTAAAAAGATGATGAAATACAAGAAATAATTTAAAGTGCTTAGATGGGCATGTATTTTATAAGAACTAATTATTAAATATCATCATTTAATATTTTCACTAATTAATTTATCGAGTTGTTAAATCCATAATATCCAAATTATAAACCTTTTAATTCTTTTAGTATCATTGCAGGAAGTTCAGGAATTGTTTGTTGGAATTAGGACTAGCTTCTTTTTGCTATTTATGGATATAAAACTTAAAAATATTACTACAAAGGTATGAGTGTGATTAATGGATGGATTTTTAATTCATCTTCAAATAATTTTATTATTTATGGAAGCAGTTTTATCATTCTTAGCTTAGAACTTACAATTACGCAAGTAATTGTAGATGATTAGTCATAATTATAATTTATACAATGCTAAAATACTTCTAATTATTTTGTTTGTAGTATCTCGACAAATATGTTTGTGATAGTGACAAATCAAATGAATTAATTTAATATTTAAAAAATACAAGTAACAGGTTTTAATAATAAATATAAAATAGCTATTGATGAATAACAACAAACGATATTTTTATATGGTGATTAAATTTAAGTTTACACTTAATATGGAGTGTTAATTTAAAAATATATGATCAATACATAGTTTGACACTTTTTTCATAGCAGAAATGTACATTTTATTTCAATCCTAGCAATGTAATTTTATTAATTTTTTATGTTTAAACAAATAAACTTATTAATATTATAACAATAATTAGATATATATCTGCTTGAAAGGGAATCATTAGATTTATACTAGAATTATATCTAGGCACCTTCAGGATTTATTATAAGAAATTATTTATATATAGATTTTTTATAATATATAATATTATATTTAAATAATGGTTCATTTGCTTAGATTTATATCTATGATGCAAAGTCCTTTCAAAATATCGGAAAATTAAACAGTATCTTTACAAGTAACATGTAAGGTGATGTATTGAATATGTATTTTGACTACAGTTCTGCTCAAATTACTTACTTAGATACTTATGGAAATATTTACGTTTATGATTTGTTTAATGAATTTTCTATTCAAGATATTTTCAAAATTTCTGAAGTTTATGACAGAAATGAAAAATTAATAAGCTTTTCATATGATGAAATTACTAATAATATTCTGGTATATAGTACTAATAAAATTTACTAAATAGATTATAGCTTATCAGGGTATATTTATGAAGCCTAGCTAAATGAACAAAGTAACTTATTTGCATCAATACTAATTAGTAACTAAAATGAGAACTATTTGGAATTTTTATTTTTTAATTCAGATAATGTTATTTTTAGATATTCATAATACTAAATTGATTTCTAAACCATAATTGATGGTAGTAAAATCATAGATATTATGTATAATTAAGACTAGGATATTTTAATAATTGCTTTATAAGACTCAGTTATATTTTAATAAAATTACTAATATTCAAAAACTAATAATTTAATTACTGAATAAATTATATTAAAAAATATATAATTTTTTAAATTTTTATATTTTAGCATTTATCTTACTTATGATAAAAAAGTAATTTACTGCAATATCAAAACTGGAGAGATAATTAGTTCTGTTTAGCTATAAGCTACAGTTCTTATCACATAATATAAATGTAACTAAGATTAAAATATAATTTTTATAGGTTTAAGCAATGGTTAAGTGCTACAATTCAATTTGAGTGATTTAAGCTATTAATATTATATCATTAAGAGTAGTAATAGTCAGCTTAATACATCAATAATATCTATTAATTTAGATAATAGTTAAAAATAAATACAAACAGCTTACTTTACAACTAATGGTGGTATATTGCAAGCTGTAGATATTATCAATAAAGAAATAATTTAAGAAATTAATCTTATAGAGCTGGTATAGGAAGATCCTTCTCTTTTTCTAAATGATTTTACTATTGATGAAACAAATTCAAGATTTATTTTTGTTTTTCATGGCTAAAAAAAAGTCTATGTTTGGAATTACTTTACAAATAAGCTAGAATAATATCTAGCTGTTGCTAAAGATTAAGGAGTTAAAATTAAAGTTACCTAAAGCTACTTAATAACATTCTGCACATTTTAGTTAAGTATTTATACAATATCAAGTTAAATTTAGTTATTAACAATAATCAAAAGAAACTTATCGAATGATTAAATAACTGATTATTCAGTGATAAACAATACTATAGTAGTATTATTTTTTATTTCTAAATATGAAGTCTATTTACTTGAAAATTATACTATCAGCATAATTTCTTAATAATAATATTAATATCCTAGATAGCTTGGTTATATTTTTAACTAATAGAATAATAATTTAAAACTTTATGGATTACATTAAAATGGAGTTTTTGAAGATGACTATAACATATAGATGTATTAAGATTCTGATTAAACTCAATGCTCTATCATAATAAGCGATAATAATGTCTCTTAATTAAACTAAAAGATTTCAAATATTAAGCCCAAATAAAATTTATTGAACACAATATACGGAAGTTCAACCTAAGATTAAAAAAATTGGATGAATATTATTTATTTGCAAGTTACAGATGATTAGTTCTAAAATGTCAATTAATACATCTAAAAAAATCAGTTCTCTAACTCATAATTCCTATTTTACCCTTAATAGGATAACACTAATCTTACTTTAACATATGAAGTATTTTAAAATTATGAATAAGAGATGCTTTTTTTGTTTAATTATAATTTCATTTTTTAGGAAGGCAATTAACAAACATTAGTTAATTTAAATTAAAAGACTCAAATTATCTCTTGGCAAAATATAAGTATAACTGATTAATGTCTAAACAATATTTAAATAAACATTTAAAATATACAAAAAATTACACTGCAATCTATTAAAATATCAATGCTTACTTGTAAAAATTTTAGTATTGCTCATAGCTAACCATATTTTTTTAACTTTTAAAATATATCTCAAGTTTATATTTATGATTTAGAAGTTTCAGATTTAATGCTATAGTTTTGTGATAATGTGACTCTCTTTAATTTAAATCAGATTGAAACAGTTTTTATAAATGGAGCTAAAATTATAAATAATAGAAATATCAATTCTTTATTTTAATTTACTTAAATAAGTAATATAACAATAACAAATGTAAGTATCAGTAATAACTAGAATATTATAAACAATACTTTAAGAAGGTCCTTATAATAATAAATATTAATTGATAGCGTTTCAAGTTTCTCTATCTTAAACTTTTTTGGTTGTCAAACAATGATTATTTAAAATTCTTAGTTTGAAAATAATACATCAGTTTAATTGATTTAATCTTTTGGATATTTAACTCAAAACAACAAGATGACAATATTATTTGATGATGTTTTTGAATTAAAAAATTTGAATATTACCTCTAATATAAATCCTAACAAATAGATTTTATCCTTTGTAAATTCTAATCTGATATTTTAGAATATAAAATACTAATCAAACTAAGGTATTTTCATTATAAGTTAATCACAAAATGTATCCATAAATTAGAGTAAATATTCAAATAATTTAGCATAAAATGGAGGAGCTATTTAATTTAAAAATACATAAAAATAAATCTAGTTTACTAAATGTATATTTTAAAAGAATACTGCTTTGAGTAGCGGAGGAGCTCTTTATTTTGAAAATATAGGATCTACTTTGATTTTATTTGATTCCTAAACTTAAGTGATAAATAACAAAGCCTTAATCGGAGGTGGATTGAGAATCGTTTCAACAAACTCAAGTGGCTTAACAATCCCTTTAAGCTTTCCTTTTGAAAAAAATGTATATTAAAATAATGCAATTATTTACGGAGACAACTCAGCTACTTACCTTTAAAAAATTTTTATATAAAATTCTAACTCTCAAACAACTACTGAAAATAATTATACATTTAAATTTTTAGACGATTTAAATATTATACCCTAAGAATACCAGAGCTAATATTAAAGTTTAGTTGATATAGGATAATTCTAAAGTGGTGGTTCACTTAAATTATCATTTTAAATAACTGATAATTATAACCGTTGTCTCTCATTTGATCTCTAGACTTTACTTCAAAATAGATATCCTAAAGACATTCAGGATGAACTCAAAAGTATTTAAATTACAATAAATAATTTAAACTCTAATAAAACTGAACTTTTAGGTGAAAGAATATTAAATTACAATTAATATAATAGCAATAGCTTCTCATTTGAATTAACTGAATTGCAAATTTAAGGAGTTTTGTAATCTAAATAATTCCTCTCAATAGATTCTAGCATTTATGAAAATTCTTAAGTTGAGTTGCCAATCCTTTTATCTATTTATTTTAGATAATGCTTAGTTGGTGAAATTATTGAATAATAAGTTAACTAGATTGTCGTATGTAAATTTTGCTCATATGGTACTTATTCCCTTGTCAATCCAAGCATATTATTTTAGCAATCATAAAATATAAAATCAGGAGTAAAAAATGAATGTAAAAATTGTCCAACCTCTGCAACTGCATGTTAAGGTTCTACAATCTAATTAAAAAATGGATATTGGAAATAGAATAATTCCACGGATGAAATTATTGAATGCAATCCATAAATTATGTCATGTTAAGCTGAAAGTCCTTCATCTATAAACATATGCAAAATTGGTTATTTTGGCCCTATTTGCTAAGAATGTGATAACTTAGGAGAAGTTTGGAAAGGACTTCGTTATAGTGAAACTTCAAACAAAGGTGAATGTTAAGAATGCTATTCTCTTAGTTTTCAATGGATTTACCTTATACTTAAAATTAATGGAATGATAGCTTATTTTGTATTCACTACTTTTGTCTTTATATCCTAGTTTAAATACACGCAAACTTGCTATTATTTACGAAGGATGACGCTTTTACCTATTTCAAAGAGTTAAATCAATGACTATTCTGGTTTTTATATAAAAATAATTATAAATTATTGCCAGCTATCTTCTCTTTTGTTACCTTAACCTTAAATATTGCAATTAAATATTAATATCTTGAGTATATTTTTAGGGTAAGCAAGTAGGTATTTAAGCTTGGGAATAGATTGCATGGTAAACGCAGATACAATAAAATAACTTGGAAAAATAATTTTTTTTTCCCTGACTTAATTTTTAACTATTTTATTAGTATTTGTGCTTACTTTAGTAGCCTTCAAGATGATTAAAAAATGCTTCATAGTAAAAAGTTATCACTTAGCAACTTTTTTTCATGTCTTTATAATATTTTTTTAGATAGGTTAAATATCCTATTTTTCAAAAAGCTTAACATGCAAATAAATTGGTAGTCAATTATTAAATCCGTATGATTTAAATGTATTTTGTGACGATGCAAATACTCTTAAGTTTATATTTCCATATTCTGGATTGATGTTACTATTTTGGACTCTTTTACCAATTATTTTCTTGATTAAGATAGTATAGAAGAAAACAAGATTAGATTAATGCAAAACTAAATATTTTTATGGGTATTATTATGGGGAGCTAAAGAATAAGCATTTTTACTGGGAATTTATTAGAATTTACTTAAAAATTATTTTAATATTTATTAACACTTTTCTTAATTAAAATAATCAAATAACAATAAACTCAATCCTTATCGTTATTGGAATTTATTTAATATTGCTTAAAAGAGTAAATCCTTTTATATCTTAAAATATTCAATCAAGCGAATTATAAGCTTATTCATTATTAATAGCAAAAATATATTTAAATTCAATAAATTAGGATTCCTATTAAACTAAGATAACAATTGAGATTTTACTAGTATTAATTGATTATATATTTTATTTTATTTGCTGGTACACAATTTTGGTTTACAAATCAAAGTAAGGCTCCAATTTATCTAGTCGATTAATTAGAGCCTTATTTAAAATATTTGTTACTAAAATTTACTATTAAAAACAAATAATTAACTCAAAGACTTCTTTAAAAACATTCAAGAGATGGAAGTTAATTTAAAAAAATATTGTGAAAATTATATCACTAAGAGTGGCTTAAAACATCAACTTAATTACATCACGATCTAATTAATTAAATAGTTAGCAAACAGAGTATTAATAATAAAGTAAATTTTTAAATTCAATTTTATATTAATTTATTAAAAACACTTTTAATTTATAAAAAAGTAATAACAGAATAATAGAAATTAAAAAAATGTAATTAAAATAGCCCTTTTGTTCTTTAAAATTAAAGTTCTTTTAGATAGAAACAATTCCTTAGTTTAAAAAAAGCAAAAAACTGGAATACAGATGAAGGAATGTTTAACATTATGAGTGATTTTGGATTAAAATCTGATTAAATTTTAGATGAGTAAGATCCAAGTAAAGTATAAAAATATTGTTTCACACCTAAATCCTTGATTTCTAACACTAAACAATCCAACATAATACATGATGAGTAAAATATATGTATTGATGAGTGAATAAAGCTATTTTTAAAATAAGTACTATTGAGATTTTAATTTCTAATTAAAATAATTGTTAAATTAAAAAACACAAAGTTAAATTAAAAAAATATTACTTTTCTAAAACTTTTTATTAATATTAAAAATCTTTTTCTTAATATTTACCATACCAAATTAAAATTTAACATTATTTTATTCATTATTGTGCATAATAATATATTTAAACTTAGATAAAAAGAATTTAACTTATAATAAGTTTTATATTTATTTTAAAATATTAATTATTGATAATTTTCAATTAAAAAACATTTTATCATGGCCAAAATATGTACTAAAAACAAATATATATTTATATAAATTAATACAAAATATTTATTTTTTTATATTCTATGAATATTAGTAACTCATTCAAATAATAAATTTCTCAAACGAATTTGAAAAAAAAAAATAAATTGCTTTTTTTATTATTGAAAAAATAAATTAAATAACTATTAATAAGGGAATACATACCTTTGTTTATAATATGAATAAACTTTTAAATATATTTTTTTTATCTTTTACAAAAAATCATATAAAATATAAAAAAAATTTTGATAAAAATGTGTAAAATATACTAAAAAAGAAATATTTTAATTTAAATTTTGGCCAAAATAGAAAGATTATTAACAAAATTATAATTTTTAAACTTGTTCTAGATTTTTGATATCATCAAATTGAAATTAAAAGTATGGTTTTTAACAGAATTTATTAATTAATTTAATCAACGAATCAATCAGAATGAGAGAAAATTTAATTAAAACTGACAAATAATTAAGAAGCGCATTTGAATTATATGCGCAGTAACTATGTTACTTGATTTAATTTTAATAATTGATCAAATTCTAAAATAGAAATGGCTTACTATAATTAAAAGTGTCTAATAAAAAAAGTAAATTTATTTAAAAAACAAGTTTTTCCTCTAGTGACCTTGATAAAGCAAGCTTCTTCTAAATAGAATAAAAAAAATTCAACTGACTCTATTTTATCTTTATGCAGGTATGGATAATGTATAAAGGATACTATTGATATTTAAAATGTGCAATCCTAATAAAAAAAGCGCAATTTCTTTTTATTATTTTATGATGAGCTAAATAATATGTTTCACTCTCAAAAGAGCAAAGAAAGCTCTTTTTTTCTTATGCTTTTATAGGGTAAAATATGAGTGGGTAATCAATCTTAAGGAAAGCGAAGTAGCTAATAAATTTATATGAAAGTGGGGAAGAAATGAATGAATAGTTAATTAATTAACAAATTAATTAATTAATAGAAACGAGCTAAGGTTATTAACAATTTTTTAATATTAAGCGGTAAATTCATTGAAAGAAATTAGATAATTAATAATAAAAAGAAAAAAGAAGAAATTAGTTTGAATAAATAAAGACTTCTAATATAATAATTTTTAAATCTGTCTTTATTCTTTCATTTAGGTGAATAAATTAGGATATTTGCGTTAAAGTAAATTAATTACTAAATAGAATGAACGAGTCTGAAGAAAGTAAATCCTTTAAGGTCCAGTTAATGGAATACTGGTCATCCAAAAATATGTCAAATATTAAAATTCCTCAAATTGGAGGACGGGAATTGGACTTCTTTAAATTATATAAGGCTGTTATTAAGAGAGGAGGTGCACAAGCTGTTTCTAACAACAAAATGTGGAAGGAAATAGTCAACGAGTTCGGCTTCCCCTCCACTTGTACATCAGCCTCATTTACTTTGAGAAACCACTATACTCGTTTCTTGCTAGGTTATGAATAAAAGTACTTTTTCCATAAAGGAGATGAAGAAGCCATGCCTGTTTTACAAGCTGGACGCAAACGTAAGAGAAAAGATAATCAAGATAGCAAGCAAGGTGATTCTTCTGAGACAGGATCTGATTCAGAAGAAGCAAAAGACTAAATTGAGAAAAAAGTAAAGCCAAACTAGGTAATCATTAAAGACAATTATAATTAAAAATCTTTTAAAGTTAATTCGAGTATATTTTGCTCATCTATCGCTCTCAAAAGGGAGTTTGTTTTAGTTTTATAAGTAGGAGTGAATTTATTAGATTAACAATAAACATGCTATATAAAGCATAATTTTATAGATTAATAGAAATTTATTAAAATATCTCGTATTTTATAAGAAAATAAAATATTATTAAATATTATAATTGCCCTTTAATTACTCTAAAATTATCTCTCACGAGGTTTTTTTATTCTAAATAATTCGCTTAAATAAGCTAATAAATGTTTCTTTTACTTATTTTTCCTCTTTTCCAAACCAAACCAAGTATAAAAAATACTCTCAATATTTTGAAGAAACAAATAAAAAAATATGTTATGCATCCAAAATCTTTATCTTAATAGCAGCAGTAGCTTGCTTTTGAAAATAATAGATTTTTATATTTCTAAATAAATAAAAATATTAAATATCACTTATTTGATTATCAATACAAATAATACAAGATTTTCAACTTTATTTACAAAATAAAAATGAATTTATTGTTTTTAAAGATATTTAATAGGATAGGAATAAACACGTTTATATTAAGAATTTTACTTTTTTTCATAAAGCGCAGTTCATTTTTAACATAATTTTAAGATAAAATTCAGAATTTAATGATAATAAAACTGATACATAAACATTTAAAACTTAAAAATGAAAATAAATCAAAAATATTATAGCATATTTATTTAATTTAATAATTATTTATTTATTTATTTATTTATTTTATCAAAAGCCTAATAATTTATCGATTGTTTAGCAACCAAACAAAGAAGATGTCAAAATATTAAATCAGTAATTTATAAGACCAAACTAATTGAAGTCAAATCCTTATCCAGTAATGAGAATGGAACCTCCTAAACAAGAATAAAATAAGAGCACCTTATATAAGTAATTAAGTGAAGCATATTAGTTGAATCAAATAAATACAAGACAAGAACTATTCTTCACCAGAAAGAACAAAATGTTCCCTATGGTTTAAGACATAAAGAGAATTTCACTTGCCTTCGAAAGTAGAATATAAGATGAAATAACTTTTGCTCTAAATTAATTACTCCTCTACTCAGTTAATAGTATGCATCAGTTTACTCTTGAAAGTTATAATCACTTGCTTGAAGGTATTGTCCAATATCTAGAAGAGATTATCAAGAATGTACCTTCCCTTAATAAAATTTTGCAACTTAAAGAAATTAAACCAAGAACTTTGTAAGAATATGGAGGTACTTCAGACTATAGCTATTCTGGACCTCCTCCTACAAAAGAGGCATTTAAAGAGCTTTGTATCTTAGACAATTATAACTTCCCTATATGTGATATAGTCTTATTTAATTCTTAAAAGAAAAAGGAGGTTTCTCCTATTGTTTTCTTACGCAAAAGAAAGCGCTATAATGTTGAAAATCTTAAAGAAATGGCAGGAGAAGTTTATTTGCTTGAACAAACCCGCACAATCTTTTTAATTTTAAGAAATTTTTCATTTACTAAATCGAATGAAGTCTACATGGCTAAAAACGAAAGATTATTATAGATAATGATTTAGCTATTTATCCTTAATTCAGATTCTTAAATAACAAAATACATATTAGATATCTTGGCTAATATTTCAAAGCAAATATAACTTATGAATATTCCCGATTACAAGTTATTCTGTGAAAGGCTCTTTGAATTGCTTAATGCTGATACAAGTGATGAACTTGAGGCTTGTGTTGACATAATCCGTAATTTGATTGCCATCTAAGAAAACGAAAGTATTATCGAAAACTTTTTACCAAAATACATTGACTAAGTAACTAGACTCATGCTTTAAGCTTAGGGAGATATTAGAGAAGGCATTTTAGAGTTTCTCTGTTTCCTCAGCGATTTACGTATGGCAACACGTGTTCAATTGGCTCGTCATCCTAAATTAATTATGAGAATGGTTGGTCTGCTCTCTTCTGGAGTCATGAAATAAAATCGCTAACTTCCAAGCCATCTTTAATAACAACAGCACAACTAGCAAGGGGAAGGAGAAAGAAATTCAGAAAAAATTACTAAATTAGCAGCCTTAACATTAAGTAATATTTCTCTAGCCCCGTTATCTCGTGCATATTTGAAGCCTTTTGAAAGAGATTTATTTGTTGTAGCCTCAACAGATGAAACAGTAACAAAATATATTTCAAATATTTTGAGTGAACTAATGAACTATGAACCTGAAAGTGATCCTGAAAGATAATATATGTTTTAATCAATAAACATGGCAAACATATGATGAATATAACAACAATTCACACAAACACACACATATTTTCATTACTAATATAAAAATAAAAAGAAAATTTAAATTAATTCCATAAAATTTCTGCTCATGTACTATCTATCATTCTATATTCTGTTGTCCTTTCTTTCTAAAAAATTATATATTTTTTCTTTAATCTTTCTTATTATTGTAAATTTGTTTTATCAAAAACCATATTTACTGCTATAAAAATGATAAATTTATTTAAAAAGCTACAGTAGTATTCTGCATTTTATGTCTTTCATACCTTATAAATTAAAATATTTTTTTTAAAACTACTATAAAGTTTATTTTTAACTTAAAAAAATACAATATTTATTAATCATTTAGTTCGTTCTGACAATATTTTCTCTTGTCATTCTAATAAAATTTTATTGCTTAAATATTTATAAGAAAAATAAAAGAAAAAATTACCAGATTTTTTAAATGAATTTAAAAATTTTTACCTTAAAATTGAATATCTTTCATGACAGCCAAATCTTTTTTGATAAATTTAGCATTAAAATTTTTTCTTTTTTTATAATAATTTCATAATAAAAAATGGTATTTGATGGTTAATATAAATGATTTTTAAAATTTTCTTTGAGATTTACAGAAAACAAAAATATAAATATTTTATAATTACTAAATTCATAAAGCAATTTATTTGCCTAGATTTAATTGTTAATATAGAAAAGAAAATTTATTACTTTTTTTTTGAAAAGAATTCATTAACTTTCTCCAGTATGGATGGATTTACGTAAAAATATAATATAATGAAAATTAGCTTAAAAAATAGAATTGATAAAATAATATAAAATGAGTGGAAATAGATTTTGTCTATATTCATTTGTAATAGAAGCATATTTAGAAAATGGATAGAACTCAAATAATAAGATAAATATGCTGTTTAGAATAGTAAAATAATAGAAAAGAAAAGAAAAAAATGGATATTTTTATTTTAAACTAGATGAAGGGTATGTGTCTACATTAAAATATGTGAAAAATATTAATTAAGTGTTATATAAGTGAGATTGATTATTTAAATTAACTTAGAAAACATAATTGTGTATATAGTATAAGTGATAAACGATTAAGGCCATTTTTTATTATTTTTCATTCATGATGTCCTAGACATAAAACTGTTCTAAAAAGATTTTTTTTCCTCATAAAAGACATTCAATTTATTTAATCCTTTTCTATATTGCTTTGAAAATGCCTTTTTGATTAATTGATTAATTAATAAACTCAACGATTTATAATATTTTTACTTTTGCTTCTAGACAAAGGTTTAGATGCTTTGTTTGGTTTGGTTTAGTTTTATTTATTTTCAATTATGTGAAATATGATTTAATAATTTAGTTAGTAAGTAAGGAATTTAAAGTTCGACTTAATTTATTAGTTAGTGCTTGGAAGAAAAGAATTATTGATATTTTTAAGAGAAACTATCTATTAAAAAATGAATTTTATATCTAATTAAAGAATTCTTGATTGATTGTGATATATAGTATTTTATATTTTAAAATTAGTTAATTATTTTGTATTGTATTTATTGTGTTGTGGGTTGGTTAATTGTTTTGAATATTAAAATTAAAATTTTTTGTTTCTTCCTAAGTTGGGTTTTTCCTTCAATTCTATTCAGTTTATTCCATAGCTTTGAAATTAGGATTAGAAATATCAATAGATTAAATTTGATTAAAGGAAGGAAGAAGATTAAATTGGTTTTCATCGTATAATTTTGTATCTTCAATCTTTGGTAGAGCTGAGTTATCAATATTCTAACCAAAAATTTATTCAAATGTTTAGTTTTTCATTTAATTTTCTTACTAACCAAAAAGGGTACTCATAGTTATTTATGATGTACTTGAATTCTCTTTTTTAATGTTAAAAATGTCATTTTCAAACTAATTCACAGATTTTTCAATCTGTTATCTATCTCTGCTCTGATTAATATAATTATTATTACGTCCTTCTATTCTTTGAATTTAATTTGAGATATCTTCGGGATTTGAAAAAGATTAACGTTGATTAAAGCGGTGGACATTCAGATGGGAAGTATAATTTTAATCAGAACTAGAGAAGTAATGTTAGTGCTTTTATTAATTTGATCCATCAAATTTCGATTCTTCCTCTTCTTCTGAATCTACTTACTTGTATTCATCTATTCTTTTTACAGGTTTCTCGAGTCTTTGCTGATACATCTTAGGACTGTCACTCTTTTATTTAGTGATTTATTTAGTTTTAGGGAGAGGTTCAAAACTGTTTTTGTTTTCGTTGCTTCTTTCTTCTTCGTTTTCTTCTTCATCATCTTAATCATCACAATATGCAGCATTTGAACGGCCACCAACTCTGTTATTTTAGAGGTTGCTACGTATACTTTTAGAAGAAGGAGCAGCTTTTTTGACAAGTTTTTCAATCAGTTCATAGTCAAGAGGAAGAACAAACTCTTCTGGGAGTTAGAAATTGAGCTCTTTGCTGGGTTTTTTTTCTCCATATTTTTTCTGCATATCCTAGTTGAATTGACGAAGCATGCCCATCTTTTCGTTTAGTCTCTCAGAAAAATCGAAGTTATATTATTCAGCCTTTCTTAATTCCAAGAAGTAGTAGTCTAGTGTTTTTTTCTTGCACTACTTTGCTTCGTTGGCAACGACTTCTAGAGATATCATTTTAAGACTTTTTGGTTTTCTTTTATTAGCTTCAGATCTTGTATCTCTCCAAAGCTTGACAAGCTGAAGAGCTTCTCTAATAGTTCTTTCTTCCATTCTTTTTTCTTCATCTTATTCGATGCTACTACTGTTACTGGTATTCTAATAGTTATTACCCACCTCACTGAAGTTATCATTTTTAAAGAGAATTTAAATTAAACCATTCTCAATATGCTAAAGTCTACTATGAGTGATGGGATACCTACCTAAGTAAATATTTATATCACTTTTCTTGATTGAAATGATAGTATTTTCATCAATATAAGTTCTAACTAATTGCATTTCAATAATTTAGTTGATATCATATTATTTATCGTCAGTTATAGGTATTAAAATCTAATCAAAAGCATACTTAACACCAGTCTTTTCGTTTATAAGAACTAGGTTTATTAGTCTTTCTTGAGTATGTCCTATGTTTTAGCTAGGAGGGAAATATGTTAATGGTGGTATACTTGGTTTTCCTTAATTAATTTTCATTTAGTGCTATTCTAGATAATTCTAGCCTTAATCTTCCATATCTACTTTGAAAAGGGATTCGAAATCGTCGTTGCTATTTTCAGCGTTAACTTGCTGCTAATAAGAGAAGATTTATAAATTGTCTTATTAGTTTTCAAATAAATTATAGTAGTAGCTACTATCAATATTAGCGTTGTTATTTAAATTGTTATAGAGAGTGTAATTAGAATTTTATCTATCTAAATATAAACTGTTAGAGGTCAAATAATTATTATTGGTGTTGAAGTTGTTGTTATTGTTTGTGAATTGCAAACCTTAAGAGTAATTATTTCCACTCAAAATGTTATTATGGTCACCAATAAAAAAGTTTTAGTTATTTGCTTGTGCTGTGTCAAACTGAAAATATGTGTTATTATTCGAAATTAAATCATTACCTTAATTTTCAGTATTTTACTATTCCTACATGCCTAAATTGCTACTATTCATTTCTTATTAAAAAAATTTATTAATCTTGCTATTACTTTTCTTTTTTTTTTTGCTCTAATGATCTGATCAAGGATATTTTATTACGATTAGTAAATTATTATTGATTTCTAAGTGTCTTCTATAAAGATTATCTAATTTTTTATCAAAATATTAATTATTACTTAATTTAATAATTTATAAAACTAAATCTTGATCTAATAACCTGCGTATTTAATATCTTTTGATTCTTTTAGCCCTGCTAAGGTTTCATTTCATTTGTTTAAATATTCAAATAACTCTTTCAAATCCTTTATTTTCTTTTTTCTTTTATTAATCATTTTATCAATTCTCAAAAACTCTAATACGTAAAGACAAATATATAAATTTATATTTCTAACCATCCATCCATTTTCAAAACACATTTTTTTAAATTATAGCTTAGAAAATAGTTTCAATAACTATCAAATGATACTTTGACCAGATTAAATACCAAAACCTAATTAATGCTAACCAGAATAATAAAAATAAATTATATTATTTTTCATTAATTTTATATGCTACAATTTTTTCTGGTAGGGTTTAATAATTGTTAATTAAATAGTCTAATTGAAAAATTAAATATTAATAAAAACATCTACTAACCATTTCAATAGATAAGGTAGTTATCTACTTTATTTTCTGTAAGTAGGTTCATTAAATATTTCTAAAATTTATTTTTGTTGGGTGCAAAAAATTACAGTCTTATTTTTTTAAAAAAAGCTTTATTTATTTGATAAAATTTTATAAATTCAAAATTAAAGAAAATAGACAGACACTCTTTAATTACTTTAAAAAGTTTATTAATTAAATTTGAATTAAAATTATTTTCTATAGAGTACTCTTTATTTTTATTATAGATTAATTGTTTTAGTATAATCTTAGCAGAAAAATATTATCTTGTAGATTTTTTAAATGATTAAAGTAATAATTTAAAAAGATCATTCTAATTTTCTTTTTATGAATCTAAAAGAAATCCACTGATCAGAAATTTTTGGGTTTGCTTATTATTTTATCAGTGTCTGTAACTTTTCTTAAAAGAATAAATATGCGTAATTATTTTTGATATTTTTTCTAATGCTTATTCAAAAAGAAAAAATTAAATACTAAAAATTATTTTTTTATTTTTTTATTTTTAAAAGCATTTTATATTTTAAGCAAATATAAAATTTATTTTTAAATTATATTACTAAAATATGTAAGGAAAAATCTTCTAATAAATTAATTAAGCTTATAATATTTTACTATATTATTTATCATTTACAAACAGAAGTAATGAAAAAATTCTTATCTAATTTTAAAATTAAATTTGACACGCAAAATTAATTTAATTAAATATAAGGTTAAAAATGATAAAATTTTTGTTCAGAAAAATTTAGAGCAAAAAGGCTTTTGAATAAAAAATACTATTAATATCAAAAATTTCAATCTATGATATCTATGATGATCAATTTTACATTATTTATACGTTTTATCCCATTAATTAAATCAATTAATTTTATACTTCAACTTAGTTTCTTATACTTTTAGCTTGCCAATTTATTTTTCTACTATCAAAACACAAAAAATGTATTATTATGCATTTTATAAATTCTTAAATTATAATTTATTTGATAAATTATTAAAAAGGATTACCTTTAATAATTTCTAGCTTTAAAATCTACTTTTAGTTTAATTTTACTTAAAGTTTATATTGTATGTATTAATTTAAATTAAATTTTTATAATATATTATGTGGTATCTATCCTGATTGCAATCTTATACTCTCTATCCTTCCCTAATTTTATCAAAAATTATTTACCATTTTCATATCAATTATCAAAAAAATTATTCTTTTACCTTATTTAAGTTTTTTATTTATTGTGTATTCACATTTTAATAATCCTAAATCATAATCAATTGCTCATAAAATTATTTTATTTTATAATATTATATTAAAAAATAAATAAATATAGCCTTATATATTTGATAATACTTAAGAGTAAATTTATCTCAATGATAAATAATAAAAATTTTTAAGATAAAATCAATTTTTAAAAAATTAACCTCATCCTTACCCAAATTTTAGGAATAAACAAAATTTATCTTTATATTATTTTGCCTTAAATAATGATATTATTAATATTTTAATTCTTCAAATTTTAAAATTAATTATTTCTAAAATTGCAAAATATTATACAAAATAAATATCATTTATTCTACTATAAATTAATTTTTACATATCAAATTAATAATATTTTTTAAATGTTTGAAAGAATACAAATATGAATAATCTTTATTGAATTCAATAGAAATTTTATAAAATTTTTTTCTTTAAATATTTTTGAAAGATTATAAATAATACCTACAAAAATTACAAAGTAAATTTTAATGATTTAATAGAGAAAAATAATTTTTCAATGAGTCTATTAGGTAACTTATAATTTTTTAACTAGGGATATTTAATATATTAGTAATTTTTGTATTTAATTTAGAATTATTTTAGAGTATGTTTACTCATTTTAAATAAAATAAAATTAAAATAGGCAGTATTTTTGGTAATGCTGAAGCGATACCTATAAAAAGAGTGAAAATGAAATCGTTTTTATTGATTTCCATCATATTTGCAAATTTATAACTATATTTTGCTTAATCCAACAAAATAGACTCTTTTGTTTTTTTTAATGTAACTTTAATGTTTTATATTATTTATCTTCTTAACTCATGCTTTTCTTCAGTGCTATACACTTTGTTATAATAAAAAGATTTTGTTTCTATTATATTAGTACTAAGCTACTTTATCCTTTTCACAATCAAAGAATAAGCGCTGTATCTATCTTCTTTATTCTTAGACATCTAGTCCTACAAAAAAAATTATGGATACATAGCATTTAAGTTAGACATCATAACTTAAAGGAAAGAAATATGAGAGTTTAGTTACTCAAACTAATAATTATAATCAGTTCCGACATTCAATCTTAGAATGAATATTACATTTAAGAATATAAAATTAAAAGTATTGATAATAACTGAGGCAGGTTTTAATAAGTGAGATTCTTTTGGGATTAGCCAATAAAGATCAAAATATGCTGAGAGACATATTATTATAACAAAAAAGTAATAAAATATAAAAGCAAAATAGGACATCTCTAAAACCTCTAAATACTCCTTTTTATAGCTGAGAATAAACTTTCTAGCTACTTCCCAAGTTTCAAAGTTAACAGGTGAAGTAATATCAAGTTTTTCTTTATAATTATTTTAGTTAATATTTTCATAATTTATCAAATCTATAAATCGATACATTTACATAGTCTTTTTCCTTAAATCATTATTTCCAAGCACTCTATTTAGGTTGAAGGAAATATAAATATACACAAAAAATATCATTACTAAATCGAAAATACTATCCAATTATTTTAAGCCTTGCTTCAAATATATATAAAGTAAAATAGATCCAAGCTTAAGAGTTAAAATGAAGAGTAGTATATAAAAGTGTTTGAAGTTTGGAATTAAGTACTTGTTAAAATTTTCAATCATGATAGTTATGTGTTTCTAAGGAGGTAGAATATTCTTTTTGACACTCAATAGAGTGTAGAATGTAGAAACAGCAGGGAAGATAGGCTTTCTTTGGAACTCTATTGCTTAGTTATAATCTAACTAAACAGCACGAGAATCAAATGGCATATGAAAATAAACTAATTGGTAAATATTTTCTTTGATACTAGTAGCTCTTTTAAGCTACTCAATAAACCCATTTTGATTTTAGATGTCAACTGCTCTCATGTAACTAAAAACTAAGAAGGTAGTAAATATGAAAAAAATCTCATCAAAAAGTAGAGTTTAAAGCTCCTCACTCTTAAAGGAAGTAAAAAAAAATTTAATAACTGAATAAGCTATAGACCAAAGAGACAGCATAGCCCACATCCTCTCTTTAAAAAAGTTTAGTGTTAATTCTATAAACATTTCTGTAAATATGTAGGCTGGTACAAATAGAATATAGATGAAATAGATGATGTATTGAATTATAAACATTAAAAAAAATAGACTAGGACTTTTTATAACTGATTCATTGTCAGCAGTAATCTATTCATAATTATTGTTCAAGTTCTCAACACTTTCAAAATCACTAGACAAGTAATTTTAAATATTTCGATCCTACCCTCTGTTAGTTTAGCAAATAAAACTAGCACTATTCTCAATTCTTTCATCGTTCATTTTAATATATTATTTGCTAATTAATTAACTTAATTAATTACTTAAAATTAATATCTTAAATTTATTTCAAATATTATTTATTTATTGATTAATATTAATTGTTATTAAGTTTGTAATCATGATTTAATATCAATAAAAATACTTAGTTTTAAACATGATTTTAACATATTTTTTCTAATAACATATTTTTTAAAAGATATATTTATGGATTAAAAAAACTTTTTTGTTACAAAATAAAAGTATTTAGAAATAATAAAGAAAATAAATATTTATCTTTAATAGATTTACTGAAAATTAAAAAAAATTTACAACGATAAAATATTTAACATTAATTTCTTATCAATTTTTGTAGAAAGAAATAAATTTTGGAATTATCTAAGGCAAAGCTGAGGCCATACCTAGTAATATTGTTAAAATAAAATCTTTATTATCAATTTCAATAACATTAATAAATTTATAAGCATATAATTGACTGTCTAATTCTATTGATTCTTTTATTTTTTACAAAGTTACTTATGTATTTTAAACCATCAATTTTCTCAAATCTTATTTTTCTTCTTCAGTAAATATTTTTTAATTATAATATATTTTTTAATCTATAAAGTGAGAGCTAAATACTTTAAATCTTTTAACAATAATACCATAAGCACTATACCTTTTGTCCTTTATCTTAGAATCTTTATCTTATAAAAAAAATATAGGAAACATAGTATTTAAATCTGCAATTATATTTTAAAGGAATTAAATATTTAGTAAAAGCTATGAAAAGCTCTTGTTAAACTAAGTACCTTAATTTAATCTTAGAATAAATATCACGGTTAAAAAGATAAAGTTAATAGTATTTATAATAATTGCAACAGGCTTCAATAAAGGAGAGTCCTTTGGAATTAGCCAGTTTATTTCAAAGTAACCAGATATACAAACTACAATCACAAAAAGAAAGTAAAATAAAAGTCCTAAATAAGAAATATCAAGCATTTCTAAATATGATTTTTTATAGCCAAGAATAAATTTTCTAGCAACATCCCAAGATTCAAAGCTTATAGGACAAGTTATATCTAGTTTACTCTTGTAGTTATTATGATTTAAATCTTTAAAATTAATTAATTAGCTAAATCTATCCATTTGTTTAGTCTTTTTTCTTAAATCGCTACTTCCCAAGGTTCTATTTAAGTTAAAGGCTACAAAAATATAAACGAAAAATATTAGACTGATATTTACAATCTCCTCATTTAATATAGCAGATTATTTATTATATATTAAAAGTAAAATAAAGAATAGCTTAAGAGAAAGTATTGAAAGCAGAATATAAAAATGTTTAAAATTTGGAGGTAAATAATCATTAAAAGAATCAAACATAGTTGTGATATGATGACTCAGAATATCTGTTTTCTTATTTATTGACATTAGTGTATAATTAATTGAAATAGCAGGAAATTAATCAGACATTTAGAACTCTATTTTATTATTGTAATCTAATTGAGTACTATTAGAATCATATATATTATGAAAATAAACCAATTAGCATATATTCTTTTCAAAGGCTATCATGCTACGAAATTAATTTTTGTATCCTTCTAGTTATTACATATCAACAGATCTAACGTAACTAAATATCAAAAATGTTGAAAAAATAAATAAAATTTCATCTTATAGTAAATAATGTATTCCTTCTGTTGGTGAGGGGAAGAAGTAGAATAATATAATTTAATATGCTACGCTCCACAAGCAAATCCATGCCCATGTCTTTTCTTTTAAATAAGCCAAGTCACTATTAATGAAATTATCTTTATAAACGATAAAAGGAATAAAAACTACATATACAAGATAAGTTATGTATTGAAGCACGAAAATTACAAAAAATGTAGTAGGATTAAATTTAATATCAACATCATTATTATTATTTACATTACTAGCTTCTAGTTCTAAATTATTATAGCTTTCAAGATCGCTAGATAAATTATGCTAATAATCTTTGATATAACCTGTTCTTTACTCAAAAAGTAATTTATTTTTACTTTCTAGTTTTTTTTAGTCTCCTCTTTCGTTCATTAGCTCCTAAGAACCTATCATTTCTATTTGAAATATAAATTTTCAATTTAGATATTTATTTAATTTGAATTTTATTTTTTTAATTATCGATCACAAATCCTTTTTAAATCTGTTGTAAGGTAAGTTTTATTATTGCTTTATTTGTTACTACCTATTCTTTGAAATTATATTTAATAAATTTATATATGCTATTTCAAGATCTATCACTGATCTCCCCATTGTTTATTTAAAGATAATATTTCTCTCTACTATTACACAAAATAATTATTTAATTTAATAATTTACTTTATATATTAACTTTAAAAAAACTAAAATAAAATTTAATGATACATAATTTTCTTTTTTAAAAATCATTGATATAACTTTATAAAATTGTCTTTAGATTCAATAATTTCCATAAATTTGAAGAAATATTATTTTCTAAAATATTTAAATGTATATTAAAATCTTTATACAAAATATAATAATCAATATTTTATTTTATAATAATAAATATTGCATTCAAAAAAAAATAATTTTTTTATTAATTTAATGAATTTAAAAAAAATGATAAACTATTAATCTATTTTTTCAAAATAAATAAAATTTTTATTTTTAAGGAGTATTTTTAATGCAAAAAATTTATTTTTGGAAAAAAATTAAAAATTTCTACAAAAAATTTGTTGTTAGATTTATATTTTTATTTTTTATGAAGTAAACATTTTTAATTTGACATCAAATAGATTTTTTATATAAATATTCAACAACGAAAATAATAAATCTAAATATTTTTTATATTTTATTTATGAAGATATAGGTAAGAAGAGTTGTTAATTTTGATTTTTGATTTCAGTCTCTATAAAAAGAAATAAAGGTTGGGATTATTTTTGGTAAAATTGGAACTAAACCTAAGCAGAGTGTGAAAATAAAATCATGATTTTATATTTCTAAAAAATTAATAAATTTATATTTGAACATATGCTGATCCAGCTAAATAGATTCTTTGATTCTATCTAATGTGTGAACCATTGTTTATATAAGCATTCTTCTCAGTTCTTACTTATCCTTAGATGTGAATACTTTATATTTATAAAATATTTAAGAAGCAATATAAAAGGAACAAGATAATTTAATCCTTTTTGTCACCAAACCATAAGCACTCAATCTATACTCTTTGTTTATTGATGATGGATCTTGTAAGAAGAATACTGGGTACATAGTGTTTAAATCAGAAGCTATATTTTAGAGATAAGATACATTTTAAAGAAGCCTTTAAAATGAGTAGTTATATTCAGATCCTACATTAAATCTAATCATAAATATTACACTCAAAAAAACAAAATTAAAGGTATTTATAATAACAGCTACGGGTTTTAGCAACGCAGAACCTTTTGGTATCAGCCAGTCTAAATCAAAATATGCTGATAGACAAACAACAATAACAAATAAGTAATAGAAAAATAGAGTTAAGTAGGATATTTCTAATACTTATAGATAAGATCTTTTATGGTTTAGAATAAATTTTCTTGCCACATCCCATGTTTCAAAACTGATTGGACAGGTTACATCTAGCTTTTTTTTATAGTTTTTTAAATTTAAATTCTAAAAATCAATTAAATCATTCAATCTTTCAATCTACAAAATCTTTTTTCTAAGATCATTATTTCCAAGAGCTCTGTTCAAGTTGAATGCGATATAAACATACACAAACATTATCAGTAAGAAATCGAATATACTCCTAAAATTATCTAATTACAAAGAAGATTTTTTAAGCACATACAAAAGAATAAACCATGCCTTTAATGCTAAAATAGCAAAGAGTATAAAGAAGTGCTTAGAATTAGGAGGTAAATAGTTACTGAATTAATGGACCATGTTTTTTATTGGGATATTAAGATTATTTTTTATTTTCTTAACACCCATAAGAGTGTAATGAGTAGCAATAGCTGAAAACTGCGATTATCTCTAAAATTCTACATTAGAATTATAATCAAGTTATGTTGAAATAGAGTCACGATAACAATTAAAATAAACTAATTAGCATACATTTTAATTAACATTTATAATCCTGATAAATTATTCTTTAAAGGAACCTGAACTTTGCACATCGACAGCTCTCAAGTAGCTAAAAACCAAGAAAGTAGTAAAAATAAAATATATTTCATCCTCAAGTAAGTAATGCATTTCTTCGCTTTTAAGAGGGAACCAGAAATATGTAAGAACCAAGTAAGCAATTGCCCAAAGTGAAAACCAAGACCAAATCCTCTCTTTAATAAAATCTACTCTTCCCTCAAAAACAACATCTTTAAAGGCAATAAAAGGTATAAACGCAATATATACAATGTAGGTAAAGTATTGAATCACAAAAGCTATAATGAATAGCAAAGGATTTCTTATGACCTCTTTATTATGATCTATAAAACTTTGGTCTTTATGCTCGCTACTGTAACTTTCAATGTCACTTGAAAAGTAATATTTGAAATTAGGATCTTCACCTTTATGATGAAAAATATATTAATTTTTTTCTACTTCAGCAGGTTGATTATCACCTTCTGAAGTTAATTCTTATTCACCCTTCATTTTGCTTTACTTAAAATTAATATTTGAATTTCTAATTTTGCTAAAAATTAATTAATATCCTTTTAATACAACAAACTATATTTATCATTAGTTTATGTTATAGATGATTTAATTTTCAAACCATATGTAACACGAATATTTTAAGTCGTATACCAATCATTAACAAATCATACGCTTGTAAAATCAGCTATATTCTATTAATCTCTCTTAATTCAAGTTTTAAAAGGACTATGAATATATTTATAATAAACTAAATTATGTATTCAAGTATTATTAATATTTGATAAACCTAATTATCAATTATTTTTCACAAAGATAATTAATTATTCCAAATATAATTAAAAAAAAATATTTGAGATTGATTAGGTAAATTTCAAAGCAAATTGAAAGTGAATATGTAAATTTGTTTGAGAAAATAAATTCATCTAAGAGTACAGTAAATGAAGGATTTTATTATTATTGAATTATTTTTTAAAATTGGAAATTTTAAAATAAAAAATTCTATTATATTTTTTTCACAATATTTGTATGTAATTAAAATACAAATTATCAAAATAAAAATATTTTGAAATTTGAACTGAATGTAAATCACTTAATTTAAGGCTAATTTATTTATAAATTAATATTTTATACAAGTGTATATTATGGTTAATCTCAACTTTTATAGTATGAAATAAAGACAGGAATTATAGTTGGTAGAGTTGGAGCAAGGCCCAAAAATAAAGTAAAAAGAAAATCGCTGCTTCTAATTTCTAAAAAATTAAGTAGCTTATATTTATGTATTTATTCATCCAATAAAATAGATTCTTTTATATTTTGAAGCTAACTTTACATGTTATGTAATATTTGTCTTCTAAGCTCTTGCTTTTCTTCTTTTTTAAATAGCTTGTCTTTAAAAAGTATTTAAGATTCAATGTAATAATTGCTCATTAATTTGATTCTTTTTGTTATCATGCCATAAGCACTAAATCGATTTTCTTTATTTGTTGAGTCAGGATTTTACAAAAAAAATACAGGATACATAGTGCTTAAATCAGATGTTATATTTTATAGATACTAGATACTAGACAATAGTTTTGAAAATGATCTATTATATTTAGTTCCCATATTAAATCTAAGCAAAAATATAACACTCAAAAAAATGAAATTAAATGTGCTGATAATAACTACAACAGGCTTTAGTAATTTAGATCCTTTTGGTATCAACCATTCCAATTCAAAATAAGCTGAAAGACAAATTATAATGACTAACAGGTAGTAAAATATCAAGCTTAAGTATGAAAGCTCCAAAGCCTACAAATAGTATTTTTTATAGCTGAGAATAAATTTTCGAGCAGTGTCCCATGTCTAAAAACTTATTGGACATGTCACATCTAACTTTTATTTATAATTTTCATAGTTTATATTTGAATAATCAACAAAATTATCAAATCTTTCCATTTACTTAATTTTTTTTCTGAGATCATTATTTCCTAATGCTCTATTCAAATTAAAAGCTATATAAATATACACCAAGCAAATCATCAGAAAATTAAAAATACTCTAAAATTCTTTCCATATAGAATGTTATAAAATGTATAATAAAATGAAAGTAACTTTCAATGATAAAATAATTATCAAAATCAAAAAGTGTTCAAGATTTGGTGATAGATAATCATTAAAAGAAGAAATCATATCTGTGATGTTATTGTCTTGTAATTTATTAATCTTTTATATAGACATTAAGCTATAATGAGTAGAGATTGAAGGAAATTGATTATGTCTTTTAAATACTACTTTCCCATTATAATCAAACTAAGTTGCTATTTTATCAAAGTCATTACTAAAATAAGTGAGCTAACATATATTTTGATAACTATTTATTATCTTTTCAAATTATTCGCTTAAACTGTTTGAACTTTAAACATCAATAGCTCTCATATAGCTAAACACTAAAAAAGTTGTAAATATAAATAGAATCTCATCTTATAGTAGATAATAAAGTTCTTCAAGATGTAGATGAAACCAAAAATAAACTACTACTAAATACATGATCGACCACAAAGACACCCAAGCCCAGAGCCTTTCTTTTAAAAAATCTATTCTCTTCTCAATAAACATATTTTTAAAGAGAATTATAGGAATGAATGCAACATAAATGATGTATGTAATAAATTAAATTATAAAGGCACTAAAAAATAACAAAAAATTTTAAACAACAACGTTTGTTTAGTCATTTTCTTTATTCTATTCTTAATATTCATCATAGCTTTCAAGATCACTAGAAAGATAATAAGTAAATTAATTGCCTTAGTCATTTTCTCTCAAAGATTCTTACTTTTATTCTAAATCTTATTATATTATCTAAATATCATTTTGCAATTCTTATTCTGTATTCATTCTATTGTAAATATTTATAAACAAATTTCAATTTTTTTAAATTATTATACTTCAAAATTCATTTATTAATTTATTTCACAAAGCAAATTAAACTTCTAAATACTTTAATAATATGCCATTTAATAAAATAAGAAATATTATTTTTAAAATTCAGTATAAATATTTATTAATTATTCAAGATATTTTAAGATGCACAATCAAAAAAAATAATTTTTAGTAAGTTTTTTGATTTATTTTATTTCAATAAAGTAATTTTTTTATTTTAATAGAGATTTATTTTCAAATTTATAAAACTTAAAGAGAATAAAATATTTCTTTATTAGTTTATTACAAAATTATAAATTTTACATACTTATCAATAAATTTTTAAGTATTTACAATAATTATTATGTTATTTATGATAAAAATAGATGAATAGATAAATTCTAGGCTATTACAAAAAAGTTCTTTTTAAACTCTTTCATAATTTAAAAAATCTTTTTTTTAAATTTTTTATTTTATAAATTTTTGGAAATAATTTTAATCTTCTTAATTTTTAAATTTTACTATTCATATCAAAAAAAAAGGGTAAAATAAAATAAATATCTAAATTTAAATTTAAACTTTTATTATTTTTAAAATAGCTCAAAAATCGAAAAAAAATATTCTTCAAAAAAATTTATTAAGAATAATTAAATTTTGTTTTAAAACATAAAATATCCTTAATTACAAGAAAATAGTAATTCATCTTTCTCAAAAAGAATTATAATCAACCCACTAGATTTTTAAGAGTATTTGAGTATTTAATTAATGATTAATATATAAAGAATTGTAATTATTCAACTTAAATAAATTTAATTGGTTATATACATATTTTTGATAAAACAAATTTCATAATTAATGTAATATAAAAACAAATTATGTATTTAATAAAAAACATTTGAAATGTAAATCAAAGAACAGATATTTTTGAAAGTATTAGCTAATCTTTTAAGTTAAAATTTATTTTTATAATTTATTAAATAAAATAAATATATCTATTTTAGTATTTAAAAGAGCACGGTAAATTTTGTACATAAAATATAAAAATGATATAAAAAAATCAAATAAGATATTGTTTACTCATAATAATCTTTGGTTTTAATTATTTCTTGAGATGATAAAAAAAATTTACTAAACGACAACATAAATTTTACTTCTATTGTGATAGATTAAACCTTCGAATAATCACCCATTTTAAAAATTGGCTTTAAAAAATTTAATAATTAAAGCAAACATCTTCAAAAGCCACATTAATTAATTACCTCTAAATTATATCAAAAATAAAAAATACAAAATAATTGATAATTAATTAAACATCAAAAGAATAATATTTTGCAATTACCAAACAAAAGAAAAAGTAAACTGGATATGTAATTAATAATTAATTTAATTATTTTTTTTTATTGTGTGGTCACCTTCTCTCTCTGCTACTCTGGTTAAAGTTAATTTCCTATCAATTACCAAACAATATATTTTTATTATATACAAGTAATTATTTCATACACAATAAACATAAATAAATTCTTACTTAATTCAATATTATCGATAGGATACAAATTCAGTCCTATATTTGGCACCTGACAATTCAATAAAAATTAGTATTTTAGATTAATTTGGAGGATTTATCGCAACTTATAATTTAGTTGGGTTTAACTTTTTAAACCAGCCAACTTAAATAAAATATGCAATGTTCTTTTCTGTGAATGTATATACTTAATTTATCAAATTAATTTAGATATATTTTTTAATTTTAAAAAGCAAAAGGACCTTATATATGCCACTCAAGAAGGCAGCTAGTATTACTACATTATTAATTTTAGCTTGATGCTTTAAAATTCTTCTAGCTTTTTGACTTCATATAATTTTCCTCCTCTAAAGTATCATTGCTCAAACTACTTAGTTCAAAAAATAGTATTTTTCTTTTCTTTTTCTTTACAAAATATTTTGAATAAATTTTAGAATGAATATAATTTATTTGCTCTTTTTCATTAACAAGAATATTTTTTTATATTAATTTTAAATAAAATTTTTAAATAATTAATAGTAAAACTATTTCTATCTTGTATGTAATGAATTAAACAACAATTATATTGTTTAGGAGTAGACATTTGATTCTTTGTTTTCTTCAAATAATCTTGTTTATCAGAATATAATTGGAAATTCACAAATAAAGTATTATTATAATGGGTTCATATAAACAGAGAAAAAGTATGTATTTATGAATGGATAGAAATATTAACTTTAAAATACAGGGTCTTTGTCTTTAGTTTATGTAATTAATTTAGCTATTTAAAAAGAAACTCATAAATTTATTTTTTTATTATTAAATAAAATTAGAGTAAAAGTTAATTATATTATTAAAACAATTAATTGCTAAAATTTTAATTGTAAAATAATTAATTTACTGTTATAAAGACTGTAGATAATATTTAAAATAGTTTTTGCTTGATTAAATTTATTAACATAATATATTTTTAATCATTTAATTTCTTATAATTTGATAAATTAATAAATTCATTTATTTATTTTAAATTTTATTTTTTTTTGAATAAATTAATCTTGTTCTTATTTATAGAAATATGTAATTTTAGTTCGTTCTTCTATTCTGAGTAAATAATTCTACATTTATGATGCTAATGATTTAGAGTAAATAAGTACTTTTGGTGATTAAATTCCTCAAAATCTAGGCATAAGTTTCTATTTATATTATGTAAGCTATTTTTAACCTAATAAAATAATCAATAAAAAACAACTTTTATACTTAAATAGAATTTTTTATTTATTGATACTTAATACTATGAATTTATTTATCTCCAAGAATTGAATAAAATATAAGTAAAAGCTCATCAGTTAAGTTAATCTGTCATTTATTAAACTATTTTTAATTTAAATGGTCTTCGTTTCAATTATGTAATTTCATTAGAATTTATCTAAATATATAGAATATCATAAACATATAGGGTTTTAGCTAAATCGTTTTAAAGTAAATAACTTCAAATAGCTTTGAGAATTAATACACCTCAGTTCAATAAATTTTTAATATGATACCTGGATGTCTAGAATATACTGATAATTCTAGGTAGTTTTGTATGAAATGTGATTCATATTATTTTTAATAAAATGGAATTTGTCTTACTGGATGTGATGAATAATTCTTTGAAAAGTAATTTATTAATATTAAAATAAAAATTACCTAGCTATTTTAAATAAAACTACTTAATTAATTATTTCAGGCAACTCTTATTATTATAATATGTTTAACATATACTTTTTATACTGATAATTATTTGTGTAGTAGGAAATAAATATTAAGTGAGGAATAAATATTATTTTTAAAATTTAAAAAAAAAAATTTTTGAATTAAATTATTTGTATTTAAAAAATTTTTTAATTTAAAAAGCTTTTGAATTTAACTTAACTGATAATAAATTAATTGATTATTGAATAGTCATTAAATATTTTTAAATAAATAGAGACAGAGAATGTATATCTTGTAATAAGTCATGCTTAACTTGTAGTGGAGCTTCATTTACAAGCTGTTTAAGTTGTTAGCCTAATAATTATTTATTTATAGATAATTCTTGTATAATATGTGATAAGAAAGGATAAATAATTATAGGTAATAGCTGCACTTGTCTTGAAAATTATAGCTTTTTTGATTCGGATTGCCAGGTTACTTATTTGGATTATAAATCTAATACTTTTTCCTAGCAACAAATTGTGCACTTTAGCTAGTAATTTGAAATAAGTATGTAAGCTTCTTTTGCGAGTACAACTATTCTTAGTTCTATTGAAAATCTTTTTTCTTCTTCAAGTTTTAGGATTGTTGTAAATGGAATAACTTGTTTAAAACTAAGCTATCTAACCTTAGTCAACACATAACTACCATAATAAATATATTCCCCATTAAAAGATATTATAAGTAATTTATGATATTTATAGAATTTTTATTTAGTTATATTTTTTAAATTTAAAGGTCAATGTCCTCCTAAATAATTTAGCAGTTTGAATGTATTTGATTATATAATTAGCCAAAATTTAGATTAATATTAGAATATTCGGTTCAAAAATTTTGGTCTTTCATATAATATCCTCAAAACTTCTGGATAAGCTATTATTTTATTTCTTATTTGCAGTTCACTTTTGATACTTTTTTTCGTTTTTATCGAAAAAATTAAAAACTAGAAATTTCAATCAATTTCATCAACTATCTATCAGAAAATTTTCTCAAGCTTTATCGTTTAGTATTATTAACTAATAATTGAAATGCTAACCATAGGTATAAATTAGCAGATAAAATAATTTTTTTACTCTTTTGATAGTAATAATATAGGAATTTAAATTACTTTATTAATATTAATTTTACCAATAACAATTCTGATTCTTTATCAATAATATAAATATCTTAATAAGTTTTAAATTCATCTGAAAATTCTGGATTTTTAAGAGATTACTAGAGAAAAAATTTAGAATGAAGCTATTTTTGAATCTAAAATTAGAAGAAATTATATGCTAATTTATCAAATATTTGAATTCTTATTCATACCTATTTGTTTTATTTAAATAAGCTAAAGTTGGATAGGTGTTAGTATAATAGCTATAGCAATATAAATAACTCATTTAGTATTAGTTGTTTATTTGAGGCCATTTTACTCAAAGTTAACAAATGCTTTCTTCATATTTGACTCAGCTTTATGGAGTTGTTTATACATTTAATTTTTGATACTAAATATTTATAGTGCTAAACAAAATGTAGACGAATATTCAAGCCTTCTGAATTCAATTAGTTATTCTTTTTTGATAAACATACAAATTATAATATTAGAATTAACATTTTATATGATTATGTCTCTAATTATAAAAATTTATGAATTCTATAAATAGAAAAAATCCAAAGGTTTAAAACAAGAAGAAAATTTAGAAAAAAATTTAATGAATAATATTGAATTAGCTTCAAATATCTAAAAATCTATGAATTTGGTTGAAATTAATGACTATTCATTGAGTGTTAAAAGAAATTAATCCAAATTACTTTATATGCGCCAGTGGAATTAATCAACAAAAAAAGAATTATAAATTTGAATGAATAATAATTTGATAATTTGGCTGTTAAAAAATTTAGCACATTTACTTATTATTTATTTAAATTCAGAAAAAAATCCTCTTTTTCTTGAAATTCTAATTTATTAACAAAATTAACTTGAATGAAATTTATTATTTTTATAAATATTTGTTCTTTGTAAACATAAAATCATTTTCTAAACATTAAGAAAGCATAAATACTTAATTATTCAAATAAAAAGCTATTGAGAGTCAATTATTTAGTAGTTATTGGTCTTAACTTTATTTGCTTAAATCTATTATTATAAAAAATATTTTATTTTATTAAATAATAAATTATTTTTACTTTTTTGTTGCTGTATTTTTAATTCCTCTTATAATTGGCCTCTTTATAGTTCTCAGATTTAATTTCGATTTTTAGATGATTTGATTTTTTTCTAATTTTTTTAGATACTAACCTCCATCTCATATATGTTTAAAATGAAACTTTATTTAATTTTATTAATTTGTTATATAATTTTTTAGGAATTAGTTTAAGTAGCTTATTTTTTACAAAAATAGCAAGTTTAGATGTTTATTTGCTCATCATAATACCTATTACAATTATTAAATAACAAAAAAAGAATATGTAGTCTATAAATATTTGAGCTACTTCTACAAAACTTTATGCTTGTGGATTTTAGATTTATATCATCTGCAAATAAATCTTCAAAATTATTAAAGTGTAAGATGCTATTTCGCATGTTTAAATACTTATAGAAATAAAAGGGTTTCTTTATGAAACTTGTTTAATGTAGAAACCTAAAATAATTGTGATCGTTAGGATGGTAATATATTAGCTGTTATTATTTAATAGAGTGTAAATGTAAATAATAATAATTTTCAAATAGATTCTAATAAATTCCCAATAGTAATACTTATGTTTAAGCTCCCCATAGTAATAACCATATTTATATTTTGTCAAGCATTAATCTAGTTTTTATTTATTCAATCTAATAAGCCTAAGAAATACCAAAGGTAAGAAAGTCCAAAAACATAACACTATTATAGAGAAAGGATATAAAAACTTAATTACATTACTGTCATAGCAATTTACTGATAAGTCAATAGGATTATAAAATTCATTTCCTATTTTTTTGCAAGTTAGCGCTTTTATGAAATACGATATTGAGCCAATTTGAAAAAATATAAAATTTATATGAAAAATTAAATAAAAATGGTATTTCCTTAATTTAACTTTTGCGAACTCTTCATAGAATTTAAGGATTAAAGGAATGAAAACGAGTGCTGCAGTAGGAATCAAAAATTAAACTTGTGTATAAAAAAGCATCTTTCCTAGTTACTTAATAGTGCTTTCATTAATTAAGCAATCAGCTCCGATTGAGATTTACCGATTCCCAGATCCAAATAAATCATTCAAAAAATTAAAATTTACTGAAATTATCTTAGGCTATGTTATTAAAAGAGCTGATAGCTAATAATAATTTAGAATTATTTTAATATAAAAAGCAGAGTAGTCAGAGATACTATTAGTGCTAATTGGCAGGATGTTTAATACTCTTAGATAATAACAGGTTTAAGAATATTTAAATTTTTAAATGAATACTCCTAAAACATGCAAGCAGTAAACCTCAAAAGCCACAATTTTTAAAATAATGTAAAACCATTAACTTGCTTTTGCTGCACAAGCTTCACAAACCCCTTTTGCTAAGGATTCTGAATATCGAGAGCCTTTCCAAACTTCACCTAAAATATCGCATTATAAGCATATAGGTCCTATATAACCAACTGAACAATAGTTAATACTATTAGGATTTTGAGCTTAGCACGAATTTATAATTTAGTCACACTCAACTATTTCATCTGTATTATTTTTTTATCTCCAAAATCCATTTTTCAATTAGATGATATTTGCTTTGCACATTACTGCAGAGGAAGGACAATTTATGCATCTATTTACATCACTTTTTTCTCTTTATGATTATTAGTATAGTAATTGTGGATCACTCAGCTGATAAAAACCTTCTGGACACTAATTACAAGTAAAAATTTAATTATTAATTTATTAAATTATTTCTCCTTCTTTGCAGTTTCTGAATTAAATTTATAATAGTATTGGATTATTTATTTATGAGCTCGCATAAACAGTTGAGTTTATAACAAAATATTGCACTTAATTGAGAGCTGCAAGTATTTACAAACTATTTAATTCAAAAGACTAACTCAAAGTATCATATTAGTAGTAATTTATAATTTACTATCCATTTATTAAGTTTTGGTTAGATTACAGGCCATGGATTGATATTTATATATCTTTTAATTCTTTTCCTATTTCATATGGATAACTACCTTCTATTAGTTTATCTTTAGAGAAACTAAGATATCTACCCTATCCATCAACTATATATATTCTTAAATTAAGAAAATCACCGCTTTTAAATCCTCTGATTTCAGCAGATCTTGAATAATAATCTACATATAATTATGGAATATTTTATTAATTTAATTAAAATGAAAAAAAATATTCTTAAGTTTTGTCATTATTTTAGATAATAAGGTTTTAGAGATATGATGTACTATCGTTCCCATATATTTCAGCAATATTCTAATATACATTTTTTGAGAAAGGAAAACCATCAGGTAAATAAAACTGCCTTGAATCAGTCTAAGCGATCCTTAATCCTCCTCCAATCAAGGCACTATTATTTTTGATCTTTGTTGCCATATCAAAAATGATTTAGCATTCAAATAAATTTTCAAAGTATAAAGCTCCTCCACTGGCTGAAGCAATATTTTCAAAAAACATAGATTCTTTGAACTAAATATTTTACTGGATAGACTTAAAATAAATAGCTCCTCCATTTATTGCTTTGTTTGCTTAAAAATAGCTTTTGATGATTGATACTTATAAAGATTTTGTAAGTAAAAGTGATCCATCATTTTAACAGTATGTTAGATTATTAAATGAAATTAGAGAACTCTAAATTAACAAAATATTTTGACCAAAAAATTAATTTCTATTAATATCAACATTTCTAAAAATAAAATTATCTTCCATTAAAGTCTCCATAACTTTTACTTTTTGCTTTTAATCAGTATATTAATTAATTGCAAAAATTAGAAGTAGTTAATTGTTATTTTAAAATTTACTCAATTAAATGATTATTGTTTAGCATCCATAAAACTAGATTAATCCTATGCTTAAAGTAGATTATTTTGTTTAATTATTATTAAGTATTAATGAGTTTGAAATTGTTATCTTTTATATTTACTAAAAGTTCATTAAACTATTTAAGTTGGTATTTTATATTATTTTTATTCCTTCCATTAAAATTGTTTAACTAATTTGAAATTAGAGTATGGGTATCTAAGTTATTTAGCTAAAATTATTTTTAGATACTTCTAAATTATAAATAAACACCTCTGATATATTATAAAATGATAACAAAGAACTTTATTAATTAATATTTAAGCATCCACTAAAATCTAATTAAGTAATCTTTAAGTTTTAAATTACAACTTTTTAAATATTAGAAGCATATATTTAATTATTATCAAGGCATTATACGTTTATAGTTATATTTTATAATATTATTTGTTAGATATTCTGATTTTGTGTGAGGTTTACAAGCAAATTTGTATAATTTTAAAAATTTAGGTTAAAATTAAATAACTAAAGGATAGGTTAATTAAAGCTTAAAAAAATATCACTTTTAAGAGACAAAACATTATTCTAGTTATCATATGGAGAGAAAATGTATTGGTTATTACTAAATTAAGAAATGTATTAAATTATACTTTCAATTTAAATAGTTGGAACTTACAAGTAGATATAATTTTGCTAAGTTTATTGACTGATTAGCTAAACTCCATTTGCTGTCTGAATTTATTTTTGTTTAGGAGAAATCTAACCTAATTATTATCGAGTATATTCATATTCATAATTTTATACCAAAATAGAGCATTCATTAACTGAATCCTCATAGTAAATATCCAAACTATAATTATTTTCAAATACTCCAATTTTATGTAAACCTATTATATTTAAAATATTCCTCTAAGAATCAAAATAATAACTTAAAAGTCTAGGATATGTATAACTTTACTAAGAAATTAATTAAACTTTTGTTGCACTAATCAAAAATAGTTCAAACTTGTCAATAAAAAAAACTGCCACTGCATTATCATTAACAAGTTTGAATTCAGTAATTCTGTCACTAATAAAATTTTTTTTAATTACTGTTGATAGTTAGATTATTGTGTCAATTATGTAAATATTTATTTAAAACACACACTAAATAAATAGATAATTTTTTTCAATTTTTATTTGCTTTACTAAATTCTTAGGTAAAAACAAAGATTACTCTTATTATCCTTCAGAAAAATTCCAAACATAAGCTATTTTTTATCCATTAAAGCAAAAAATATATCTATGATAAATCTAATCAATTATGAATTTTGACAGAGTAAGATTTAAATCTTAATTTACTAAAGCTCTTAAATCTTATTATTAAACAATTTTTTTATCAAAAACATTGATTTGAAGCATAATACCACCATTAGAAATAGCATATATAAATTATTCCACTTCAGAATTTTAAATAAAATGAATGATAATTATTGATGTATTTAAAGAATTACTATTAACAAAATAGTCATAAAGAAAATAAGTTTGATTTTAAACATAATATTAAAGCAATTATCCATCACTGAATCCAACAGTCAGAATACTTTACTATTTGTTAAAGCAAAAAGAAGTAGCTAATTAATTTCTCTAAAATTAAATTGTTTTGATTATATTACCTTATTAAAAATCTAAATGTAAAATTTTTTGGTCAATAGTAATTATAAAGTTATCATTTATAAATTAGTAAAATTAAATATCATTAAGCTTTTTAATGTTGGGTATTAGATAATTATTTTTGCTAAATTAATAATTTTAGTAAAATAAGAGAGAATCTAATAAAGCCAATATTAAAACATCATTGTTTTGATTGTATTTTAAGTCTAAAATCTATGAATTTCTTATATCTTACTCATATTTAAGAATCTATTAAGAATATCTAAAAATAGTGTTATTCTGATTAAATATCAAGAAATCAGTTTTTTAGTTGGATGTTGGTATTTTTGTAAACAAATTATATGGTTCATTTAGTTGAGGTTCATATTACCATCCTAATATGTTATAATCTAATTTATAGATAGAGTTATTGCTGTATATAAATATATCGTTTGTTATGTTATTATAAGAAAAACCTTGAATTACTTCTTCACCGTCAGTAATTTCAGTAATTTTAATATTACTTTGCAATTTAAACTCCGAATCTAATGAAAATAGATAAAAATTACCTTCATTATCTAGGTACATTAAGTAGTTACTTGAATAATAATCAATTTAAACATCTTTTATTTATGCTAATTAATTTTGACTAAAGCCAGAAATTGTTTTTATTATCTGTTTAGAAGATAAGTCAAAAACAGAAATTTTGTCATATTTTCCTTCTACTCCCCAAATAAAAATATAATTTAAGAAATCGATATAGATATACTTAAAAAATATTTCAAGTAAACTTTATTATATTGTAATATCTGTTACTTCCAAGCTTAGCCTATCAATAAATAATAACTATATTTCTTTAAAGAAGAAAGTGTTAAAAAAGCTTTAATTGTGAAAAAAATAAATTTAAAAAAAACAGAAAATAATATATGAAAAGGTAATTATATAGATATCACTATTAGCTATTTTCGAATTATCTTGCTCTTGCTTGTATTTTTGATATTGGAATATCAATAAATATTTATTTACATTTTATTAATTAATAATAAGAATCATGGAAAAGTAAAATAAAGGTTTTGACTAAAAATTAAAAATTTTATTAAGATAATATTTTACATAATTATGATTAGCATATCATTTTTACAGAATTAATTTTACAATCAAAAAATTATTTACCAATAGTGTTTTTCAAAAATCCATTAAAGCTAAAAATTTTTATTTCACCATTCATAAGAAATATATTTTAATATTATTCATCAATTGTTAAGTAATATTACTTTCCTTGTGTAACTGCAAGATTATATTTTTAAGTCATTTTTTATATTTTGTCAAATATAAGAAGATAAGCAATAGAATCAAAATCTTAATAAATACATATAACTTTATTCATAGAATTTTAGCAGCCAGTAATAAATCCATTTAGGTCTTCATCTAAAATTGTGTAAATAACTTAAAGCTAAGAATTAACAATTATAAGGCTCGAACCATATAAATATAATTGATCTTTATAAAAATCAAAAGAATATCCTATTAGAAAAAGCATACCTACATAATTAAATTTTTTATTTTTAAGTGAGTAGTTCACTAAGACAAGTTAGTTTTAATTCCAGCAAATTAGGATTGTTTCTTCTTTTATTAAATCACAAAAATTGGGATCTTAAAATATAATATCTATAAATTTGTTAGTAAATATATCAAACGAAGATACTTGTTTGTTACTTATAACAAAATATAGCCCTAACTTAGTACTTTGCAAAATATTTAAAAAAATATCTTTTGAATTTAATAAGGATTTATCTAAAAAAAGCTTAGAATATCTTTATTTTTACATTTAAGATATAAATAATAATCCTGAATCGCCTCCTCCAAAATAATTTATTGAAGTATTTATAGAAACTGCTGTTTTAGATTACTAAAATATAGCAAGTCCAGATTAATTAACATAGTCTATTCCACTTAAGTATGTAATATTTCTTATCATGTCTATAGAGTATTCGTAAATGGAGTCTTTTGAAAAAAACTTTATTTGATAGTATACTTTTCCATATTAATTGATATTTTTTATAGCTTCATATATATTTTATTATTCCATTAAATAGTCAATTTTGAAAAACTTACAATTGTTGGTTTAGATATTAATTAATATAATCTATTATTATCCTAATAACACAAAAACCTAATTATCGTTCATTACTTTTATAAAAGAAAATACTCTTGATAATTTCAACTAATTTTAAGAATAGATTACAGTTAAATTCATGTTATAAATTATAAGATTATATTATGAGTCCAAAATAAATATTTATTCTATTGAATAATTATTATCAACTCTATCTTGTTGAGAAGCAAAGTTTTAGAAAACTTGCAAATAAATGTAGTTTATATTTTCTATTTCATTAAGTTTTTATAGAGTTTGATTATCTAAATCAATTTAAAAAAGACTAAGCATGGAAAAATTTTATTCTTGCTATTTAACAATAAAAATTCTTAAATCATTATTTAAATGGATTTCCTAAAACAAAAAGCTCTTAAAATAATTTTAGCAATTCTTATATAAAAGTAAGATATTTGAGGAATATACATTCAAACATTCACTATCAACTACAACGAGCTTATCTTTATTAGTGGCAAATAAATAATATCCGTTATCAAACGATTTAATAACACTTTATTTATAAATATCAATTATCCAAAATTCAACAAAAAATTTAGCAATAACTTTATCACTAAAAAAGCTTGTTAAAGATAATTTTTGTAATTTTTATGAAGACAATTAAATTTTTCTTTTAAGTTTACAGTTACTCTCATCTGATGAATCATAGAAAATAATATCTGAATTATCTCCATTAGCATAAATCACCATAGAGGGTGAATAATTTAAAATAGAGTGAGGATAATCATTACTCATAATAAGCTATCCAGGAGTTGGGAAAGTTATGTTAAAATTTGCAATTGTAATAATTTAAATTTATTGTTACTCTTATTACTCAATACTACCTTTTTTAATTATTAAAATTGAAATAATATCAGTGCTGACTAACTCTTAAATTAATTCTTTATTGCTTTAACTTTGATATTAAATTAATTTGAGATTATGGGCTTAATAATTTAAAGTAAATATCTAATTAGACTATATAAATTATTATAAATCTTAATCAAAGTAATAAACAGACAAGTTTATTTAGCCAAGAAGTACAATTATCTAATTTTATTTGCCCCATAAACTGCAGACCTCAAAATCAGTAATTTAAGACCCATCTTAAATAATTAATTTAGATGATTAAGACGAAAAGTCATAATAAAATAGTTATTATTTTGTAAGGATTATCAAATATTAATTTGAATCAGCTTTTGATGATTAATACATCTTTGCATTTACTATTTCCTAAGTACTTAAAGATTCTATTTACATATCTTCAAAATATTTACTGCTTATACTAATTTTAAAGATGGATTATGCTAAGATTAATAAATATATGTCATCATTAGAAGTTTAGAGAATACTATAATAATTGCTTTAATATTATAATTAATATTCTAAATGATACTATAACTACAAAATTAAATCCTTATTATTATTTTATACTATTATCTAATAAACAATGATATTAGTTGAGTTATTAACAAATAAATATTAATCAATCAACAAAACTGATTAAGCACCACTAATATTAATTATAAAAGAATTTGATTAGCAAAAATCTTTATTAATTTGATCATAAATTATTTCAAATGTTAATGATTGTTATTGAATATTGTAAGCAAATATATATTTATTTTGCATTAGAATAATCTAAGTGTATAGATTAAAAGATGTAATATTTGAATATCTTTTTAAAGTCCTTTATTCACTCTTAATATCCCAAATACTTATTGAATTGTCATTACTTATTATAAATATCATGCCATTTATGTTAAAAATGTTAAGATCTTTTGCCTAGAAATTCATACGTTTTATGAGATATAGTTAATTTTTATCATAGACAGAAATATATCCAGGCTATTTAGCAACATAATACATATCTTGGTAATTGAAGAAGTCTTGTATTTCATCATTTTAAATATTTTGTTAAGAATATTTGGATGTAGAGCATGTTAATTAGTTTGAGCAAATATTTGTTTTCTAATTTCTTTAACTAAAAGGACTACAAATAGCTACACAACTACCTTAAGTACCATAGTTTTAATTTGTATCATAGTATAAATTATTACCACATTATGAATAAACACAAATATTATTTTTTGAATCTAATTCAAAATTTTCAGAGCACTAAGTGCATTAACTATTTCTATCTATTCTATTTGTATCAAAACATTTTAAGCATCCTGCGGAACAAGTATTTTATGCATTAATAAGGATCCATATTGTCTAATATACAATAAAAATTTTTACAATTCTTCGCTTAATTACAATAATCATATTGAAGTATATTTTCTTCTATTAATGATGTTTAATTTTAATGATTATTAATAATTTTTATTTATTTATTTTTACCTTTTTATGTTCAAATCAAAATAATTAATTTGTAAAAAAAATAAGTACGATTTAATTCTTTTTGATTCAGAACTCTTGTTATATATTTAAAAATAGTTAATAGAAAATAATTATATTATAGAAACTTAATTTATTTTATTTTCGCGTAAATAAGAATCATTCATGGTAATCATAAAAGTATTATTCAATTAGAAATTAAAGGATGATTCATTGATAAAAATAAAAAAACTCTAAATTAAATTACTTCCTTTTGTTATTTAGATGATTTTATCTTAAATAGAATTATACATTACTTACTGATACAACTAAAAATGATCTTTTCATTTTTAAAAATAAAGCTATTTTACGAAAAATGAAAATGAAAATTAATCAATTACTATCTTTAATAAAAAAAAGAAAATTATTAATAATATATAGATGAATTCATAACTGTGCTCTAAATAAGTCTTGTTTTTTAGTAAAAATGTATTTTTTAAATAATTTTAAAAGTTATTTAAAAATTTGCATTTTAGGTTTCAATTTCGAACCTATTAGCCCTAAATATATAGATTGTAAATTCCTTGTTAGGTAAGAATATCATAAGTTAATATTTTAGTGTTATAAAATTTTGGCACCAAACTAAAGTATAAATTTATCATAGCTAAAGTCAAATCTCTATAGCATAGTTTTATAATAATAAAAATAATTATTTACTTTAATTAATATCTTTGAGTTCAAAATTTTTTTAGAATATTTTGTAAAGTAATTAAGAATAGTAGGTTAAAGTTCAAAAAATAAAATTAATTTTATTAAATTTATGATAGATTATCAAAAAATAGTGAGTATTAATAAATAAGACAAAAATTATTATGAGAAATAAACATAAATAAATTTTTTTAAAATAATTATTTATAAATTATATTTATCTATGAAAGCAAATATATTAATTTGATAATATATTTCAAGTAAATTAAAAATAATCTTTCATGCATGTATTATAATATTATTGCCTTACTAAGACTACTCTAAATTTTAAAGTGTAAAAGTGTTATTTTCTTTAAATTATTATATTTTCTACAATTTATTTTCAAAATTTTAATTGTTTTTTTGATAAGATCCTCCTTATAATTGTGGGGATTATTGTAATTGATAATTCGAGAGTTATGGTTGAGAGATATTTTCAGTTTCTTTAGCTTTATTAACAATATTTGTAAATTATATGTTATTTTCTTTTGGTTCATTATAGGCTGTAGAAATTTATAAATTATTTGTAAGTTTTCTTTATTATTTTTTCAATTATTATGACTATAGGTCTATATCTACAAGCTTAGTTTTAGGCATATAGTCCTATTTATACATAGAAATGTATGTTTCTTATTTCTACTTACTTTCAATTTTATGGCTTTGATTTACAGATTTAAAAAATTTAGAAAACAAATTAGATTTTTAGCTAAATTAGTTTTGCTGTTCATAATCATTACAGTTTTTAGGGCTTCCCATGATAGAGTTAATATTACTTGAATCGTTTTTTTTGCTTTTATTTGAGCTCTATTTATTTAAATCTTGCATTTTTAAATAGTTATTATAAAGCTTCTGATTAGGTGATTAGTCGCCTTAATCTAAAATGTTTACCACATCTTATAAAATTTTATTTGTATTTCCACCAGGAAGTGTTACAATTTAACTTGCAGACTCTTTTATTTTTTGCTACGTTGCTTTAGATAATTAGCGAGATAAATTCCTGTTTGATTGAGAAGTATCTAGCTTCTCTACAGATGAGTTATCAAATCTTTTTCTTGGAGTTATTTTTTTGTTGTGAAGTTTATTATTTGCTTGTATTTATTCCCATTCTTGAATAGTATTCTACCTCAGTTTAGCGCTGGATTTAGAAGTGCTATTTGCCGTATTTAATCTTATCTACTTGATTGGAGTTACCATTTTTTGAGGGGAACTCATGATATTAGATTTTTCTTCTACTCTACTGAAAAGACAATCAAGCTATACATTTGTGTTTAAAGTGCGGATATGTGGAGTTTATAACTCCTTTATATGATTTAGAGTTCCATAGTAATCTGAAATACTCTTTTCATCATAAGAATTTAGGATCTCTGGATCTATGCTATTTTTTTTTGAGTAATTTGCTATCTTCGGGTTCTTTTAAAATCTTTTCAGCATTTCAAAATCTTTTTCAATTTCTAAAACAAAAAAATTAAATGAGAATAAAAATATATTGATACCTTATTTTTCAGATGACTGCATGTTAAAAGTAACCTTACTTGTGGAAGTTTTAGATAAAAAACCTGATTTGCTTGACGACCTATTATCTGAATTATTTTGGATCCTTGAATTTCTTTATCCTGTGTTTTTATCTCCAATACTATTAAATGTTTTCTTTTCTACTGATTCAAACATTAACTTCTTAGAAACTTAACCAAATGTAGAAATTTTAGATTAATCACCTTTGTTAGGAGTTCTCTGCATAGCTATAAGTTTGATTGGAAGGTTATTTAAATTATAGAATCAAGCTTTTAGTATTTTATAAAATGTCGAAAATATGTAGAAAAAAGCTTATTTATATTATAAATTTTAGAATTTTTTTAATTTGTATAAATTATTAATTTTCGTTAGTTCTACTTAATATTTTATACAAATTCATTTATTTTATTATAATTTTTATCATTCTAATAATAATAGTAAAATAAACAAATTAATAAAATTTTAAAAATTCACAATGATGATCATAATTTAAATTATATTTTGTTAAAAAATACAAACTAGTTTTTAATTTTTATTTCTAAAAAAGATAATGAGAGATTAAATCATCTGATAAATAAAATAATAAAGTCAATTACCAGTTTTTAAATTAGATAAACATTTTTATACTTCAAACAAAAGTTAAATTAAATTATCCTGTAAATGATTAAATATTTATTATTTATTTGCTAAATAGAAAAATAAAATAATGTAATACCATAAAATAATTTCTATTTAATTTTGATATGGCTTTTAACAACTTTTTTTTATAAATAAATGATTATTTCTAGTTTAAGACTATATCTTGTATATAAAAAAGAATAAATTGTTAACATTAACTATTAGTTGGGCATTAAACTATTTATAATGTAAAATATTATTTCTTTTGAAAATTATAAATTTTTATTTCAATCTTTATTTTTTTTGCTGGTTTTAAGAGGAATTTTAAATGGAATATTAATTTAAAATTTTACATATACAGGTATTTAGAAATTTATTAACATTTAAAAAATATTTTAGAATGTTATCCTTAATTAAATGTAGAGTTTTTCAAAATTAACTTAAAATTTACTAAATTTACTCATCTACCTATAAATAAATTGTAATTGATAAATATTATCTGATAAGCTAGTATTTAAATTATTTTCATTGAACTAAAAGTAATATTTTCTAGCCTTTATTTATGAATGAGAATATTAAAATGTATCAAATCAATCAAAATAAAATAATAAAGCATCTCAAACCATAAATAATAGTATGGAAAATTTTGGAAAAAGAGAGATTCTATTAAAATTTATTTAATTAATATTTTAATCCTTAAAATTTTCATAGTTGAAAGCTTTTGTACAATTAAAAAATGAGAGAATATTTTATGGTATTATTTATTTTTTTATTCATTTATTATTTTTAAATTATATAAATTAAAAGAGCAATTCTGCAATTCATGCATTCACTAATTCATTCACTATTATTTTTCAGCAGAAATTTCACCGCAATCAGTAACAGTAACAACGGATTTGGTTTATCCGTTAGATCTACCTTATTATTCGCAGACTATTAGTATAGAATAAATAATTTTAAGAATTTTTTAATATATTTCAAATCTAAATAAAAAGATACGAGAGAGGACTTCTTGACCCTAAATGAGCTTTCCGAATACTACATGCTTGCCATCTAACCAATCACAGGGTACTGTTGTGATAAAGAATTATGATCCATTAGAGTTAGGACCAGAATTAGCCATAGATAAAATACCTATAAAATAATATTTGATGTTTTATAATCTAAAATTTGGCAATAATGTAGAAAATTCTTTATTTAAATTCTAATTTTTTGGTAGAAAGTTTAATTTCTTTTAGACGATCTTTGAAATATAAATAGTAAAATATGTTTAAGCTTTTCATACCAGGACCAGTGTGATTCAATTTAAAGTTTTCATCAGGGAATTTTCTTCCATAAATAGATTCACCACCTTTTAATAGAAAGAAAATTTGTTAAAATGTTAATGAATCGCGAGATTTTAAAAATAAAATCTATATTATCAGATCTCATATGTTTAATTTTATATTATAAATTTTTTACCCATTCCGTTATGGTGAGTAATATCACCTCCCTAGCACATAAATCTAGGAATAATTCTATGGAAAATACTACCTTTATAGGTCAAAGGTTTACCACTAGTAACAGACTTGGCATCTCCGATGCAAAGTCTTCTGAAGTTTTCAGCAGTCTTTGGGACAACATCAGCATAAAGCTATATAATTATTTATCATAAATGATATTTCAAGTAAGTTCCTTTTGTATTTAAATATTTAATACCTCAAAGACCATTCTTCCGCTAGGATTACCATTTATAGCCATATCAAAGAAAACCTTAGGGTTCTTTGAAGAAGAAAATTTACTAATAAGCTTGAAAACGTTCATTTATTTATTTGCTATGTAAATTTATTGATATATATTAATGAATTAATATTAATTGATTATTAAAGATTTAATTAAATATTTTTATTTTGTAAATAAACAAACATAAGATATTCTGAGATTCTACTTTGTCCCTTCCTAATCTTAATTAATTATACTTATTTCTATCAAGTTAAAATGAAAAGATACAGTCATACATTTTAAACACTTCTTACAAAAATTAAAGTAATTTGTAATCATTTTGAATTTTTAATGAATTTTCATTAGTTCAATGAACATTACTGAAAATATAACCAACTTAGTGTGATTTTAATATCATTATAACATTATACTTTATTTTATAAAAATTAAGTACATATTAATGCAACTTTATATATTTATATTTTATTTATTATTCTATTTTTTATTTTTTAAAATAGTAAATTACTTTCAAAAAAACAATAAAAATTTATGTTATAAAACATATTTATGATTTTTTTGGAGCTTTGATTAATATAAATTGAAAAGATTTATAAATTTTTAAGATTAAAGTTTTTGTTATTAAAAAATAGAAAAGGAGTTTTAGGTTTTAAAAAATGAATGACTTACAAAAAGAAATGCTTACAAAATTAAAAGAAATCATTCCTCACAATGGTTTGATATTTAGTGAATCAGACACCAATAAAGAAATATTATGTAAACCTAAAATACTACCTTTAAAGAGTTTAACTCTACTAAAATTAGAAGAATTAGAAAAATAAATGTTAAATCAAATAAAAGATAAGCCAAAAGACAATTGAAATTTTCTTAAAAGCTATTTGAAGTATGCATAATTATATGAAGGTTGAATCTTTCAAGCAAAATAAAACGTTTAAATTTGAAGCCTTTTAAAAATATCCTGAAATAAATTATAGGTTATAAAAACAAACATCAATTATAAATTCAAACATTTTATGTATAATAAAATGTAGAAATAAATCACATGAAAAATTAAATTTAAAATGATAAATCTGTCTACAATATCTCTGCTTTATGTTAAATAAACGTAGTTTATTCTTTTCTTATAGTTTAAAAATTAATATAAATATTACTCTCTTTAAGATTAAAAGTATTTAATTGTTTAATGTACTGGAGCACTATTACTCAAATAGTAAAAATTAGAGAAAACTATTTATTTTTTATATAAGGAAATTCCTATCATTAATTTTTAAAATACAAGATTATATTGTTTTTGAAATTTTTTAAAATATTTATCTAATAAAATTTTTTTATATATTTTTAATTGCTCTTAAAATTTAAAAAAATCTAGTTTAAAAGAAATTTATATTAATTGAAAGCATTGTGTATTTAGAAATATTTACTTTAAATAAATGGCTTTGAGGTAATTACACTAAAGGTTAAATTAAATGATGATAATATTAAATTTCCTATAAGTATATCAACTAAATTCTTTAAAACAAATTAAATTTATCATTTTACTTATCTAATACAATTAGTTTTTCATTTAATCATTTTCATAAAATAAATTAAAATTTTCAAAAAAATTTATTTAGTTCATTCATAAATTAATTAAGTACTCATCTTTTTTTAATATTCTTTGCTTGAAATTGATTCAAAGAAAAAATAACATAAAAATTATTTTTTACAAATTCTTTTTATTAAATAGATTAAATATCAATTAAAAAAATATTTAATTTTATCAAATAGTTTGAATAATTATTTATTATTTAATCAACTCGACTAAATTATTAAATAGGAAAACATATTTTTGCAAATGTAATTTTATTAAATTTCAATATTTATGGTTAATTAATCAAATCAATCAAATTAATAAATTAAATAGGAAAACCTATATTTACATATCTAATTTTTAATGATTAATTTAATAATTTATGATTAATTTATTAAATCTACTAATTTAAACTGTTATTTTATCATTTTAATTTTTAAAAATTGGCTTATTTTTACAGATGGAAACTATTTATTTTACATTTTTATAATAAAATTTTAATGAAGAATGAGGCATATTTTTATTTCAGTCAAAATCAAATTTAATTTGCTATTTTAAATGATGAAAGTGTAAGATTATCAAAGGATCAAACTAGGTAAATATAATATTCAGAGAGGAAATATCTTAATCTTTATAATTCTTCTATGCTACCTTTCTTAGCATATTTATTTGCTAGCTAAAAGACTCAAAAAATCTTTTGGAAGTATTGTGAATATAGTTTCTCATTTCTTAGCTTATGTCTATTTTAAAGTTACATTTGAGTATATAAATAGGGATATGAGACTCACAATTTGAACAAATAATGTTAGGTCTTTTAATTGAATTCTAAAGCTAATAGTATTCTTTAGTTTTTTTACCGCATTCTGCACAGCAATAAGGCAACTTTGTATAAAAACAGTTTACAAGTTCTTTTTTACGTAAATTCAATAAAGTATCTTAAATTTTTTCAATCTCCAAAGGATAAAATAAAATAATGTTAAATAAATTATAAGTCTCAGTAAAATCTATAATTCTTTTCATCCTTTGTTATCCTTCAAGTTATTCCCATTCATCCTTTATATCTTATAATTATAAATTTTATATATACTCATTCATTCCAGCAACTGACTCTTCATACAAACCTTTATTATTAAAAATATTTTTTCATTTTGTGAAAACTTAATTTTAAATATGATTTTTACCTTATTTACTTTTGAATATGTAGTCTAAGTGGTTTAACAAAGTTTTTAATATAGAATTTATTGTATCAGTACAACTGTTACAATCAAGTAGCTAAAATATTTCGTAGAATATATTTTTTTCTTCTCTTAAAGATAAAACCAGCTCTTAGTCAAGTTTATATGAAAGAAAGAATAAAAATTTCAAAGCATATGGTCTATTTTTGGCTAGTTGTTGAAGGTTGTCTTTATTGTATAATTTAATAATGGCTTCCTTGTTATTTTCTGAATCTATATTGTAATTTGCATCAATCAAGTAATTCACAAATACTTCATCATTTATAGGCTTTTAATCACAAAAATTTAAATTAATTTATTTACACTTTTATTTGAAAAAATTTCTTTAAAATTAAAGAATTTAATATTTCTTTTAGAAAATAATTAGACAATTTAATGAGTAAATTTGTAAAAAACCCTACGAATCCAAGCAACGATTTGAAATGTCCTACTATATTTTCTACATCTTATAAAATATAATTTCCTTAAATACCTTAAACTAAATATTTAACTTATTCAAAATCTTCATAATCCTGATTCATATTTATGCTTTTGTTTAGATTTTATTTTATTTGCTAATCATCTATGTTGTTTAAAACACCAATAAAAAATAAGAGATTTTTGGTATTGATATTTATGTTCTTCTTCTAGTCAAGCAAGAAAGTAGCCATTATCTTTATTTTCTATTTTAATTAAACACATTAATTAATTTCTTAATTTCTCAAAAATAAAATTGATCAAATAAGCAAAATAAATACATTTAAGAAGAGTTATTCTGATACTTCCTGTGAGTCTTATTCAAAAAAATTTTTATTATAGCTATCTTTAGTTATAATTAAGATGCATTTTTGCAAAGCCAGAGCTGCTTCATCAAGGCAAATTTAATCTAAAATTTTGAGTTCCTAAAGATAGTTTAGCAAATTTACAATGTTACTAAGGGGATCATTATGCATAATTACAATCTCCTTTGAAAAATCCTTTGTTTTTAGATAAATTAAATTTATTATCTTTCTAAGACAATCAATCCCCTTAGCTGTTCCATCTGAAAATCTTTCAACTTTCCCTCTAAAATATTTATTGAGGAATAGAATCAGGTCCTAAAATAAAATTTACAACATTATGTAAATTAGTAATTCAGATATAAATAGTAAGTTACATTCACAATAAGGATCTAAAATGTTGAAAGTACTTGATATTTTTGAATGAATTGCACATAATTTGTCCAATAAAATAAAAACTTCTCTTATATATATGGTCTGTATAAAAGGGAACTTTTTGAACTCATTATAGCTAAATTTAATTTGAAAAAAAGATAATGAACTTGCTCCACATTATCTTGATTTATCTTAGTAGGGTATTCAGAATTGTCTTCTAAGCTGTATAGGTTAGTATCACTGTTAATTAAATTAAGATTATTATAAATGTTTATAATTAAAAAAAATAATTTCAAACAAATTTAGTAAGCTGTTTATCATTTTTTATAAATAAATAAATAGATATTACATTTCATCAAATGCTGATTTTATATTAAATTATTCTGCAGTTAATTCCATAAACAATTAGGAGTCATAAAAACCTATAAGTTCAGTTGTTAATTTTTAGCATGCTATATCAAATCTTGTAAAAAATTCTTAATTTCTAGCCACTTTTTTGAATACTTTTCTTACACAGAGAGTCATCATTTTCATTAGCTATATATACGTTCAAAATTTTATTCAAAATATCAATCAATTAAATCTAAAAATAATAATTTCTTGATGCATTCATTATAAACTTATGAAATCATGCAATATTTGACAAATTAAATGTACATATCTTTAGCAGATGTAAATCTCATCAATTGATTTCATTGTAGGTATTAACATACACATCTTCAAAAGCCTTTCGTAAGGCAATAAGCTGCTACTCTGTTTTAAAAAATTATTTTTTGATTAAAGTTAAAATCTGCTTTTCTTGTTTACTTTAAAGCTTGATGTTTTTAATATCCAATAAGCAGCTTAGTAGGACAAGCAATCATCTGGAGAAAAGTATTTTGCAAACAAACGTTAATTAAAGGCTTAGCCATCTTCTTATCTATATTCATGATCAAATGTTAGCTTTGTTTTGTGAAGAATTCTAACTAATTCAAAAACCTAATTCTCTGAAGACTCGCTCTCTTCTATCATAATTAAAAAAAGTTTAACAAATAAATATTAAAGTAAGTTAAATATATCCAGCAATTAAGCTAATTAATTTTTGCTTTAAATTTTAATAGTCAATCAAGTTGGCGGATTAAGTATATCTTCATCAAATATACTCAGAAAATATTATATTCAAAAAGTGACAAAATTCTAAAGTTCTATCAACTCCAAAAAATTAAAATAGTTACTATCATTTCAAGTTTTATTTTAGTAGACTAAATTGTTTATAAATTAATTACAAAATAAAATATTTTATTTTTATATAAAATATAAATAAAATTAAATAGCTTAAATCTACCAAAGTAATTTATTTACATTTAAACACTATTTTTTTAAGATAACAATTTTTATTAAATTAAAAGATTACATTTTGAGTATGGTTTAATAATATTATCATATCTTCAATCTGATTTAGAAATATCATAATTTAATTAAAAAAATAAATAAATTATTAACATATTTTCAATAATTTATTTTATAACAAATATCATAAGATCTAATTTACTAAAAAATGTAAAATTTATAAAAATAAATAGAATAACAATCTTTATAAAAAAACAAATTTTTTATGATATTTACAATTTTAAATTTTTGAGGTAAAAAATAGTTGAGTATTTAAAGTTTTATATTAATTTTATGGTTGATGTAATTTAGAATAAGCATAAAAATTAAAGAAAACATCTAAAGACCAACAGGTAAACCGATTCTTTTAATATCAAAAAATACGAAATAAAAGGCAAAAAGAATGACAATAAATTCAGCTATTTGATGTAAAATGATCACACATTCAAAATAATTAATTAGTTTATTTATTATTGAATGATATTGTTTAATTAATAATCTTTTAAACCAACAAAAATTAATATTAAAATCAAATTTAGAAATTATAATTATGATGAGAACTTAATTATCTTTCTTAATTGTAGTGTGTTTATTGATTAGTTTGAGCTAAGCATTTTTGAAACAAAAAAATCAAACCGCTAAAATTGCTATCCCTTCGATTGAATCATTAAGAAATCAGGAATGGGTTGAGATATTCAGAGATGATTTTGATGGAGATAAACTAGATACTAGATATTGGACAGCTCGTAATAACATGACACACACTGATTGGGAATAACAACTTTATATAGAAGAAGATGTCTATGTCGAAAACGGAAATCTAGTATTGAGAACTAGATTTAATCCAAAAATTTATTAACCTACTCAAAGACTTTACAATTACACTTCAGGTTGGGTTGACAGCTCTGAAAAATTTAATTACATGTTTGGCTATACTGAAGCTAGAATTAAAATACCTAAAGTTGTTCTTGACGATCCAATTTGGCCTGCATTTTGGAGTATCGGAGAAGGAACTTACTGGCCAAATGGTGGAGAAATAGACACTATGGAGATGAGTGCTACTTGGAACCCAGATTTTCTTCCTCATATTTAAGGAACCTACCACTGGGGTAAAGATGGTGACTAATGCAATGCTTGTGGAACTGAGTTCCCTTATTATCTAGATTTTAGCGAATATCACACTTACACAACTGTTTGGAATGCAACTTAAATTGATTGGTATGTTGATGGTATTCTTTATAGAACAAATGTTAATGGAACTATTTATGAAAAAATGTCTTCTCCAGTTGATCTACCCCACTACAACTAATTCCTTATTATTAATGATGCTCTATGGGGAGAACCAACACCTAATCCATAAGACTATCCAAAGTATATGTACATTGACTATGTAACAGTTCTTCAAACTAGAGAAACTTATGAATCTTAAAGATAATAATAGTCTGTTGCATGAGTTTGATACTATATTAATTTATAATAAAAAATTAACTCTGTAAGGATAAGATTTTATAAAAGAATATCTTGTGTATTGAAATACATTTTTATATATAAATAATACCAATAGAATAATTAATTTAAGTTGAAAATCTAAAATTTATTTATTTTAAAAATGTAAATTTGATTATGCAAATCTGAAATTCGTCTTACTATAAAATAAAGTTTACTTTTTAGATTTTAAAAGATAATATTTTTATTTTATTTGATAATTTTCTTACATAAATAGCTTTAAAAAATTTCAAATTCTATTTAGCTCTAATGAACTTTTAGGAATTATAATACTTAATTTTGTAAAAATAAAAGAGAAGCTAATTAAATCCAAAAATTATTTCTAATTATTTTTAGATGAATATGATTTAATTAATTAAAAATTAAAGTAAGAGATAGTCAATAAAATATAATCTTTATGGTTTAAAAGTTTTCTCCTTAAAATAAAATGTGTTATAACTCAAATAAAAACTTAAAAACAAAAAAAGTTAACAATGTTCATTAAAAAAATAAAAATGTTATAAAGTTAAATAATTTCATTAATACAAAACCCGTCTAGCTCAGTCGGTAGAGCGCCAGCCTTTTAAGCTGGTGGTCGAGGGTTCGAGCCCCTCGGTGGGTGATTTTTTTTTTAAATTTTAAAAAACTATATATCAAAAAATATTGAATTTAATAGCTACTTAATTATATTTAGAGGCTTTTTTTCTACTTTTAGATATTCCAAAATAATACAAAAAAATATTATTAAGCTGACATTTTTGTAATCTTAAAAACAAATAAAAATTTTTTACAAATTATTTAATAATTTTTGTTTTAAAAAATTATCAATTTAATTTTAAATATTAATTTGAAAATAGGAAATTCTTATTTGAATTTGTTTTTATTAATGATATTAATTCAAAAATCAAAATTAATAAAACTACTTAAGTATTTTCTAATAATTAATATATTTTTATTTTGATTAATAATTAACAAAGAATCAACTACTTTATCCTTGAACAATAATTTTCTTTAAATCAATAATTTCTTTTTCCTATTCCTCTATTTTTTTGTTCATATGCAGAATCTTTTCATTTAGTTATTCTCGAATTTAAATTGTTTTCTAATTTTCTAAATATTTATAAAAAAAATAAATTTTCTGTATGAAAAACTTTTTAAAGGATAATTAATTTTCTATTAAATATTTAAATTAATAAATGATTACAATTAATGATATTTAATATTTATTGGTCTTTTTATATGTTTTCTTTTTAATATGCTTGAATTTTTTCACTCAATTCTTCAATTTTTTTTCTGAAAGTTTCAGTATGATTCTACTTTGAAGCAATTTCTTATTCAAGTTACTCAATTTTTCTATTTTTCTCATTAATACCAAATTTTAAATCAAATATTTCATTTTTAAGTAATGAATTTTCAATATCAATTTTTTGCATCTAATTTTCTAAATCCTAAATAACAGTTTCTGTAATACCTCTACTTGCATTTAAAAATTTTTGCTATAAATCTCTTTTGTCTATTTCTAAATTTGATATCTTCAAGTTAGCTTGACCTAACTAGCTTTCTAGTTTCTAAATTTTTAACTCTTAATTACTTTTTATTTAAAATAGCTATAAATCTAACTTCTTTTTTTCATCCTATTATGAATTGATTTGTCTTTATTAAAATAAATAAAATTTAAATATCTTATAATAATTTTACATTATAAAATTTTAATTACTTTGAATTAATAATAATGATAATTAATAATAAATTTAAATAAACAAATAATAATAATTAATTTACTGTTGCAACTCATCAATAATTTAGATAAATTTTTATTTCTGTTGATTTAATTCTTCATTTTTACTTTTTTGATATTCTAAATCCTAATTTAATATATCTACTTATTGCTTTAGTTCTATAATATAATTATCCTTTTACTCTGAGCTTGTGTATATTTAATCGTTTAATTCTTTTATTCTTTTTTTGGTGCTAAGAAGTTCTTTTTCGGCATCGTTTTTGAAGCCGCTCAATTCATTTGATAGTTAAGAAATCATGTTTTTATAATTAGTTTAAGATTATTTTATTTTTTTTAAGCTTTAATCAAATAGCAATTAATCCAAACTTTGTGTTTTATCTTGCTTTTTGTCAGAAAAAAAAGGGAGATGTTTGTTTTTATCACCCGAAAAATAATCTGATATTTTAGCCTATTTAAGTAGTTATTTTTATGGTGAATTATGCTAATTTTTATTAGAAACATCTTTTGGTTCATCTAAATTCTGATTTTCACTATTTTCTTAAATCGAATCTTCAAACTTTTCTTTATTTTAGCTATTACTTAATGTTAAATCTGTTTCCTGTTTCATCCTTACTAATATAAATAAATATATAATTATTTCTTGCTTTAAGGAAATGAATATTTTTATAATGAATGATATTATTTTATGGAAGATAATAATTCTTTTTAATGATTTTTGTTAAACACAAACTATTTTTAATTAATAATTTAATAATATAGTAAGTAACTTTAGATCTTTTATTATTGACCAAACAAACAACAAATAAATACTTATTAGAAATTAATTATTAACATTATTAGAGTATTATAAATTTTTATTTTTATGAATGATTTTTTTTTTTAATTCGACTAATCCCTAATATTTACATCTTTTCTTTTAGGAAATTTTTTTTATAAATTAATTTATTTAACAATTGCATTTAATCATCATAAATATTATTAATAAATATTTTTAAATATACTTTTTAACTAATATATTTCTGCAAAATTTTCAATTTAATAAGCTTTTTAATGAAAAAATTAGAACAATACTTTTTGGATAAATGATGAGAAAGATAAAATGATAAAAACTACTGATGTAATGATATATAAAGTACATTTTAAGATAATTGCTATATAATTTTTCAATGAATTAATAATTTATTTTGTTAATTATAATCAGAGGTTTATTTTTTTTCAAATCTTCATTTGAGTCTTTAACCATTCAAGAGAAACGAAGCATTCTAAACCTTCAAAGTAGGTAAGACCTAAAGATCTGTAAAGATTGGCAGTTTTGATGTTTCTGTCTTGAGCTCTTTGCCAGAATTCTCTCTTGTCTGCACCAGGGAACATAGCACTATCCTTTTGGGATTAATGGCGGAAGATGGCGAATTTCTTTCTTTCCATTTCTTCGGGACTTAAGGGGCAAGAGATGTGGATATTTTCGATTTCCCATTCTTACCAAGCACCTCTGTAGAGGAGAACTTAAAGCTTTTCCATGATAGGGTGGTTTTCAGCATTTAATTCATCCAAAGCAGCTAAGATGATTTAGAGGCAAACTCTGTGAGTACCGTGGGGATCAGTTAAATCACCAGCAGCATAAATAAGCTCAGGTTGTACTCTAGTGATTAATTCTTTAACAATCTTAACATCCTTTGGACCCATAGGATCTTTTTTAATTGTTCCAGTTTCATAGAAAGGTAAGTCAAGAGAATAGATGTTTTGCTTCTTAACACCAGTAGAGATAGCTGCAGAACGAGCTTCGACTCTACGGATTAAACCCTTAACTTTGAGGTTGTCTAAAGTATCATATTCACCTATCTTTCTGTTGTCGATTTGATCATCGATGCTGTTAGTAAGGTCAATAAGTTCTTAGTATTTACCAGGTGCAAAGCTTAATAAGAATTCTCTAAAGAAATCGTTAAAACGAGAAGCATCGTGGTCAAAGACGGCAATGTTACCACTAGTTTGGTAAGCAACATGAACATCGTGACCTTAGTTAACGAGCTTTTCCATGGTACCTCCCATGCAAATGACATCATCATCAGGATGAGGAGAGAAGACGAGAATCTTTTTGCTGACCTTTGCCTTTTAGTTGAAGTAGTCATTTGTAGACTCATCAGGGCGACCACCAGCGGGCCAGCCAGTAATTGTGCTTTGGAGTTGACGGAAGACTTACAAGTTAACTTTACCAGCATGACCGTTGCCAACTTAGTTTAATAATTCGAGTAAGTCATTATCTTCATAATCACTTTCGATCAAACTTAAGATTGGTTTGTTGACCTTTTGGGAGAGCCAGATGACGGCCTTCTTAGCCCAGTAATCGTCATAGATCATATCAGGGTCAGAGTTAACACCCTTGATTGTCCAAGGAGCTACGTGTCTAGTGAGCTTTTCAGCAGCAGCTAAATCCATGTAGAAAGTACAGTTAGGGTGAGTTTGTAAGAAGGTAGCAGGGCATTCGCTGGTGACAGGACCTTCGATGGTGCTAGCAATGATAGGAGCCTTTGTTTCAGAGAAACCCATGATAGCAATCTTCTTAGCTTTCATGACAGAAGAAACACCCATTGTGATTGCATACTTTGGTACGTGTTGTAAACCCATGAAATCTGAAGCAGCGTCCATTCTAAATTGATATGAATAAATTTGATTAAGTAAAGTTGATAAATTTGTTGGGTGGGGATTTAAATTAATATTGTCATTCTATCTTATTTTTAGTGTGTGTAAATCGTAATTCAATATTTAAAATTGCGTATTTAATTTTTGTATCTTTCTAGAGAAGTTTATTTATTCAGTATTTATGAGGTAAATAAATTTAGTATTTTTAAATATTTGCAATTTTGAGTGTAATTATTTTTCTTTCTTTAAAACTTTTATTGCTGTTCCATCAATCAATCTAATCTATTTCTTAAAGCTTTTTAAAGCTTGATTTTACACTAAATTTATTTATGAATCGACCTAAAATTTATTTTGTTGGCAACCAATATTTCAATTCTCCCTTGTTTTGATAGATGCTTTAGATATTTCATTAATCATTTGCTCGAAATGATGATGAATTTAATTTTAGTAAATCTATTTTTTTGTGAGAACTAGCTATCTGTAAATATTTTAGAATTTCATATATTTAAACTAATAAATTGGGGATTTTTGTATTTCAGTTATTTACTTTATGTGTTTTTTTTTACTTATGAACACTCTTTTTAAAAATTAAAATACTTAGTCTCAAAATTTTTATGTTTTTGAAAATATTAATTCCAAAATCAAATTTTGTGGTTTTCTAAATTTACAAACAAAACTTACTTATTCATTAATATATCTATCTAATTGTTAATTTAAAAGTCAATTAACTGAATTCAACTTATTAAAATTTCGCTTTCATGAATTATCATAAAAAATTTTTGATATCAGATGGCATTAAAATTTGTTCTGATCTACTGATATAGTATTTTCTTAATATTTTTATTTAAGAATCCATTGTTTGATTTTTTTTATCTTATCATATTGTTTTTTTTAAGCTAAAAGTGTTTTGCTTTATGTAAAATAGAAAAATGAGCATACCTAGTTTTTTTATCGAGGTTGATGATTCTGGTCTTAGATAAGAGGGATGAGCCAGGTTCGTTAAAACCAATGTGGCCAGTTCTACCAATACCAAGCAATTAGAAGTCAATACCTCCAACTGATTCAATCTTGGCTTCGTAATCTTCACAGAACTTCAAAACTGACTCCTTAGGGATGGTACCATCAGGGATATTGATGTTTTCAGCAGGGATATCGATATGGTTGAATAATCTATCTCTCATGAAAAAGTTGTAACTTTAGTTGTGTTCCTATTATTTATTTAAATAAGAATAAATATTCAATTCCATTTTAGCTAGGTTCAAAGCATTTCGTTTTAGTAGAAAGTTTTAAGAGTAAGTTTTAATTGATTTTATGTGAAATGAAAGGATTTTATTACCTTGGGGATGGGATAGTATTCATCTAAGTTGAAGGTGATGACATTCTTGAAAGAAAGTCCTTCTTCCTTGTGCATACGGATTAACTCCTTGTAAACAGCAACAGGAGTTGAACCAGTGGCTAAACCTAAGACACAGTTTATTCCTTCCTTTTAGGTTTTGAGGATGAGGTCTCTGATTTCTCTAGCTACCATTAAGCTTGATTGGATAGGAGCGACTGTAATGACAGAAGGAATCTTTTCCTTTGATCTGAAGAGAGGATCGGTATCAATGTAAGAGTAGTTGTTCTTGCTCATTTTGATTTCTATTTGAAGCTTTATTTTTTGCTTTGATATTTGTTAGGAAAAGCTATAAAGTTTTTCTTTTTTTTGATTTTGTTGGTTGCGTTAATTTTTTAATTTTTTATTATTTGATTATATCTTTTTTTGATGGTAGTATTTAAAGAAAATAGCCGCTTATGAAAAAAAAAATTAATACGTAAAAATTAACAATCAAAAAAGCAAATTATGTTAATTACATTGAATCTAGTTAGTCAATTATGTGAATGAGTACTCCAAATCTTTCTATTTATCCCTTCTTTTTTCTAAGGAAGATTCATTCAAAAAGGTATGATAAAAGAAAATGCTTTGGAAGAAAGGTAAATTTTCCATATTAATTTATTTCACTCGATTCATCAATTAATATTTAAAAATTAAATCCAAAAAATATCCTCCCATTTACTAATTCCTTTTACTTAAGCTAATAAATGATAAAATGTCTTAAGGTCATAACATTTTTCTACTTAAAATTAAAGTTCAGTCTATAAACCTACATATATCTTTTGATTTTACTACACTTCAGCAACTAAATTCTCAAAAATGAGGCAAAAAGCACACTTCTAAGCAAGTATCATCTTAAGAATCTCTTTGTCCCACTATACTTTACATAAGGTTGTTGTTTTAATTTGAGATTTAGCAGAATAGATTAAGAAAGGGACCCCTCTAAAGAAATTAATTGCTATTTAATTAAAGTTTTATTTAAACAGTAATAGAATTTATCATCTCATTATAATTCACCCAGCCATGTAAAGAATTTAATAATTACCTCAAAAACACAAGATAGTACAAGATTAATTTATTATATAAAGAATATATCTTTCATCTGTCTATCTTCTTATTTCATTGAATAAATAAATTTTTATCTTATTAATCCTAACCAACTATATTATTTAAACAAAAAATTACTCTATAGCATTAAATTGAATAAAATAATATTAATGCATTACTCTTAACAAAAAAATAAAAATTTAATTCATATAAATGCTTTATTTGAAATTTATAACAACTGAGAGAATTTTTATTAATTTTGAAATATATGATGAAATTTCATCAAAGAATGTACTTATTACTCCACTATTAATCTTAATGTCTTTAGACGTTAATAATATATTATAAACAAATCAAGTTTAGCGATTATATTTAATACTTATTATTACTTTATTTACTTTTGAATTCATACGAATCATGAAATACATTATAGATTATAAATTATTTCTTTGAATTTAGTTACTAATTTTCTTTTATTCATTTTTCATAGCAAATTTATGTGAAATTAAAAGCAAAACAAAATTTAAATTTCAAAAATGAATATGAAATTAAATAAAAATCAAAATATTAAATAAAATGTTTTATATGAAAAGCTAATTTGAAATGTATATTGTAATATCTTAGTTGATAATTTTATAATAAAATCATATAAACTTGAGTGAAATATAAATTAAGAAAATTCACAAAATGCGGTGTCAAATTAAATGCATAATTTTGGTTCATTCATTAGTGGATTGTTACATATTAATTATCTAAGAGTAAAGATTAAATTATTATTTTGTCATGTATAAAAAAGTATTTATTACTCTAGAATTAAGGGTCATTTCCTATATTTGAATTAACAAATCATACTTCATCTTTTCTTAATATTTAATTCTTTAATTCTAATCCCAAAAATTTGCCTAATATTTATTGCTTCCATTTATTATTCTTATCTATTTCGAAATTTAAATCTTTCCATAATTTACTTTGTTCCATTTACCATGATTACAGTCAATGCTAATTTGAAATTAGTAAAGCTCTAATATTTTGGCAGAATGTAAACTAATTGATAGAAAATTATAGAATTTTTTTGACTATGACAAAAGAAAATGAGTAATAGAAGTACTATAAAATATAATATTAGGGAAATGGCAATAATTGATATCACTTTAGTTAAAGTTGCTATTTAATTTGAGGACTATTGCACTGTTGAATAATGAATATGATGATTCGAGTTTTAATAATGAGTTAGAATTTTTGATAAAGTCTAAAGGTTTAGATTCAGATATTACAAGACCTATTAGCAGATACTCAGTTTACATTTAGTTATAAATTGTAATTTGATTAATAATCGATTGTATCTACCCTACCAATTAAGCATACCAATTAATCTGATAATAATTAATTGTAAGTTAATAATTATTGATTATTATCATTATTTTATAATTGTTTTTTTGTTTTTATATTAATAGATTTTAAGATAATACTTTAAATATTTGATCACTCTTTAATTCTCTTCATTTATTCGGTCATATTGTTTTATTTTAGCTAAGAATTATTTCTTTTATTTCTAGGAATATCTCAAATTAGGTATTTAATAAACCTCAAAAATTGCATTTATTTATATCAATCATGTAAATTGATCATTAAAAAATTATCTAAAAATCACCAAAACCTACTATAAATGGTCACATTTTTCACTCAAACATAGACATCAATATTTAAAATTTGGCTAAAATATTTTGTAGATAGGTTAAAATTAAAAAAATAAAGCTATAAACTAGCAGTTTTAGTAAATATATATTTCAATATACGTTCCATATATTTTTATTCACTTTTTTATACAACTTTCGATAACTTATAAAGTTGAAATAGAACATTATTAGATAGATACTTTTAAATACTTTTCTTATGATTTTTTATACAAACTTTATGAATATTATTCCAATATTTCCTTAAAAGATTTCTATTATATAAAACCCTCTTTAAAATTGTTAGAGTAATACAAATATTTTTTTAAAACTAGTTTACAGCAATTCGTTTAGGGATAATTAAAAATCATCTACTGTAAAAGAGCTTTAGTTATTGTTATTGACTTTACTATGACCAAATAAAACTGTATTTGTGAGAATGTAAATATGCATTTTCAATCTTAAATAAGTTTTAAATGATTTAATTTGTGGTGAATAAAAAAAGTGAAACATAAAGCAAAAATATTTTATATATTTAAAAAACTGTTTATTCTTTTCATAAATAAGCATCTTCAAAATAAAGAATAGAAGTTTTTTAATTCTAACTCTTAGTTTTTTATCTATCTTTTAAAAATTAAAATCTTGAAAAACTAGCTATTCAATTAAAAATTTGCTTATTTTTCTTCAGAAATAAAAAATATTCTTCAAATATAGAATTTATTATTCGTTGAAAAACTTTTGAAAACATGATATTTATGGCTTAGATTTTTTCTGAAAATTGATAATTTATGTATAAAATAATATTTTATTGAATACATGATTAAATTTGCATAAAATAGAAAGAATAAAGAAAGGAATAATATTATTTGTTATATTCCTTTTTAATTAAATTTGACTTGAATGAATTAAGAAAATGTTTCATTGTAAATTTGATTATAAATGAGTAAAAATTAAAATGAGTATGGTTTATTACAACAATCATCATTATAAAATTTGAATTAATGTTATGTTATTGAAATAATACGTGAATTTCATAAGAAATTGAATATTTGAAAACTATTTTGTATTTAATCTTGAATATTTGTAATCAAATTTAGATTTTGATAGAATTTACCAAAAATCTATATTAAAATTTCAATTCTTTCAAAAAAACAAATCATAAATTTCAAGATTGATTTGTAGGTCAGAAAAAATATACCACCAAATTTATTCAATTACTTACTAAAATAAATTTAAAATTAATGTTTTTGCCTGGTATTTTGCTATTGTATCATTTAAAACCATTTTAAATTTGCAAAATTTATTCAGAGTATTAAAGGAATAGAAGACTGTAATTTTGTTCTAGATTTATTAAAGATTTGTTTTTCTGATAATTAATTATTGATTACAATTATACTTTTACCCAACTGTAAATGATGGTTTTGTAAGATTTATTGAATTAAACGGAATTCATCAATAATTAATTGAAGTTTATTTTATGAGTTATTCTGGTTTGCTAATTAATTTACAAATTATGTTATTTTCCTAGTAATTTTCTTTCAAGAATGAAGTATATTTCAATAATTGATCATTCAAAATTAATACCTTAAGACGTCAACTTCAATCTAAATCCTCATAATATAATTTACTAAGTGAATTATTGGTTTGCAAAAAGGAAAGCAGATTGAAATAATTTTTAAACAACTATATAGATTAATACTAAAAAAGAAGTTTTATACATAGAGTAATCTTTCAAATTTCTTACATAAATTAAATATTACTGCGTCATTGTAAAAGTTATATTACATATATTAATAATTTAATTTGCTTTTATCATCAATTACTAGCTTTTATCTAAAAATTGCTTCACTAGATCCACTGAGAGTAATTATATTTTAATTTCCATCAAATTAAACTTTATACTAGCTAAAATTTGATATTATTTGCGTATCTATCAATAATTGCCACCATCTATCTAAATTATATCAAAATCTTCTAATTTATTACTAACTAACATATTATGTTATTCAAATGCATACTTTAAATCTTATTATAACTTTCAATATTTTTATATAATGTTTTTAATCAAAAAATTAGTTCTTATTTACTTTAATTTTAAAAGAAATAATAATTTCCATCAAAATAAAAACTCAAAAAAAGCAATAAGTATTTAAATCAATTTTTATTTATTTAATAAATAAATAAATTTTAAGCTACCCTTCATTATTTTTAACAGCAAAAGTGACTTAATTTTAATTAACATATTTTTTATTTATTTTGGTAAACATATAAAAATCTTGAAAATCTATATTGTATAATTATTTTTAGGCAAATATAGATAAAAAAAGCTTTTATTAGAAAAACCAATCACCTAAAATAATTAAAAATAAAATTCTAAATATGAAATAAAATTTATTTTTTACAAAAATTAAATAAAATAAACTTAAATTCTTTATTTAATTTCAACTCAAATTTATCTTCAGACAAACCCAAACCTCCTTTTTTAAACAAATTTTTGAAAAATATTTTATTTAAATCTTAAAGAAAACATATACTATTCATATTTATTTATTAAATAAAATGTTAAATTTTAACTAAAAAATCACAACATAATAAATTACTTATCATTCTAATTAGTATAATTAATTATATTTTATTATTTTAAAAATATATTTCGAGAAGTATTTTGATTGTAAATTAAAATAATGCTTGTCTTACTAAAATTTTCACTAACTAATTTTTACATTTTTTAGATAACATTTAGTTATACATAAGCTTGAAGAAGAAATATTTTTTATTAGATAATATCATTAAAGTATCTATTCCTTTCCTTTATGTTTAAAAAGTCTATTTACTTTCAGAATATTTATTATCATATGAAATTTAATTAATTTTGATTATTAAAGTATATCAGTAAATTTTTTTGATAATTGTAGAAGAAATTGCAAAATGATAGAATTATGGTTGATAAGACATGGATAAACCATAGACAATATTTAAAAAATTCTAGCAGGTCATTAGCCAGGATAGCTGACAAACTTAGGAGTTAAATAAGCAAAGTAGACAGGCGAATTTCTCAAGAAAGAAAAATTTGATTTTGCTTATGTATCAGATCTAGCCAGAACTAAATCTACTTTCCAAAATATCCATAATTAGTTAATTAGCAAAATACCTGATAATAAAATAACTTACACACCTCTTATGCGTGAGAAAGGAGGTGGAGAATATGAAGGAAAACCTTTAGAGTTATTTAGAAAGACAGCTGCTGATAAAAAGATTCCATTAAGATAATTCAAAGGCAAAGATGGAGAATGTTGGAATGATGTATATGTAAGAGCAGAAAAATTCTTACTGACTTTGGCAATAAACCATTTAAAAATAGATCAAAACTAGAAATAAGATCCTTAAGAAGAAGAAATAAAAGAAAACAATTAACCTATTTAAAATTTTGTTAAGCTGATCGGAGTAACTCATGGTGGATTTATAATGGAAGTTCACAATGTGATAGAGTTTAATTACTAAAATAAAGAGCCTAACATAAATAATGTGGCAAAGAATTGTTCAATCCACAAGATATAAATATCATTGTCTAAAGCATCTAAGCTTAATAATATAAATGAAGTTACCTTTAAAGATTTAGAGATAATATGCATTGATAGAAATAACGATAACCACTGTAAAGATGTCAAATGACTGAGAATGTTACTTAAAAACAAATAGGTTAATAGATATATTGCATGATTGTTTTTATCTGTTTTATATAATTTCAGATATTTATAATTAGTTAGTTAGTTAAAAATATTCGTTTTACTAAGTTCTAATTACTATTTTCAATAAATTTTTTTTAATTGATTTCTAATTCAAATTTAAATAGAAATTTTTACAGATAAGTCTAAGAAATAAATGTAAAGATTATAAACTCATTTATTTTTCAAATATTGATGTAAAAACTGCAATTTAAGCTCAAATCATTTTATCTTTTTTTTAATATTCATTTTAGAAAATTATTTAAATTATAAATATATCAATAATAAATACAATGTGGATAAATATTATCTTCTTCCCCAATAATAATTTTTTAGAAAATAATAATATTATTATTTCGAATTTTTAGTTCAATGAAATATATTCATTTAATTTATATTTATATTTTGAATAATTACATTAAATAAAAAAAAAAAATCTAAATTTTTTTATTAATTTAAAAATATTTTATTTTTAAATTGAAAACTAATTTTGGTTGAATATTTAAAAAACAATTAAATGTTAATTTTTAATAATCTTAGAATTATTTATTTCAGTATATGAATAAAAATAAATAGTTAATTCTTGTTGTAATTGATTTGTTAGAATTGAATATTTAAATTTTCCCGCAAATTAAATTATATTAAGATTTTTATCTTAATTTTGATTGGCGGTTGATATTTGTTAGGAAAGGGAAACTAAATGATTAATAATAAATAGATATAAAAAATATAGTAAATATCTAAATTTTAATTAAAAGAGTATATAGAAATGTAAATGCAATAACATAGCTTAAATAAGTAAATAAAAGAAGAAGAAAGAAATTACATTTTATTAGAAAATGCAATAGATAATTCTAATATTTAAGGGTTTTAAACAATATAAGAAATAGTTTAGTTAGCAATGTAGAGAATGAAAATGATCAAAGAAATAATCTAAGAGTAATTAAATATATTCATTCCTTATTTTTGATGATCATTTCTACTTAAGCAACCTTTATTTATTTAACAATTATCTATCTAAATAGAGAACCTAGATTCAATCTTATTGATCCTCTTAGCAAGCCAAATTATAATAGAATTAGAGTAGCCAACAAATTTATTACAGTAGCTATACCCAAAAGTGATCCTGAATATGAGTTAAAGAATAAACAACAATATGCAAAAGAAGTACTTTCACATTTCCTTTGTAAAATGGCTTACGCTTTTTATGCAGAACCAGAAACATGGCTTGAATTTGCAAGAGCAGAGGCTTTTATTTTAATGGATAAGCTTAAATCTGGTTAGCACCATGCAAACTTCTTTTCAGATGAGAATCTTAAAATAAAAACCATTTCTGACGAATTATTCAAACAAGCATTTCCTAAGATAGAAGCCACATTTAGCAGCATAAAGATTAAGAAAAATGATTCAGAAGTAGAGCAAATTAATATAAAGAAAGATAATTTCAAAATGGTAATAAACTACAATAAATAAATTTGATTTTTATATTTTGTTTAAAATTAGTTCAAATTTATAGATCACCCTTCAATGCTTTCAAATAATGATGTTGTTTTACACAAAGGATATATTATTATTTATAAGGAATCAACTTCTAAAATAGTTCAAAATATTTTTATAGAGCGCTTATTAGATGAAATGAGATGTAATTAATTAATTTCAACAATTAAAATTTTCATCAACTTATTTTGAAAATTTTGTTTTGAGTTTGATTTATTAAAAATTCGTTTAATATAATTAGTGCTTTAGCTAAAGTTTTAAAATAATGGAAGCAAATTAGATGATGATAGACTATCATTTTTAAAAGATTTACACAAAGCAGAAATATTTAACGATTCAACATAATTTAATTCAACTTAAATTCATCACTACGAGCTTGATAGGCTAGCTAAAAGGTTTTCTTTTTAAATTTAAAGGAGAAAATTGAATTGTTTAATTTTAGAAAAATGAAAAAAAAAAAAATTTATAATTTTTTAAAATTTAAAATAGAGATATGCCAGCTTGTATGACCTATCTTATGTATGGTTTAAATTAAAAACTCCATTTAAAACATTTTGGTAGACTTTAGCTTGGTTTATTCTTGAAAGGTGCAGGACTTAGCTTAAATGAAGCTTTAACATTTTGGCAAAAAAAATTCTCTAAAACAAGTGCTGATGACTTTAAAAAGAAGTATGACTATAACATTAGACACAATTACGGTAAATTAGGTAAATAGCTTGATTACACACCAATGAGTTGTTAGAAAATAATTGGTTTCTAGCCTTTAAAAGATGAATTCCATGGATGTCCTTACAAAACTATGGAAAGTTAATAATTAAAAGATTTCTTAAAATTAAGTTACAACATAACCGATGAATAATTCGTTTAAGTGAACATATTTAAAAACCAAAAGCAATACCAAGTAATTTTAGCTTTATTTAATCTTTTTTATTAATTTATTTTAATAAATGAATTAGCTTGCTTGTAAAGAAGTATTTAAGGTTTTGAATGATACTAGAGATAAAACTAAAGAATAATTCTATCCTTACTTTGATAAAGTTGGTAACCATCCTAATGCATATTTTGAATAATCTTTACGTATGCATGAACCACAGCGTTTCTAAAAATAAGATGAAGAAAAAAAATAAAATAAATAAAATAGAAATCAGAATTTTTCAGCAAATAAATAAAGTACAAATAAAAACAATTAAATGGATTTGGAATTTTGAAATTACAAAAATTAAAAAAATATAAATTAAATACTGCTTCATAATATATTTCAAAAAAAATTATTTTTGCATTTATCAAATATCTTCTACTTTCATGCTAATTTTTCCTTAATTTTCTTTTTATTTTAATTCATAAAATTAATAAATTTAAATTTAATAAAAAAAATAATTAATTTACATTATTCATTCTCATTTAAGTTATTCTATGCTTATAAGCTACTTAAGCCATTAATTTAAATTTCTTGCAGTTTAGATTCATTATTTGATTGATCTACTTCTGATACTTCATATCCAAAATTATCTTGATTATCTATTGAAACTAATGTTTTAGCATTTAAATAGTCTTTGTCTTCCTTCTATAAATTTTCTTCGATCTTTTTCTATTATTGAGTTTCATTTAAATTTTATGAAACCTCACTTGCATTATTTTATTAATTCTCCTCTTTTCTGATGTCTGAAACATTTATCAAGTATAACTGATCGATATTCTTTGGTAATAGATATTTTCTTTGAGGATTTTATCTATTTTAAAGCAAATCATTATCAATATAAATTATTAAAATGAAAATAAGTTAAATGAATTTGAATGTAAATTTCAATATTTACTAATTAGAGTCTATATTTTTATCATTTTCAGTTTCTAATGTTTCTTAATGCTAAATGGAATCAAGTCTATTTTAAACTGTTTCACATTATTCTATTTCATCGAATTAAAGCAACATATTTTCTTCTTTATCTTTATTTGTAGGGGATGGAGAGAAATCTTAATTAGTTACATTTTAATCTTTCTTTTTTAACTAATCCATAGTTAAATAGCTTGAGATATCTTTGGCATCACTTTGAGAAATAGTGTATCTATGATTTTTTACTTCTTTTATATAAATATTAGACACACAACTTTTTACAAATTTTCTCTCTCTGCCTACAGTCTTTGTAGGAGGTTATTTGTCGTTTTCTGGATATTCTACAGCATTTTTCTCAATTACTTATTCCATTAAATACTATTTATTTATTATAAAAAAATATTTTAACAGCTAAAAAAACATATTTTTAAGCTAAAAAAGAATATTTAACTAAAAAATAAACAATCAATATAAATTTTTATGAGCTTCAAATTAATATAATAACTTTTTAATCTAGAGTTTTAACCTTAAATTTTCACATTAGGCAAATTTAAATATATGTTTAAATGAATTTTACTTAAGTTAATCGAGATAATTTTGACTAATTCTCATGCTTTTTGCTTGTTGGAGCATATGCTGCCTAATGTGAGATTCGAACACTTTAGTCTTGCTTATGTAAATCTATAGATTTTTGTATATCATTAGATTCCTCATTAGTAAACTTAATTTATGGGTTAATTTATATGACATTTGATCCTTAATTTACATTTAGAGTTTCTTTATTTCGTTTTTGTTCTTAAAAGATATTTATTTCATCTTTTTAGGTATTATCTTAGTTATAATTTACTTTAAAAACCTACTTGTTTTATCTTTTTATAACTGAAATTTGATCAATCTCAGATTGCTTTTCCTAGGATTGGGGAGGTTTGTTTTTATAGTGATTTTCAATACTAGTGGCAATTGATCTTTTTCTAACATTTCTTTTTTATGCAGCAACATTATTTTTATTTTATTTATTAGTTTGTTATTGTTATTTAATCTAATTAACTCTGGAAAATTATTTCAATTTTTCAATTTTTTCATCTCTTAATCTAATAATGTACTCGAATGTAGTCATATCTTTGCAATTTAAGTAAATATGAAGACATATTAAATTACAAAGTAAAATAAATAAGGTAAAGCTTATCGCAAAACCTACCACAGCCATCATAATAAAGATAATAGAGATATTATTAATATCTTAGCTTAAAGCTTCTATTATAAAAATTAAACTATAAATTAAATAAACTCCCATTTTCAAGAAACAAGAAGTAATCATCAGGATGAAAAATCTATATTTTATATATAATATTTCATCAATTTATTTACAACAAAGAAAAGAAAAAATTTAATTACTAATAATTTCTGGCTCCTATACAATTATTTATCCATTTGCAATGATGATCAAATTTTTACACACACCTTATTATAATTATTAAACCAAAAAGTCAATAGTTGAATGAAAATATCAAAGCTTATCTAAACTAAATTTAAATTGGTAGTAGGTAGAAGAAATCAATGTAATATATATATATTAAATATTAAGGTTTTATAAAATTAAACCTGTTGCATCTACGGCAATGCTTGACTTGATTTCCTACATAAATGTTACAAAAATGGCAAAAGTAAGTTTTCTCTTCAGTTTCAGTTATTTCTCTATCCGTTTTATAAGTAGAATAAAAATAATGCTACTTTCTTAATAATGCTTACTCATTTATAATTTTTTCAAGAAGTATTTTAGTTTCTGGATCTGTTGGATCAATGTAAGAACAAATAAACGAAAATAAAATTGTTAAGGTAACGCAAGCAGAGTAAATTATTTATCCAATCACCTAATTAAGGAAAAATAAAATGTTAAATATCATAAGAACAGAAAAGGAAATCGAAATTCATATTTATTTACTTGAATTGATCCATCATTTATGTTATTCAATATCACAAAGTACATTGTATAAATGAGATATGTAATTAACACATAGCTACTAACTTATTAACAGTTCGGCTTCCTGGTAAATCCGTTATTTGAAGCAAGAAATTTTCTCCCATTTCTAATAATTATTTTATTTATCATTTAAAAAGTTAGATCTGCTTAAATATATGAATTGTTAGCAATTGTTATTAGCTAATTACTTATTACAAATTTTTATTCTAATTTTAATTATCTTGAATAATGATAAAAACCTTTTTAAATGCAGTTATGGTAGAAAAGCAAAAATTATCCAGTAAAACAATTAAAATTTAAAAATATTAAAAAGCCTTTTATCAAAAATGATAAATAAATTGATTTCAAAAACCATTTACAAAAATACTTAGCTATTATTTAATTAAATAAATTAAAAAACATAGACTTAAAGGTAGTCTTAAAGGAGAATATATTATTATATTGTTGTAAAATGAATACAAATTATTGATAGTTAGTAGGATAATTTTTTCAATAAATGAAATGCAAATGAATCCTACTTTTATAAATATTTTAAAGAAACTATTTAAAAAAAATTTGTTTAAAAAAATTGTATAAAGGATTTTGACTAACATTAAATCTTTTAATTAATAACCAAGTGAATAAATAAAATTATTAAGAACTTCTATTTTATAAGATGAAATAAAATGAGCTGGAATATAGAAAACAGCGTAAACAAGACGATATATTTAAATTAACAAGTTCTGTGAGACTCCATACAGCTTCTAATCAATCTCATGAAGGTAGTTTTATAAACAAAAAAATATAGAAAATATTATTTTAATTTTAATCTCTAATTTATTACATTGCTCAAAAATAAATCGATTCGTTACAAATTATTTTAAACAAAACAAGACAATAATTTCAACAACTACTAAGCTCTTTTTCATTCCACTGAAGACACATAATCTTAATAATTATCTACCTTTCGATAGTTTAGAGAACTCCATACAATAAAAGAAGATTTAGAGGTGCTTTAATCATAAAAATTATAAAGAGACAATTAATTTTTAGAGCATTATAAAAAACTGCAAAGCCTTTCTCCACCCAAAGCATTCTTAGATAATACTTAATCTCCTAGAGATATTTATTAAAAAGGACTCCCTTAAGCTGCTTCATTTATTGACAAGAGCAAAGGATTTTTACCTAAGTATTTTTACTCTTATGAAACAAGCCTTTCTTTAGGTATTAATTAAAAGATTGTGTATTTAATTTAAAAGACAGTATCAATGATCTTCTATATTAATTTGTATGAATAATCAATTTAAAAGGTGTGGATATTTGCAACAAAATTTACATGCATTTTAAATATTTTCTATTCTACTACTTAACTTATTTGTAACAAACTGTAAAAAAATATAAAATTACATTAGCTGATTACTGCTAATAATTAAATATCATATTATTAAAAGAAATTACTTTGAAAATTCATTTTTAATAATGTTATTTATACTAATAATAACTTAAAAATATAATATTATTTTAAATTTTTAAATTAAAAAGGCAACGAAATATTAGATAATGGAGAAATCAAATGGGAAGAGCTAAAATTTTTAAATGTATTATTAACATTGATGTAGGAATTCACTACTTCTAATTTTTTTGTGTTACCTTTTGCTTTTTATTAAGGAGGTTTCCTATGGTCTAATATATTTTTATTATTATCATTTATTATGACTGCTTATCCTATGGTTATGCTTGTTGACTTAAAAAGACTTACAAATTTAACTTTAAGAGAGCTTTGCTATGCTCAGTGGGGAGGATTTGGAAAAACAATTGCTGATATTTGCGTTTTCTTCACTCATGTAATGATATAATTTAATTTTAACTTTCAACCTATCTTTAGTAAAATATTTAACTGTGTTTTTTCAAATTTTCAAAACAAAATTTTCAGATTAAAAATTTTTGAAATAAAATAAAAAAAAATTTTTTTAAAGGACTGTACTATTAAACTTATGGTAGAACTTTGAGTATTTACAGCTCTTAACTAAATTTGAATATTTAATAAAATTAATAAACTTATATTTAATTAAACAAACAAACTAACTAAATTATTTAATTTCATTTTTTTTAAAATTAGTTTTCTGATTTGTATTCATATATATAAGCTTTGGGTATAATGATAGATAAATTTTCAGTTTTTTTCAATTTGCAATTAACAGATAATGCATAATTTTGGATATAAATTATACTTTTTTATCCTTTAGTTTGTAATCCTAAACTAACTTCAAAGCTAACATTGAGATATGTCTGTGATGCGTTTATGGCTTTAGGTTTCTTTTTGACAATTTATTTGAATTTGTCTCTCATTCGAACATAGGATTTTAGAAACTATAGCTTTCTCAGGTCTGTAAACATAATTTAATCAGCAATGAATATGTTTAGTTGTTTTGAGGAGTCTATTTCTGTTTATGAAATTTATGTAAAATTCTAAATAACTAATAAATTCATTTAATTTTATTCAAAAACTCAGATTTTAAATGAATGAATAAATAAATAAGTAAATTCATCTAATTATATTTTAAATTATTAATTATAGAGAGATAAATTTACAGCAAGCTAAACTGTAACTTTTAAGAAATATATCTGGATAGGGCACTTTTGTATTTATTTAATGTCAGTGATTTTATGTAATCTAACTTGGTTGGCATTTGGAAATGATACAAAACCTAATATTATGGAATAATACGATGACTAATCAATAATATCTTTTATAGGAAAGTTTTTTTTTATTTCTGCAGCTGTTCCTGCTTATGGTCACTTATTCTAGCCTCTTGATTTGATGAGTAAAGATTTATTTGGAATATACTCTGAAAATAATAGACTTGCTTACTAAAAATTAAAATATTTTGACAAAAATAATGTCTCTTATTATCCAAAACACTCTGAAGTTACTGGAATAAGCTGGTTTAAACTTTGTTATTTCCATACAATTCCTGTTTAAGAAGAAATGGAGTTGCTTAATAAAGATCTTATATCAGTGAAGTATAATAAGCGTCTCTTGTTTTACTTGACAAAATTCTTCATTGTTTATTTTAGTGTCGCTTTTGGTATGCTTACTTCTGATATTTCAAACGCAATTTTCAATATCTTTTAAATATTTTTCAAGACTCCTATATCTTTGATTATTCCATGCCATTTATATCTTATTCTGGGCAATTTATCTTATTTAGAGAAAATCCTTTGCTATTTGATTATAGTAATTGGATATATACTTACATTTACCTCATTTATCTTTTTCTATCAAATGTGAAAGAAAAACAATTTAACTAACAAATTAACAATTCAATAATAACTAAATTTTAACTTACTAATTAATACATATAAAAACTAATACTAATTAATTAATTTGTCGAAATATATTTATAACTTTAATTAATTTATGATTGCATATCCAGTAATTTTTTAAATATTACCTCAATCTTTCTAATCAAAACAAATAATTACAATTTTTATTAAAATTGTTTTGTTTGCATAAGTTATTATTAATATGGTATCAAAGCTTTCTTTTCTGATAGTTAGAATTCAAATATAAACAGTATATACTATCAAAATTAAATGGACCAAAATTAAAATTTTAGAATAATTAAACACATTAATTTTATAAAAAAATATATGTAATTTTTATAACTAAACTCAAAATAAAATATATTATCTTGATCTTTGAAATATAAAATTATCACTAAAAGAAAATAATAAATCAAAATTAATTATCTCCAACTAAATATTAATTTTTAGTAGATTAATAATGATAGAAAAATGAAAAAATTAAATAAATATTTGATAAAATTGTAATTAATAATAATCTATTTAAAAAACTAGCTCTCAATAAATAACTCTAATAAATATATCTTTTTTATTAAAATGTATATTATTGCATTTAAAAAGCTTTATTTATATTTGTATTTCTATTTTTAGACTAATTAATAAAGAATTTAAACTTAATTAAGTTTTTATCAGTACTTTAGACTTTTACAATAAAATACAAACAAAGGAAGGAAATTTAATACCAGAAAAATTTTGAATAGGTATACTAATAATTAATTACATCAGCAAGTACAAATATTTTTTTATCTTCTAAACTACATTTTATGTAACCATAACCACTAAAATTTAATTCATTTTTTTTAGAATTCGTAAGTTAGTCATTTTAAAATGTTTAAATTTTATTTTATTAATGAATTAAGTAAATTTATCTAATTAATGTAATGTAATTTAAATTAACTTTCATTTCTTTTTTGTTACAATAAAATTCATTTAAAAAGAATAAATAATTAAAAAGTGAAAAATTATAATGTTTTGTTGACAGTATTATTTAAGTTATGATATTCTAAATAAAATTAATTATTGATGGATATTTCTATAAAAAATATTAAGTAACTAAAATTAAAGAAAGAAAGAATTTGTAAAAAAACATTTTTGAAAGAAAATCTCAATAAATTATGTAAACAAATAATTCTAATAACTCTCAAGATATTGAAAATGAGTTTAAAAATCAGTTGATAGAGAATCTAACTTAGATTAATCCTCCTAAAAACCCTTTTGAAAATTTGAATTTTATTTCTAGAATTCTATTTTTTTGGGTTAGTCCTCTCATTAAAGTAGAAATAATTTATTTAGTTATTTCATAAGATTTAAATAAAAATAAATTAATAGAAAGCTGTTAAAAAACCTTTAACTTAAGAGGACATATTTGAGCTGCATAAATTAGAAACAAGCTAAATTAACCTTCAAAAATTTAACTAAATCTATAATGAAAAAATAAAAGACCCTAAAATATCAAACAAAGTAAGGTCTACTTTGCTATCTATTTACAAAAGTAAATTTTAAAAATAAAATATATTATTATTAAGCAATCTTCATCTGAACTTCATAATTTTTAAAATTAAAATAGCTTATTTATTTATTTATTAATTTATTTATTTATTCTTTTATTATTTTATAAAGAGGAGATAGCTATCTCAATGATTTTGTATTTACTATTTCTGATTAGTAGTATTGTAAAGCTTAAATTTACTAACTCAATTATTTTGGCATTCTTAGACCCAGAAAGAGGATATAGTTTTAAGCCCTTAATACTTAGTTTTATTCTTCTACTGATTTGTTATATAATGGCTTCATTTGTCAAAGCAAATTACAATTTCTACTATGTAAAAATAACATTTGTTAATGTTTAATTTTTAAAATATATTGCATTTAAAATAGAGTTTGTTATCAGTAAGAATGACAGGAGCTTTAAGTATGGTTATTTTTGAGAAAACTCTAAAATTCCCTATGCTAAGAAATTAGATGTATAAAATAGGAGATATTTTAAATATGATTTAAGTTGATATTTTATAAGTAAAATTTTTAATTTAAATTATTTAGTTATTAAATAAAGATTTTTGTTAAATCAATAGATAGTTACTTATGTTTAAAATCTATTTACATTGCTTTTTGTTATTCCGTTCACAATTATTGCTTTTTATTTTTGCTATGATTAAGTGAAGAATTTTTCTATTATTCTAGTAATGGCTGGGTGCACTCTGATTTTCTTTGGTATATCTCTCATCTTTGGAAGACTCTATGGGCTGCTTTAAAAAAAATTCATGCATTAAAAAGATTTAAGAATGAGAAGCTTAGAAGAAATGATGAGAGGAATTAAAACAATTAAATATAATAGCCTTGAAAGTTTCTTTGATTTAAGAGTAAATTGGCTTATTTAATTTTGTTTAAAAATATATGTTTTTTTTTGAAATGTATGCATTGATTTTTCAGTTAAAATAAAGGAGAAACAAAGAGCTAAAGCAACTGAGAATTTAAAAACTTCTGCTTAGTTTAAATAATTTCATTTAAAATGCGTCTAGTACTTTGCTTATTTTAATTATCACCTGCATATATGGCATTAAAAGTTTATAAGACTTTTTAATTATATCAGGCGGATTTCAAATAATTTTGGGCTTTTTGACTGTTGTGCCTGCTTCAGTTTCAGGTATAGTTACTGGATCAAATTCTATGTATAGAGTAAATACTTTTTTGGTTGAGGACTTTATTTATAAAAACAATAACTCTGATACAAATTTGTAAGAATACAAACATAAGAATGGTTCCCAAAAATATTCACTCATTTTATAAAATGGCAACTTTTCTTGGAAAAATTAACAAAATTCAGCTAATCTATAGAAATCTGTAGAACTCAATCAGGAAGATAGATAGTCTTTACCTACTCAAGCATAAAACTAGAAATTTAATTTTAAAAACTTGAATTTTTAAATTAAAAAAGGAAATTTTGTAGTATTTTATGGAGAGTAATTATTTTTATCAAATTTATTCATTTTTTAAAATAATTTTTTCCCATCTATAAAAACACTTTTAGATTAGGAAGTGGTAAATCTTCCATCCTTTAAGCAATACTTGGGGAAATGGAAGTAGAAGGGGGATAACAGGTTTATGAATCTATGGTTGAAATAAATGGTTCTATTAGCTTATGCTCTTAAGATCCATGGATAATATAAGATACAGTATAAGAAAATATTTTGTTTGGGCAAAGTTATGACAGTTAAAGATATTAGTAAGTTCTTAAAGCTAGTTGCCTCCAAGAAGATATCCATTACTTTATAGATGGAGACAAGACAAATATAGGTGAAAATGGGTATTTTTTTCTCTATATTTTATTTTGTATTTTTAACAGTAATTTTTTATTGATTAATTAAAAGTGAAACTTTATCAGGAGGTTAAAGAAAAAGAATAAACTTAGCTAGATCGTTGTATAGAGAAGCTGATATCTACTTATTAGATGATCCATTAAGTGCTCTTGATATCAAAGTGGCTACATTTATATCAAGAGAATGCTTTGAAGGGCTATTGAAAAACAAAACTAGAATAGTTTTTACTAGCAATTTAGTAGGTATGCAGAAGGCTGATAAAATTTATTTAATAAAAAATGGCTAAATAATAAATGAAGGAAATTATAATTTTATTAAAAAATAATCTGAAATTTTAAATAATAATGGATTGGAAGAAGACAACTAAATAGAAGAAATAGAAAGATAGTAATCTGAGAGAATCCTAAGAAAAAGTTATTTACAAAAAAATATTTAAGATAAAGATTAGGATAAATGCTATACAAAAAAACTTATCTAATAAGAAGAAATTTAAACTGGGAAAATTCAATTAGATGTATTCAAGCAATTTATTAAGAGCATTGGAGGAATCTTTTTTATTCTTGTTTCTGTTATAAGTAATATTTTTCATTACAATTATCATTTCTTAAATCTTTTCTGTATTATAGTAATTAGTGGGTTCGTAGTGGCATGTATATTTTCTAAGTTAGTTATACTTCAGGTATCAGGAAAGTCGGATTAATTTAAAATAATTATAACTTATTGTTTTTTAGACATAATGAGATGTGTTTCTATACTATTATATGAATATTTAATTGTTTTTAGAATGATTTCTCTTTCACGACACCTTCATAAATCAACTGTTTTTCTACTCTTGAGAGCTTCTTTTACCAAATTTTACAATTTAATAACTACTGGACGTATAATGAATAGGCTTTCAAAAGATATCTATTAAGTGGATTTACTAATACCTTAAGATTTACAAAGTATCTTCAACATTATTGGATCAATTATTAATACTTTTATCCTAACAATTATGATTTGTCCTCCAAGGATAATACCTGTTTCAATAATATCTTTTCTTCTATGTGGATTTATTTCTTACTATTTTCTACGATCTAAAAGATAAGTAATCAGAATTGGTAAAATTTTTTCATTTGCCTTATTAATTAATTACACCTTAATTTTATACTAATTTCATATCGATTTAATAAATAAAGAGGCTGCTTCAAAAAGTCCAATTTTGTAATATTTTTCTGAAGTAATAAGAGGAGTAATTTACTTAAGGAATTGTGTTCAATAGTCTTTAATATCGCAAAAATTCTAAGATTTAGTTGATATTGACCTGAGAAATCAAATAGCTCTAAATGGAATACAATATTGGTTTGAATGCATCACATCTTTTATAGGTTTTTTTCCTATACTGATATCAATCCTTGTTGCTGTAAATTTTATTTTGATTTTAAATGATTTAATCAAGCTTTTATGAAAACTTATAATATAAAAATTTTTTTTTAGTATTATGATTTAGAATTAGATCCTAGTTTGGCAGTGATGATTGTTCTTTAGATTTCTGATTTTTCTGTTTGTTTTATAACTCTCTCATAGAATTGGGTTAACTATGAAACTCACATGGTAAACTATGAAAGATGCTTTAGATTGAAGCAGTAATTTTTTTTTTTCTTAACTATTTATAATTATACACTGATAAAAATTTTAATAGGAGTATAATTTCTGAAAACTACGATTCTAATACAAATAAAGGATTGACAGAAAATCGTACATCTTCTGATACTCCAATTATTTCTATGTAATATGATATATAGCCAGAGAGCTCTTCAAATTCAACCAGGCAAAATTTTGAAAAACAGAAAGAATTTTAAGTTGTATCTCAATCGATTCAGTTTTAGGATGCTAGCTTTAAATATAGAGAAGACATGCCAAACTGTTTATCTAATTTAAATTTAATGTTTGAAGGTAAACAAAAAATTGGTATAGTAGGAAGGACTGGTGCAGGTAAAACATCCATAACCTTGGCCCTTACTAAAGTTATCGATTTAGTATAAGGAGATTTGTTAATTAATGGGAAAAGTATTCAAGATTATACTTTAAATGAATTGAGAGAAACAATTAGTGTTGTAAGCCAAGAACCTTACATTTTTGAAGGGAGTCTCAAACTCAACCTTGATCCTTATCATAAATATTCTGATTAATAGATTATAAATGTCTACACTAAATGTGGATTCAGTAATTGTAATTCATTCAAATAAGGATTAGATACACAAGTAAATTACACAAATTTTAAAATAGATTCATAATTTATCTAAAATTATTATTTTTTAGATTAGCTTATTAGGCGATAACTTATCAGAAGGAGAAAAATAGCTTATAAGTATTGGCAGAGTTATTTTGAAAAAGTCGAAAATTATCATTGTTGATGAGCCCACCAGCCATATCGACACTTCTATGGAAGAACATGTAACAAAACTTCTAAATGAAAGCTTCAAAGATAGTTTAATGCTTACTATAGCACATAAAGTTTCAACTATCATGAGCAGTGATAAAATTCTAGTCTTAGACCATGGAGAAGTAAAAGAGTTTGATAGTCCTCAAGTCCTTTTATAAGACTCATAATCGTTATTTTATGGCATAATAAATTTAATTAATTAGAACAGAATAAATTGATATTTCATGTTTTATATTCTTGTCTTATAATTTAAGTCAAATTTACATTATTTAAAGATTTTTTATTTTCATTATTTTTAATTGAATCTTAACAAATCAAATAATTTAAACATATTCTTTTGTTTTACTTTATCTCTTTCATAGTCTACAAATAGTAATTATAAAATTTTTTTATCAAAAATTAAATTGTTTTTTTAGATTTTATTTCAAACCAAAAAAAAGCTAGTCTTTAACATAATAATCTGCTTCATTTCAAAAAATATCTTTAAAAAATAAATATTTTTACTAACAATTGTTTAAAATATTTCCATAAGCTTCAAAAAAATGTACTTTAGTTTGTATTTTATATATATAAAAAATATTTATTAATTTAACAACAATCATAAAGCTAATTAACTATATTAAGTATTATATAAAAGTTAAAACATTTAAGAGTAAATTTAGAATTATGAATATAAAGTAGAGTTTATGCTTGAGTAAAAGCATATTTATTAATTAATAGAGAAATTTCTGAAATTAATTTCAAATAAAAAGATATTAAAGATATCAAATTTAATTAATATATACAATTATTTATTATTAGCAATGTAGAAATTACCAAGCAAGCTTATTGCTTAAGCATTTCTTAAAAAGTATTTATTAAAGGATTAAGTACATTAAAATGCTTTATGCATCAAAAATATGGTATATAAGATGTCTTTTGCATTTTCTTATGAAAATCATGGTAGAAAAATGTATAGTGATTCAATGACAAGACATTTTAATAGATTCAGATATGATGAATACTAATCCTTAAAAGATAGCTAATTTAAGCTTGCTCTTTAATCAAAACATGAAAAAAAGAACTTTTAGAATGTGTTAAAATAATTTGAAAAAGACGAATTTTAAAAATTCTTTGAAAAATCTTCTAAACGCTAAGATCGTCGCTCTTCTGAACTACCTGAAAGATATGATAATTACGAATATTACACTTAATTTGCTAGAATGGGTGAATTTAACGATTATTTGATAGTAATGAGAAGGGAATTAGGAGATAAAAGCAAATAAATTGAAGAAAAAGTAATAGATCTTCTTGAAATAGGAGTAGTTAGAAGATCCCATTAAAATACAGCACATCTTACCAAAATGAGTTTTTCTGATTGTCATAGATATATTGCAGTAGGAGTAGATCTAAAAAATGATGAGCACTAAACTTTTTTCATTAAAGATGTTAAAAGCAATGTTTTTTTAAATGACAGATTAGAAGATGTTTTTAATGTAAAATTCTCAAAATGTGGCAACTATTTGTATTATGTTAAACAAGACGACAGGCTTTGGTCAAATGCAATTTATAAGTATATTTATTAAAATTGATCTAAATACTATAAATAAAGTTAGAAACAAATCAATATTAAACATATAACAGATCATATGCTTTAATCATGATAAACTGGATTAATATGTAGTGTTAATTCTGAAGATTAGATTATTTCAATTTTTATTTATAAAATACTAGAAACTTACTTTAATAGTATTTTCTATGGAATTTTAATTATGAATTTTTTTTAATAATTAAAAATGGAATTTAAGAAAAAAATTTTTTTAACTATAAAAATATATTACTATGATAATTTAAAGAATTTTAGAAAGAATATCAGAATAATTTTAAAATGTGTTTAAAAATATTTATTTTGTTTAGACATAAAATAGGTAGCGAAATGAGCAAAGATGAGCTAATTTACTAGGAAAAAGATGAATCATTTTATCTAGAATTAATGCAATCAAAAGATAAAAAATATTTATTTATCGACTGTAGATCTAAGGCTAATTCAGAGATTCACGCTCTAGATAGAGAAACAGGAGAAATTAAATGTTTAGTTAAAAGATCTGATAACTGTAAGGCCTTTTTGAATCATGTTAATGATAAATTTTTTGCTTTAGTTAATAAAGATCTCAAAACAAAAGAAAATTGTTACGATTTCAAAGTAATTACAATGAGCTAAGCCTCTCCCTCATCTAAAGGCTATAATATTTAAGATTTCTATATCCCTGAAGAAGGAGAAGTCATTAGAGAAATTGATATTTTTGAAGATTGTCTAGTCCTTTACATCTATAAAGAAGGTAGCGTTTACATGAGAGTTGTAGATTTAAACAACCCTTAAAGCAACTATAAAATATCTTTAGGAGATGAATACTTAGCAGGAACTTCTATATCTCCTGGACTTAATGAAAATCTTAAAACTGAGACTTTTAGATTCCATGTCGACACACCATTTGTTTATAACTAAGTTTTCGATTTCGATTTTAAGAAAAAAAAAAGTATTCATTTAATTTAATTAGAAAATAAATAATAATTATATTGTCTTAAAAGGTATTTTATTGTAAGATTTTGAGTTAGATGGTCCTTAATTCAAAAAAAATAATTACATTTCTGAAATAGTTTATGCAAATAGCAAAGATGGAGTAACTATACCTATCACTATTTTGAGAGCTAAAAAATTCCAAAAAAATAGATAAAATAAGCTTCTCCTCCATGGCTATGGCTCTTATGGAGTAAATCTAGATATTGGTATAAATTTAAATAAATTTAACTGAATCACGATTAAGAATAAATTAATAAATAAATTTTAGGATTTAGCATAAATTATCTGAGTGCTTTGGAAGAAGGATGGACTCTTGCCTTTGCTCATGTTAGAGGAGGAGGTGAAAGAGGTTAAAAGTGGCACCAAGATGCAATATTAGATAAAAAACCTAATTCCTTTTATGACTTTATAAGTTGTGCAGAATATCTAGTAGCAGAAGGTTACACTCATCCTTCATTAATGTGCGCCTATGGAGCTAGTGCTGGTGGAGTCTTAGTTGGAGCAGTAATGAACATGAGGTAAAAATTAATTTAGTATTTCTTATGTTAAAAAATAATAATTTTTTTTTTAAAAGACCTGAGCTTTTTAAAGCTTGTATTTTAAATTATCCCTTTTTGGATGTTTTAACAAGTTTACTTGATAAAAATCAAGCCTTGAGTGCTTCTGATTATGATGATTTTGGTAATCCTTTGGAATACTAGTATTATTATGATCTCATTTCAAGTTATTCTCCTTATGAAAATATTTAGCTTGATGCTGAGTATCCAGCAGTTTACATAACTTGTGGATCTAATGATTATAGAGCCCCTCTTTGGAATGTTTTAAAATATGTTAACAGATTTAGAGATAGAGTTCAAACTCCAACAAGAACTAAAGAATTTTGTCCCAAAAATATAGTTGTAAATGTCTTAGATTCTGGCCATTCTGGTGAATAAGGAGTTATCCATGGAATAAAAGAGAAAGCTTTATATCTTGCATTTTTGGAATATGTTGTGACAAAGTGTAATAATGACATAAAAGTAGAAGAAATTTGATAAACATAATTCTTAATTACTTAAAATAATTATTAAAAATTGAATTATAATATAAAACTTTATATTTTTTATAAATTTCTTCTAATTTAATTCTAAAAATATATCTTCTCTATAATTAGGTACTAAGTCAAATATATTTTTTTGATTTTCATTTATTTTTAAGTTACAAAATATAATTTTTAAATTTAAAATTATGGATAAAGTAAGAAATAGAGGTTTTGTCAAAAATAAAAAAATTTTAGAGTGCTAATTTGTAGAAGATTTTTAAATAGAAAATAATATACAATTATGAGAAAGCTAAGTTTTTAAATTAAAATATTTTGGGAAAAATTCCTTTTTTATATCAGTAAATATTTAGCTCTAAAATTTAAGAGCATGATTATTAATATTTTAAATATGGGTATTCCATTTAGACTCTACTGTTTAGGAAAAATTAAATAAAATGTTTATTTTATAATATTTGAATAAAAAAATAAAGATGAAACAATTTTATTTTAAATTTTTTATATTTTTGGAAGAATGATTGTTAATTTTATAAAAAAACAAAATACTTTTTTATTTATTTATATAAATATTTGATTAAATTTTAAATTATAACTATCTTTTTAATTGCAAATCATTCAAATTTTTAAAGTTCGAGTAAATATGACTCAGCTTCTTTATTTCTTCTTGAATGTTAAAGCATCGAAACTAGAGTGTTATATATAATGACTCTAGTTTTAAGCTCGTTTGGAGGTATTGATTCAGTTGAGTTATATACTTCTTAATGAAGGATGGCTGCTGTTTTAGCTAGTTCGATAGCATGTGGAGTATCGTTTATCAAATCTTCATACTAAGATAGTTGTAAGTAATATTTTGGAAGAATTTCATATTTTAATTACTTTAAACCAAACAGTAATTTTTCCATTTTTTATGCACACCAACGTCCATTTGATGGACTTGAGTTATATTTTTCGCTTGAGTAAACAGATAGAGCAAAGCTTAGACATTGTAAATGTAACAAAGATATCCTTGACTTTTTCATAATGTTTTCTTAATTATTTTAATTTATTTCAATTCTGCTTAAAATCTCAGCTGTGTCTATAGCTTTTACATAGTACCTTAACGAATCTTCAAATAAACTCATTGTTTTTTTGACATGAGCCAGTAATAAATAAATATGAATTTCTTCTTCAGCATTTTAAATTGTTCTAGAACACTATCTTAGCATTTGTAAAGCTTTTTAAGCGCACACTATCACTTTTTCATTATTATTGGTATTATCGTAGAGCAATCCAATGAATAAATATTATTTCCACAATAGCCTGAAATAGCCTCCATTTTTGTAGATGTCTTCTTCATCATCTAAGTAAGCATTTTAATTATCTTGGTCACTTTCAACATAGCTTGTATTAGGAATTTCTGATTAATCTAAAATTAAATCTAATGCTTACTCAGAGTATTTAATGGCATTTTTAAAATCCAAAACATTCAAATATGAAAGTGAAATCAAATTAAGAGAATCAGGAAAATCTATTTCTATAGAAAATCTTCCAGTTTGTTACATGAGTCTTAATTTAGCATTGTAAGCTTCTAAGGTAGTTTCTTAAGCTCTTTTAGAAGCAGATGGTGTTGTAAAGGATTGTTTCAAATATGAAAGTGATAGATTTTCCTGCATATCTATTTTTTCGTACACCAAACCAACTCTTTCGAAGTGATCAATAGCATATTTCATGTTCTCAATAGATGTTTCTACTCTTCCTATTTCCATTTCACAAAAAGCCTTTAATACTAAAGCAGATGCTTTAAAGTTATATTACTCATATATTTTTTAATACTGCTTTTCCTTTTTATCTTTAAAATCTTTTTGGGAAGCACTACTGTGTAGTTGATGATAACTTCTACTTCTCTCATTTAATTTTGCTTTATATTCTCGATAAGCTTGCTCTTCGCCTTTAGTAAATTAATTAGTTTATTAATTTTTTTGTTGAGAGCTTTTTTCTTATCTATCGCAAATGATTATTGACTAAATGCAGTACTGATAAGCCTTTTGATAGTCTTAAATAAGATAATAACACATTACGAGTGCAAGATAAATTGAAGGATCTGATTAAAAATGAATCATATCTTTCATCCCCTCATAAATCTTAATTGCTTATTAATACTTTTCTTAGTAAAAAAAACAAGCTGCCCTAGTCTACAAATCTGTTATCTTACTTATTGCTATGTCGTACTCTTCCATAAGGAATAAATACTACCCGATAAGGTCTAAGTTGTCTTCACAAATTCCTAAATTAACTTACTTTAGTTTATTCTAAATCACATTCGAATATTCATCATCTTCATTATTTTCAGTCACAGTTCTATAAGGGTCAATTAGCTCCTCCAAATAATTATCTTCTTTATACTCAGTGAAATTATCAAAAGTGACTAATCTATTATTATCTGCAACAATTATATTATTGCTTTCATTCTGATGCAATATAATATTATCGTATGCGTAATCAATTGCAATTTAATTGTACATCAATCCTAACTCAGATTTACCTGTTTCAAAATACTTAAGCACTAATTAGCATTATAATAAATAAAAAAGATAGTGTCTTGATATCTTATTCCCCTACTCAAGTTGTATAATTTAAGGAAATTTATTAAAAAGATCATTTATATTGTTCTTTTCATATACGATACTGGCTAGAGAAAATTTATAAAGCATTTCAAAATCATATTGTGAGTACTTCAAAAAACTGCTTTCTAGCTCTTTTAATCTCATCTCTCCTTTATATTTCATACCAATTTTATACAAGCAATAAATGTAATCAAGATTTAAAAGGAGAACTTCCCTTTCATGAACACTGTTAGACTCTTACAAAACTCTCTCTATTGTTTCTACTGCATTTTCATATAAATTTGCTTTCATCAAGAACTAATATAAATCCATCTGCTAACTAAACTTACTCAAAGGACGCTTTTAGTTCAGCTCTCTATTTTCTAAGCACTTTAACTGGTTCATTCTTTAAGAATTTGCTAAGTTTTACAAGAAATCAAGCAATCCTTCAAAAGAGAATTACTTCAAGCTAACTTGTTGTTGAAATTTTTGAATCTACAAAGAGATATTTTTGCTAATTTAGGTGTTTTTCTATGTATTTTATGTATTATAAAAGTTTGACTTCTAAATAAGCTAATCCGAAGAATAAATGGCAGCTAATATTAATTGATAGAGTATTGGATAATTACTTTAAAGAGTTTGCTACATGAATTCATACATATCAGAGTAATTATTAGGGCAAAGAGCAATATCTAATTCTGAAATTAACAAACAAATGCACCTTGCAATACTCCAAATATCACTAGCTTCCATCTCATTTGTACTTAAATGAGAATTCTTACTTTATAATTAAGGATGAACATAGTCTATACTAGATAAATTATAGCTTAATACTCCTTTTTTCTAAACAGCCTTGTCTGCGTTTATTAGCTTTAATGTAAACCTTCCACTTTCTTTGCTTGTATCTTTTAAAGAAATATTTTCTAGATCATAATCCCCCAAGTATACTCCTTCTCTTTTTAGATCACAAGCAAATTGAAGCAACTTTTCGAATATAAAAATGAGTTCATTTTGCTCCCATTGATGATTAATTGAATAGGCAAAATCAATTAGTGAGTACCTTTCTCCTTTTTTCTTTAAAAGCATTCTTGAATTATCCATCTGAATCAAATCCAGAAATGGATTATTTTCATCCTATTTAAAAATGTGTAAGATTTATTTTTCATTCTCGAAGTTGACCTTCCTTCTAAATTACTTAATATAAAATGTTTCCCTTGTTTATTTATTTGTCGCAATTACTACCAAGCAATCTTTAGTTCTTTTTGCGTTCTAATAAATGAGATTTTCATCGCAGAAGAATCTATCGATTTTTTCCCTCTTCTCTTCTTAAAATTTGACTACTTCCTAACAAAACCTACGCTTCTCTGCTTCTACTATAAACCTACTGAGCTTCATTACTTTTCTTCTTTTAATCTCAGTCTCTACAAGACTTTCAATTTTATCTCTATGTTTCATAGTTGCTTAATTCGAACTAGACTTTAAATTGCTTGGAGTGTAAAAAATATAATAAAAAGTAAATTTTTAAGATTTTATGCCTAAATTTATTAATTTATTTTTTATTCACAAATCAAGTGATTTCTTACCATTCGTTTTAGATAATATTAAATTAATTATTAATCTAATTATGAATACTTTAATTTTATTTTAATATTTTGATTAATTTTCATTATAAAATCAGTTATTATTTACTAAATTTAGATTGGAATAGTTTCTTATTATGAATTATATTTTAAATATTAATAAAAACCATTTATATTCAAACAAATTCATATTAAAATAAAGGATTTTCAATTAAAAATTAATCAAAATTATAAATTGTATTACACTTTTTTGCTTTGCTTTTGTCTCCTTGTAAATCTTTTTTAATTAAAGGAAGAAATTAAGTAATTGACTTTTACAACTTTTAGCTTATTTAAGTAATTTTTTCAAATAAATAAAGGAGTGAATATAATTCAAATTATAAATGTTATTTTATAAGTGAATTAAATTTTTATGGATTTCTCTGTTCTTCAAAAACAATATTTAACAATTGAAAATTTAAAAACTATAAAAAATACAAATAAATTTCTAAACTTTAAATTTATAGAGCTTTAGATATAATTATTTTTTAGAGTATTTTTAAAGTTTATATAGTTTAATGTTATATTTGTTATAAAAATATAAAAATTAAAGCTTTTAATAATTACAAACATAATTATCTATTATTATAAATTTAATTCAGCATAAAAATGTTTATTTCAAAAGATATTTCGATTTTTTCATTTAATTGATAACTTTATTCTTCATATTTGCTTATAAATTTAAATCACTTTTTAGTATAATTTTAAAAACATTTCTAAAAATCACATTGTTGATAAATAAAAATTTACTGAATTAAGATAAAAACAGAGAGTATCTTTTGAAATTTTCTAATAGATTTAGATAATTTATAAATAGTATCTTAGCTTAACCTATTAAAACTATAAAATTAATTTTTAATATTTTGATTGCTAATAAATTTTATATTTTACGAGAGATCTAAAGTTATTTCACTTAGTTTTCCACAATAATGAAGTAGAGTTAAAAACTCTAAGATTCCTGTTTAAATTTTGTTATTGCTTTTTTAATTAATTAAAATTTTATAATAATTAAAATTAACTTAAATAATTTTGTACTTACTCTATCATTAAAGTAAGACTACTCAAACTTTGTAATTTAGAAAGACTTTCTCCAAATATTATTAGATCTTCATCTTATATTTTATTATCTCTTTATTTAAATAAAAAATAAATTATACATATCTTAATTATATTTTTTCTGTCAAAAATTTATTAATAATTTTTATTATTACTTTAATTTTTTAAAAATAGCTACAACTGTTTAATATTATTCAACTAATTTATTTAAATTCTAAAAATATGAAATAATTTACGAGAAAATAAATTCAGCATGATCTAAACATTAACAATTCTATAGACTTTTCATCATATTTATAAATGTGGATCTGTTTTCTAAACCACTTTTTTAAAAAAATATAAAATTAATTCAATATATTATTTAAGAAAATTTAAATACGTTATCTTTATATACAAATATTATATCTTGTTAGTATTTGAAAGAGTTTCTTAAAATATCTAAATTTCTTAATCACTGGCGAATTAAATTTTGCTTTAAATAATTATTTCATTAATATTATTATTATTTTTTTAAAATTTAAACCTTTAATCAATTATTAATTTCTCTAGATTCTTCAAAGAACAAATTTTTTTATATAGCTCATTAAGTGACTCTGCAGTGATTGGATTATTACTATTTAATGAAAATAATTAATTAATTTTAATATATAATAAAAAATATTTTTAAAATAATTATTAATACCATAAGTACAATTTCAGCTAATTAATTATTTGCTATTAAGAAATTACTTCTCCAAGAGCCAAGATACCTTCAGAAGTTATTAGATTTTAACTAATTATTTAATAAATACTTAAAATACTGTTTTTAATTAAAATTACCTAAGATTTAAGTTTAAGCTTGTTAGGAAAGTCAAATATTTGAGACAATTAGCTAGTTTTTAAACATCAATATCTTTTATGATACACTCTCTTTTCAATTTAAAAACAAATTAACAAATATAATTAATAATTTAGAAAATATAAAAATATAAATAAATCAATCTGTTAAAAAATTATTTCTATTAAATATTTTTAATTTAATTTAATTACATTAATATTAAACTTAAAGTTTGCAAATTAATCAATTTTTCTAAATGTTTAAAAATTTAATCAGATGTTTCACCAGATAAGTTTATCTCTCTGTTTTATTAAAAAATAAATACTTTCTTAAAAAAACTAAAATATATAAAACCTAAAACTGAGAAATATTTCTTATAGCTAAGTACATTTAGATATATTTTCCACAAATTTTAAGCACCCTAATTCAGTAATTTTATTTCCCCTAAAATACAATTAAATTTTTAAATAAAATTAACATATTTTAATAACTTACTCAAGCTTTAACTTAAGTTCTTTTAATTCATAACATTTAGAAATTTAAAAACCTAAGGTTTTAATTCCTGAATCTTTAATTTAGTTCTTACTTTTAGAAAATCATTATTTCCATATTTAGCTATTTAAAGCTATTTAATTTACTTAAAATTTAAAGTGACACTTCTCAATACATTAAATAATGGAAGAGCCATAGCAAGGATAGATACTCCATAATCCCCTAAAGAAGTCTTACTTTTATAAATAAATGAATGAATT